CCTTTGTCTGCTCTAATCGTGCAGCTAGCATAGCCGTCGGTGCGTCTCCATCCCTGGTCTGAGTCCAGCGTTCATGAGCCATTTGTGAAGCAGCAGAGCAGGAAATGAGGTTGGAGCTCTGCAGTCGTCGGAGCCTGGAGGAGTCATGGCAGATCCGCCGGGCCCCTCCCACACAGACGGCAGGAATGGGTGGGGGTATGAATACAGGAGAAGCGATCGCAAACTGGTGTTAATGGACAAAGACATCTTTGCTCTCCGAATGTATTACAGTAGAAACAGAGGTTAACTGAAGCGAAGTTATTGATGAGGCGCTGTCCAGTGTTTATCCTCTGTGAGGTTTGGGAGCAGCACTCTGACTCCACTGTTGTCTGGCTTCTTCGTCTGTGTCTGAAGTCTTCTTCTTGTCTTATTTTCATGGCTCCTTTCCATTTTAGGTGCTGGAGCTGATAACTATGTCCTTATTATTATTATAAAATCTCCAGTTTTCTGCATAATTGTTAAAAATGTCACCATAGTCAGAGTTTGTTATGAGACAGATAATCAGTCCCTGAGCTACTATTGCTGTCCGCAGAACTGAACCAATCAGAGCCAGGAGGCGGATCTTAGCGCTGTCAATCAGCAGTGTGTATTTGCTAATGCTAATCATAGAGAAACAACTCACCATTACTGGAAAACTGTCAATTTGCCGTAATTGGTGGCCATGCTAACTAGCATTAGCATTCACAACAAGGTGTGCTAGCTGCATCGTAACAGAGGGAAAGGTGATTGACAGCGCTGAGACCCGCCTCCTGGCTCTGATTGGTTGCTTCTAAAAAGTACTGGAAGAAGGCAGATGAAATAGATTTTTTCACAGATTATCTGTTTCATGTAAACATATAAAAAACATTGTTTACATATAAAAATCACAGCCTGCAAGTTTTTAAAGAGAACGTATTGATAAAACTGCCTGATAACAAACATGCATCAGAATCTTTTGGGGAAAATAATCACGGTGCCATCTGTTAGTCTGAATGATGAATTATCAGCTTCACTGGCACAGCCATTTGTTTCTGACAGTTTGAGCAGAATCAATAATTTGCAGAAAGTGAATCAGAGTTGCATGAATCGCTTTGTCTGCTCACACAGGGAGAGCGATAATTGAGCAAAGTTTTGTCAGATTAAGGTTGTCATTAATGTAAACAAATAAGACAACTGGAGGGAAAAATCACTTTATTTCAAGGGTAATTTCAGGCAAACCACTGGTAGAGGCAGTTTATCATAATTACTATGCTGTTATATTCTGTCATACATTGCTTTATTACAAAGGTTCCGATTTACAGACTGAGCAAAAGTCTTGGGTCGCCGACATTTCAGTGTTTTAAAGTGGTTTGATTACAATGTGGCGTTGGACTTTTCATTATCCATCCATCCATCCGGTAAAATATTCCAATTTCTCTAAATTTCTGAGGATTTTATTTTCATTATCTTATATTACCGTTATATTTTGTCATTCTGTAAACACATTTTTTCATTTTTATTTTCTATTCTCAACTCATTTCCATCCAAACCCAGAAACGGTGGCCCCTCCTGCAGTATCCTTTGTGTTATTGGGGTTAAGCAGCAGCCCTGTTGGCCGGACTCTCAGACCCGGCCCGGCCTCCCGCCGCCTCCGGCCCCCGGTGTAACGGGACACCGATCCGTGTCTGAGCAGTCATGGCCTGTTCCACCTGACTCGCTCCCGGCTGCTGCTCCTGTTAGCTTTTCTTCCACCGGGCTAATTTATGACCCTATCACAATCCACCAATTACTTAGACTAATTACTGGAGTCTAATAACTCTAAAATGCTCACCTGAGTTTTGATCTCTAATATATAAAGAAGGAGCTGGGACACATGCGTTGCTAGCATGTTGAATCACTTAAAAAACTGTAAGTATGCTGATCTTTTTTAACTTACATATCTGTATTTTTTTGGCAAGCTGCACGTTTTCCTTTCTTTCTTCCTCCTTCATTTGATTTCCTTATTTGCAAATTCTGGGAGTGGCTCAGCTGAACTGCATGCTTACAGTGTTTGTTTCCAACTGTCTTGGTGACTTTTCTTTGCTTTATTAATATTATTTTTCTCAACTCCAACCATCAAAGGTCAGTAAATTAATCTTGGTCTTAATACTTATATCAAGTAATAGTAGTAATATAAATTTGATCATTGTTCAGAGTGAAATAACTGCTAATCTTTTGTTCTAAAATATTGCATTTAACATCACTTTGGTCTGACTTTATTAGTCAATATGTAATAAATTGAACATTTTTTGACTAAAATGAGTTAGAGAAGTTAATTTTGCTTGCAGATGTTTCTTATGCCAAGTGATCTGAAAATTACGTTATAATAATATAAACATTGTGTTTTAAAGCGGCTTAGGAAATATCAACATGAGTCTGGTTAGCTCTAACATTCGTCTGGAAGTGAACCAGCAGAAGAGAACCAGCTAAATATTGAAGCATTCGGCTCTCAGTGTCTTCTATAAGCAAGAAATAGAAAGAAATCAAACAATCACAGATAACTTGTGGCTTCCTCCAAAGCTAAACACAGGTGCAATTGTTTTATATTAATGAAAACACAATGCATTGTTTATCCATTTAAAAAACTGTGCTGGGTAATCTGTTTGTACAGTGTGATAGCTCTTTCTGGAGAAGGAGACGTAGCTAAATACAGCAACATAGTCCAGTAGACTCGGTTTAATTGGGGATTAAAATTGCAACATTTTGAGTTGGTGCATTTTGCTTTCACACTGCGCTGTGTGAAACAATCCAAACTGATTGAAAAACCTGTTTCCCTCCTCGCCTGCGGTGGCGCTGCATCAAGAACAACTGAAGGAAACGACACAAAAACCTCTGAAGAAGACACTCAGCGCAACTTCCTTCTTCGCAATATGTGACCAAAAATGAGAGTCAGGTTTTAGTGTTTGAAGGATTTCTATTTTGTCTTTGGTAAAAGACCACAAGCTGTTTCTCCCGTTAGCACTAATGTAGCGTGTTTTATAGTTTGCTTCCTTCTTTTGGAGTCACCTCTGGTTTGCTTGGCGTTCACATGTGCATTCAAACTGCACCAGAGTTCACATCAACTAAACTCAGACTGAGATTTGTAAACGAATCAGAGTTTGATGTTTTGGTCCACAATTTGATTAGTTTTGTATAGTTTTGGTTTAATTGATGCTCCGATATGTCCATTTTTCTTTTTATGTGCGTAGTTAACAATTAATTGATTGCTAAATTAGTTGACAATTAATCAAGCCCAGGAAAAAATGGTGAGTTCTTATTGGTGCTCCCTAATCAAACCAGACTTTCTAGACAAACAAAGTAATGCTTGATTAAAGTATCTGTAGAAATATGTGGCCAGACACTGATTATCACAAAAAGAAAAACAAAAAGCGCAAACAATTCATGGCAACAACAGCTCCACCAATGGGACTATTTTCTATAAAAAGAAAAATGAAGAACTTACATTTATTTGCTCACACAATTTAGCATTCCTTATTTGAAATCTTTCAAGTCCAGGCTTAAAGAGTAAATCAGTTAATGACGGCAATAAACCATCAATGGCTCTGTCCAAAAACACAATGAGAGTTTAAAACACAACCACTGACCCAGGAGCTGTTGCTACAGCAGCAGTGGCACAGTCCATATTTCATACGTATTTCATACATTTTAAAATCTTTTATTGTTGTTTCAAAAAGCCCAATCATGTCTATTTATACGAGAGACACAAGCTGAGCCTTACATGTGTAGCTCATTATATGTGCACTTGTACACAGGCTGTGGTTAATGCCACGTCCCAACACAGTTAATGAAAAGCGACAACCAGCCAGTGCTGCAGGGGATGCAGGGTTAGATAACCCTACACACACACACACACACACCCACACACACACACACACACACACACACACACACACACCCACACACACACACACACACACACACACACACACACACACACACACACACACACTGTCTTCTCTGAGGGATTATTTCCTCGCATCCTGCTTGTGCTCTGGTTGGAGGTGTCCACTGTGAGTCTTTGGGTTTCGTCTTCCTGTCTCATGTGTCAAAGCGTGTTGACACATGCAGAGGCAGCGATGCATTATGAAAGACGTCCGCAGATTGCTCAGTGCTGCACAATACCTGCACAGGGATTCACATACAGGAGTCTAATTGCTCTGTGCAGATAAAGGCTGGCGGCATTTCTGATCGATAATCGGTTAGTTTTATCTTCCTACATCCACAGATATATCTGTATTTGAATCATCGTGATCATAATTAGCTTAAAGGTGACCTTTTATGCTTCATTGAGCAGGTTAGCATAAATGTATGCTAGCCTGAAAAACATGTTCATTGCATTTTTATTTGTTTCTGAAGAAAATTATACTTAATGAGATTTGATTTTATTTTGAACTCCTTTTAGAATGAAGCGTTTTGGGGCTTCTGTCACTTTAAATCCAAATAAGGTGCTGCTGGCCACGCCCCCCAACTCACTCGCAGATAAAAATGGCTAGAAAATGATCAGGAATGTTTTTTTTTTTTTTACTATCCGGGAGTTTATTTCACAAGGAAGTGCTTTTCCAAGACCAATATTTCTGTTTGCGGCGCTATAAATGCTGTTCCAGTCACAGTTAACTAAAACATAAATAAAAAAATAGTTTTTTACTCATCTATGTGATCATAATAGCAACACAAAATATTGTAATAAAATTCTACCTCTGTATTGCCAACCTGTAAAACAGTGAGAGGCTTCTCCAAAGCCGCTGTAACACAAACTGCTGGAGAAAATCTTTCCTGCCTTCACCACCATGTATGATAACTCTGAAGAATCTTGAGTTAATATGAGTTACAGCAATATTTACATTCCCTTTGGGATCAATAAAGTATTTTGGATTTGAAAACATTCTTGAGCTCCACTTGGATTGCTGGGTAACAGCAGAATGTTACTTTTTAAACAACAAAAATTGATAAGTTGTAGCCAAACGTATTCAGAAGCAGTAGAACCCAACTTTGAACATATCCAAAATGTGAGTTTTGCTCCTTTAAGGAGACATCTGAACATCCAGTTGGCCTTTTGCACCAGTGCATGCTGCAGGCGTCTGAATGGGTGTCTATATGGGGAAAGGCTCAATGCTGCAATACAGGCTAATTCCTGCTAATCCTGCTGCAACTCCTACTACTTACAGAAGGTTTCCAATGGCAGCCCCCAAGCAGGGGAATTGCTGGTGAGATTAGCTCCTGCGTTAGCTCCTCCTCTGAGGTTTTCATTCACGGCCGCGCCGGCCCAGCCCAACATTGCTAACCTTTCGCTCAGAAATGGATTAATTTTTTAAAATGTCTTGTTTCATATTGGGAGAATAATGTAAGTAAGTGAGAGTCACCTTTTCAGATATTTCATTTGATCCTAAATAGTCGATTGATAGATGGGAATCTAAGAGCAAAACAAAAATGAATATCCTTGAGAGAAATCTCTTTATTTGAAAGTGTTGTAAAGGTCGAAGCAATGTTTTTATTTTGTTTGTTGGTTTGTTGGTCTTTTCTCGAGTTTGTCATTTAAATGAGTAGATTTCTCATTTTTATTCTTGTCTTGAAGATTTTCCAGTTCAATTTTTAAAATAAACGTTTGCATTAATTGATTGCTCTCTGGATCTAAATATGCATCTCACATGTCAAGCATATAATTAAAACCGAGTGTTTGACTTGCTTATATAACAACCAGAAAGTTGGATGTCTCCTGAAATAACCCCATACTTATCCACAATACAGTGCAAAGGTTTTAAACCATTTCCTATTTCATTAAACATTGCTTTTCGTCATCCAGATTCTCTTGTTATATTTAAAAGTCGTTCTTTCAATATTTCCAAATGCTCTCAAAATGTGTTTCACCTTTTAAGGCAGTGTATTCCTCCAGTTTTTAGTTAAAGGCTCTTTAGGAATCAATTGAACTGAGTTGATATAAAATTTGCTGGCACCAAAATGTCTAAAAAATCCATTATATATAATGTATTGACACTGGTTTATTCATTGGGTTTAAGAGCCTTCATATGTCATAGGTCGCAGGTAAGTGGCTTAGTGGACACAAATAAACAAACAAAACAAATTGATTAACTACTGAAATTGGTATAAAACAAGAAAATCTGACAACCATTTTGAAAAGCTAGAGGATCTTTGGAAGCAAAGATTTTAACAACTGACAGTTCTTCCTGTTTCAAGAGGTTCAGTGGCAGTGGTTAGAGCAGAGGTAACCAAAGTCAGTGTCCTCCATGTTTTTTTTCTTCATGTTTTCTGAATCAAATGTTGATTTATGAGCAGAACCTCTGCAGAAGTTTAAGATAAAAGGAGTTGAATCAGCTGTTTTGGAGCAAAGACATGTCAGAAACTGTGTGGAGTTTGACATCTTCTGCCAGAGAAGCACTTTATCTGTTTTGTTTTGCTTTGTGTCGTTGTGCAGGAGATCTCTCCTGAAAATGTTTCCACAATCAGGAAAATCGATTGTCTTCGACAACTTTCCGGATCCCACCGACACCTGGGAAATCATTGAGACAATCGGGAAAGGAACATACGGGAAAGTCTACAAGGTTCTGAACAAAAAAGATGGAAGCAAAGCAGCTGTGAAGATATTGGATCCCATTCATGTGAGTCATAAGTTTGGTAGTACCTTGGAAGTTTACTGCAGTACCTTTGTCTCCTACATCAAATAGCTCTTTTTTTGCTGGAGGAGTAGATTTAGCTTTTCAATCTTACAAAAAACAACATTGTATTCTTAAAAACTGGAATACAGAGAAGCACACACACCTCCAAATTGCACCCACATCGCCAAATTGCACCCAGATTCAGCTATAATATGTGCTGGAAGACTAAAGGGAGTAAAAACATTATTTTCTACCAAGTATTTTTTGTCTAGTTTCTAGTGAAAATATCTTAGTACACTTGAAATAAGACAAAACTAACTTACAAACAACTTTTTAGCATATAGGAGCTTGTTTTTAGTAAATAATTACTTTTTATTGATGGAAAAAGTATAGTACTGGCATATTATTTCACTTATAACATGGACTTTACATGGGCTGTCCTACTCCTAATTACTGTGACTAAACAAATTAAACAAAATATTAACATGTTTGATCAAACCTATTTAGCTATTGGTTTATTTAATTGTGCCCCACTTGTGCAGCGTTATCAATTCAATTTGTAATTCAATAAAATTATGTTTGTATTTTAAAAAAATTAATGTTTTAAGTCAGTTCAGCGTTGTTTTTCTGTATAGGACTGATACTGATAACTCACATATAGGTAATCTAGATTTGGTGTTAAAACTAAACATTAGATATTCATAAAAGTTGAGAGAAATACCGGCGCATTTAGATTTTTTAGCCATTATCCTTCCCCAAAATAAGGGATAAATACACCTTCCTGATGACAGCTTTAAAAACTTGCATCAAAAAGTTGATAGTTGTTTGTTTTGTGATGATTTTAAAGACTTGAGATGTGTTGTAAAAATGTCTCTGCTTTGCAGGATATAGATGAGGAGATTGAGGCAGAATACAACATCCTCAAAGCTCTGTCCGACCACCCAAACGTCGTCAAGTTTTATGGGATGTTTTACAAGAAGGATCTGAAATGTGGCGATCAGTTGTGGCTTGTGCTGGAGGTAAGGACCACAAAATGTTTTGATAAGGTGGGACGACGGAGATGATATCAGGTCTGGGCGTTGAGACTTAAAATTAAAACCTCTTATTTTTATCATACCAGATGCAAGTTTTGCTTTCTTTCTTTTCTAAAACAGACATTACCAATGACAGAAAACATTTTCAAAAAGTGGCTTTTATTCAGTCATCCGTTCTGTGAGTTGTACAATGGAGTATTAGGACCAGGCTGCAAGAATCTTTGCTTAATTTGAGAATATAGTCATAATATTAGCAGAATAAAGATGCAATTTTACTAGAAAAACTTCTTAAAATTACAAGAAAAAAGTTGTTTTAAAGAGAACAGAGCTTAACCCTGGTAGGGTGGTTCTTCATTTTTCTCAATTTGCTCAAATTTATGATATTGAAAATACTTTGATGCTTCGATAATAAAAGATGAAGGATTTACTCATCTTCACAAGATGCTCAACATTCCTCATTCTATTTTTTTGCTACTTTTTGTGCTACTTTATCATCCTAATATTACAACTTTTTTCTTGTAGTTAAAAAAAAACCCTAGATGGAGTCCTGGTGCTAATTCTGCATCATAGAGCTCAAAGTCCAACAGCGGTAAAACACGCAGAGGAAACAAGATGGCGGCTCTTGGAGCGCTGACGTCACTTCTGAAATATGAAAACCCACGAAGGGCAATGGTGGAAAAAAATTCAGATTTTCCAAAACTTACATTTTCAGAAACCAAAAATTTAATTGCTGAATCAACTTTTCACCAGACCTGTATTGTACGTCTTGCTATCCATTGGTGCCTCATAATGAACGGGGATTATGTAAGAGATTTAGCCACCATTAGCATCCCAGGAGTTTACTTACAGCCTACCTGGGGGATCTGGTCCCATGCCAGCTCACGTCATGAGGGAGGAGGTTTGCTGTGAGCAGCAGAGCAGGGATTTCTATTCACCAGGGATGTCTCTGCAGATTACCTTACAACATCTCAGGCTGAAACGTCCAATTGGCTTTATGCTCCTGCATCTGCTGTTGTTCAGGGTTGGTGGGATGCCACAGGATTGTTTTGGTCAGAGAGCAGACTAGTAAAAACCCTCTGCCTCCTTGTGTGTCTTAAATGTCAGGTTCTAGCCAAACGTGTAATGGACTGAGGTCGAACTCAGATGAGGAAACGTGATTGTGAGATTTGGTAAAATGTCAGATATTAGTGTTTGCTCTTGTGTTTTAGGTTCTGCATTCAGGACATGGATTTGATTCCAATGAAGCTAAATAGTTTTTAAACAAAAAGTATTTGATTCTCCCTGGGTCTCACATTATAGGTCTGGTGGATTCTGTATAATTTGGGACCAAAAGAAAAAAATTGGAGGGGAGTCAGATTTTAGCTATTATAGGATTTATCTTTTGACTCCCTATGATTTGTTTTGGTTGTATTTACCCACAATGCCCTGCGTTGTAGTCCACTTCCTTCTTTTATACTGGTTTGTGGTTGACTTATTGTTCGCATAAGCATTTGAACTGCACCAAAATTCACTTAAATCAAACCGAGACCGAGGTTAGTATGCGGACCAGAGCTCACTCTTTGGTCAGCTTCAGAGTTTGATTACACACCTACACAAATGAGCTGGAGTTTGATTAAAGTGGACTAAAGAGAACTGGTGTGAATGCAACTTATAGTGAAAATCCCGTTCATTCGGGAAAATGTGAATGCACACTGGACCACTGGAGGCTCCTTACGCGATATCTGGTTGACTGGGAGGCAAGACGAGACTCTTTAACTTAGTTTTGTGTTAAATACAGTGGAGGATCTGTGATGCTGAGGGCCCAGGGTTTGGGCTTGGATAAAAATCAGGCGGTTTCTGAAAATTTAAAATAGGTCGGAACTGAGTTCTATCTTGTGATCTTCATGCAGATTTTTAAAAACTCGTTGCTTTGTCTGTGGCGCCCTTATCCAAAAAACTTTAATATCAGCATCAATTTCTGCAGAGTAATATTTTTCTCAGATCTGTGAGAAAGAAGTAAACCACAGTGCTCTTTGGACTGTAGTGGTTGTGATGCAGAGTTTCCATATTTTTGTAATCCTATCCCACAGGGTTCTGCTCTGACAACAGTGGCGATATGCAAGCCCAGCAGATGGTTTTCACCTTTCCATCTTGAGTTTCGTTGCCTTTTTATCGCCGTTCTTCCTCCAGACTTTTGTAGAGGTCCTTCAAGTTACTTTACTCTAAAAACAAATACCTGCTGGAAAGACAAAAATTTAATCCTAAACCAGAAATATTTGTTATTTTCTGCAGGGTAGTTGTCGCCTAATCCGTTGACGTTTGCTTAAAGTAAGTGCTGGTTTTACATATGTGGAATATGGCCTGACACCCAGGGTAATATGGACCAGGGGGCGGCATATATTTAAAAAAAAACAACAAAAAAAACCCAACAAAAAAACAAAGCTTGATTTATTTTTGTAGAGCATATCTAAAATATTTCAAAGAAAACGAAGCTTTGGAAGCGACAATGCTACGTCACACATATTATTATTTGCAAAGCAGCCAATTAAAGAGCAGCATTCATTTTCCTTGTACCTGATTGGCTGAGCCACCAAGAGTGGAAGTAAGGAAGACTAGATGTCAGCTTCTGCTACAATGGTTCCATCCATCCGTCCATCCATCCATATCTGTCCATCCGTCTGTTTTATTTACTCCTTGGCTTCACATTTCTCTTGTGAGACGTTTAAATCTGGCAGCGAATGCGAAGGTTGAAGTCGCTGGCTGACGGTTCACTGAGTGTCTGTGTTGTGTATTCATTAGTGTGTGTGTGTGTGTGTGTGTGTGTGCTGTGAAGTAGCTGCACATTGCCTTTCAGGAGGTAAATGACAGGAAAGCATGAAGAGAGGTGGTCACTCACCATGGTTACTGCTCTTCCTTTTCAAACTGTAATTTTGGTCCTCTTGCCGCGCCGAGAGGAGCCTTTAGTGGCAGACCGCTCATTATGAGCTGAATTCATACGAACTGCATCCGCTTCTTTGTTAGCCGCTTCATTGAGGTCTGGGAGCTTTTGGCTTTGACTCTGTGCAGCGCTTCCTTTATGATTGCAGATGTGCGCAGAAATGAGCAATCTTTTATGTGCTGAAGCTTAACGAGGTTAAAAATACTTCCAAGAGATGCAAGAGGGAGCGACTTTTGTTCTGTGATTGAAAGTGAAACGCTGATTTGGGTTTACTTTCGTTTGTTGCATCAAAGGATGAATTTAAAAGGGTCAAAAAAGGCAAGATTTTAAGGACCGCTTCATTTCTTCCCCAAGTCTGCCTATTGTACTTTCTATTGTTCACTGTCTATTGTGTCACTAAATTTAAAAAAATAACTTTTTTCAGTCTCAAAAATGAAATTTGCTACAACCTAGAGGTTCAGTTACTTTGAAAAAATAACTATTCAACCCACCATAAAATTAGGAATGCACCGATACCGATATTTGATAATAGTGTTGCCACTAAGGACGATAACCAATATTTACCGATATTATATACAATACTTTTTTCAACCATTTTGAGAACTTTGGGGAAAAAAAATGACCTGAAACATCAGCAATACTATAAATATTTGTTGTTAAATTTGCCTAAAATATATGTTAAAATATAACCAGTTCAGAAAACACAGAGCTAATCAGAACATATACCAACAGAAAAAAGGGGGCGGAGCAAATTTATTTGCTTATTTATTCACATCTATGATAGTTAAAATAAAACCCTGATACAAACTGAATGTTTGTATGGATGGAAACCATACAAGAAACTTGAAGATGCTGCTATTATTATTAATCCTTTGTTAATAATACATGAGCAAAACAAAAAGAAACAGGAAGCAGGTATGATTCTGCATGAGATCAGCTGTTAGCGTCTCTTCCTCTCTGCTTCTGTGGACGCTAATTACCAATGAGGGTCAAAAGTTTAACCCCCATTCAGACTTTATAATAAACGCTGTCAGGAAGTGGATACCTCACCTGCAATGCCTGTGACAATGACGAGACTCCAGGAACAATGGGGCCCTTGTACAAACATACAGCTTTCCAAACGCAGTCATTTATGATAAATTAAAGATAAAAAATAAAGAAAACCCCCACACATTCTGAATTTATCATCACTGGGAAGCAGACATCAAACGAGCAGTAAATTTGTTTCATCTTTAGATTTGTTTCATCCTCTTCCTCCGCTCGTCTTTGATGACAGCCTTCATTTCCATGACTAAACAAACACCTGACCTGCTGCTCCACTTGATATTCACCATGTTCTTTGACACTAAAAGCTCAGTGAAAACCAAAGGAAGACGATCCTTTCAAATTAATGACAAACATTCAGATTTTAAAACTAAAGACGAAGAATTAAGAGAAATGCTCTGCATCTCGTTATTGATATTATAGATATTCATGCAAAGAAGAAGCTGTTTTTCCTGATCAACAGCAAGCAGCACAGGTTAAGATTAACTGAGAAAATCTAACTCATGGCTTCCAAAACTGCTTTGACCTTTGACTTGAGTTTCAATCATCACCATAACCATGGTTAGAATCCAAAAACCTTCACCTGTAACGTCCAGAACATCATAGTTCTGGTTATTATGGACCTACGACTCTAATCCTTCTATGTTTGTCTCACATCTGATAGGTTGATGTCACGACAAATACAACCAAGTTCACTGTATTTGTTCTTACAAAAGAGAAAATTGAGTTAACATCAATTCTATACGTTAAATAAAATGAAATAAATAACCCTAAACAAACCACAGAGCAATAACAAGAAAGCAAAGCACAAACATTTATGATTAAAATGACTAAAATGATTAAAATGACTAAAATTCTCACAAGTTGCAACTTAAAAGAGACAATAAAATAGAGTTTTGCTTTTATGTCTCATTTTTCAAAGATACTTGAATGGAGCAAGAGAAATCTGCAACCAAAAAAAAGTCTCCCTGAGGATTTTTGCACAGCTTCTTGTGCAAATATCTTGGTGCGCCTGAAGACAAAACCAATTTACAATTAACTTTTCACAAAGACATAGAAGCTTGTTTTAAGTTAATAATTTTAAATATCAATAAAAAAGTACAAGTTCCACTGGCAAATTATTTCATTTATAACATGAAATGTCTTGTTATAAGTGAAACAATCTCCAAGTGATTTTTAATTGATATTTTAAAATTACTGACTTAAAACAAGCTTCTACAGAGTGATAAAAAAAAATTCCAAGATAGTTTTCTTATTTCAAGTGTACTAAGATATGTGCAATAGAAATTACACAAACAAAAAAAAAGAAACATTTTGTGTTTGTGCCGTGTGTGACTGAAAATGAATGCATGGGTAATTAGAGTCAATATACATAAAGTAACGCTGTTGGAATAAAATTCATCTAAATGTGCAGAAATGTGCAGAAATATGCATTAAAATGGACATATTTTCCAGACTAACAGAAGAGACGATTGATTTATCCGTGCAGAGTGTTTCTTAAGCCACACTTAGTGAATAGTTTTGTGTACAAGAAGCATTGAAGCCTAAAATCAACACTTTCAGCTCTCAGCACGGTGACTGACATCCTCTGTGTTTTTATTTCTCTTATACCTTTGGCATCTCCTGAAGACAGGCCCAAATTAGGGGTTATTATTGTTGCCAAGGCAACCTCCGGGGTAATTTTCAGTAATTTTCCAAGAGAGAGGTATCTATTGACAGCAGAGTCCATACCGTGTTGCAGTATAGAAAAAGAAAACACAGACAAACACAAGAAGCCTATTTGTTGTCCAGAATATTCTGCCGCTGTGTAAAAATGCAGTTGAGAAAATGCCAAACATTTTACTCAGATTAAAGTAGCACTAACTCAACATCTTTTTACTCTAGTAAAGGAAAAATGTAACTTTCCAAGAATTTACTCAGAGTAAAAACGTATTTGGTTGAAAGGAAGCTCAGGTACAGAGAAAAAGATCAGAAAATCTGATTTAATTTCCTGAAATGATGTCAAACAGACAAAATAGAAAGTCATGTGCAATTTCTGTCATTTGAAAGAAAAATCAATAGAAAATAACATATTCAGGCAGAAGAAACTCTTTCAAATCATTTTTACTTTGTAAGATGTTTTTATTTGTTTGCATTAGCTCCATTATCTGTTTTGCCAATTGAATTTAACTTCGTCGAGCTCTACCTACAATTTTTCATCACTAATATAGACTTCTGCCTTAAGTTTATTTCACAGTGTGTATTTGAGGACAGTTTAGTCATTTAAGCTCAGATTAAAACGTGCACATTCACCCCTGCTAAACTCACTCTGCAAGATAAGCCTCCATACTGTCAGAATTACTTTTTCTCTCTGTGAAATCTTCTGATTTCTTCCTTCGCTGCTTCTCTGTAAAATATTCCGCATGTAGGTTTGAAATGTTGTGTAAGCCGAGCTATTCATGCTGACTCATGTTGAGTTTTGTCCTCTCGACTGTACATTTTCTTTTTGTCCCTTTCAGCTCTGCAATGGCGGCTCTGTGACGGATTTGGCCAAAGGCATGCTGAAAAGAGGAGAGAGGATGGAGGAAGCCATTATTGCCTATATTTTGCATGAAGCTCTGAAGGTGAGGATTGGTTTTAGCTTGCAAGAGGGAGAAGGGAAATTGGAAAATAGTCTAAATGGGGTAATTACACCAACAGGTGTTTCACAAAAAGAACAACAAAAAGAGTTAACCTCTTGTATTCACAGGGCCTGCAGCACCTGCACATCAACAAAACCATCCACAGGGACGTGAAAGGCAACAACATCCTGCTGACGACGCACGGAGGGATAAAACTCGTGGACTTTGGTACGCAGAGAGAGAGAGAGAGATCCTTTAACGTTACGTCTCTTTCTGGCACCGATCCGCCCAAATCGTGTTCTGGCTCTATTTTGCGGAAGAAGGTCAAACCCATTACTGGGAGCTGCCTGCCAAATAAACGGCGACGCCAATTAGTTTTGTTGAGAGGCCGAAACCAAATTACACCAGCTCGCCAACGCGGCTGATGATTACACTTTTCATTACACCCTATCTTCACTATTGTTCCCCAGACAGCAAAGGGCAGCGCTGCTATTCTTCCCCTGCTTTCGCTCATTTGCTTTTTTGGCTTTCTTAACCAAATGAGGCAACCAAAGTGAAGGGCTCATGATAGGCAAAGTGATTCTGACTATTTACAGCAGATGACTCACTCCCAGTTTTCTTCAGGCGCTGGAAGGGGAAAATAAAAACAGCTGCCTGTTTTCATTACAAATAAAATCCTCCCTCAACGTGTGTGTAGGTTTGCATTTTGTCTGCTAATTGTGGGCCGTCTCTTAAAAGCCTTTTCTTGTAGCTCCTCTTATATGAAGAGGAGCGGAGTGGAGGGGGTTTAATGGAGTCGCTAATGCGCAGCAAGTCCATCGCAGCTTTCTGCTTTCACTGTTTATTACAAAAGTTTTCAACAATACAGGGAAATAGCCGATGTTAAACTGCTGATATTTTATTAAAGTTGACCTGTTATATTAGATTTCATTCTGTTTTGACGTTTGATATTTTGAATGAGCTGTTTCATGGCCTCTTGTCACTTTAAATCCAAATAAGCTGCTTCTGGCCACGACCCCAATCAAATGTTTACACTCGCATGTGAAAGTGGCTGCAAACAGATGCACAATGGTACATCTTTGAAAAGCAGAAGTTGGGGCCCCTGCACAACCAACAGGTATGCAGCAAAAGGTTTCTGGATGGTAAATCAACAGTGAAACACTCGTCTTTTCCAGCAGCCGTTGTACAGTGAACACAGCAGTTAAACCAGCTTCTCGAGCTCAAGTTCGGTTGCTAGGTAACAGGGCTGGGCTCGGCCGGGGTTGCTAGGTAACGGCGCAGTACCTAGCATTAGGAGCAGCTCATTCTCCAAATGCCAAGTACATTCACTCTTTGGCCAACAGAAATCCGGCTAGGTGGTTTTATGAAACGCTGGAGGTGATTTCAAAAGCAGCTGAGAACAAAATGAAAAAGTGCAAAATCTGAAGTTTGCATAATAGCTTCCCATTAATGCACAGAAGGCATTTTTAATTAAGAAGATTATAAAACTTGACTAGAAATAACATTTTCTAAGCACGTCAGTTCCAGGCTGTTTGTTATGACTCTACAGCTTCACACTAACTTATTATTACAATTACGATGTGGCCAAGTGTGGCAATGAGCAGAAAGGGTTAAAAACATCTGTGGTCAGAAAGAAAGAAGCACTATTGCTAATTTATATTTTAGTATATTTTAATTTATATGTTTTTACAAGCAATTGACCCACATCTATACTAATACCATCTGACAACACTTTTTTCAAATTGAGGCTGACGTTGAGTTGTTTTCTGTGCCACAAATGGAAAGTTGTGATTGACTGTAGCATATTTGAAAGCAAGCACATCATGCAAAGCTTAGTAATTGAGGGTAAAATGCAAATAATAGTCAGCTGATGAAAAGGATTTTCTCCGGAAGCATTTGAAAGCTAAATGAGTTCAACTTTTTCTTGCTCCACATCTTGAATCTGCACTGTGTCAGTGCAATAAAAGCTACAACTCATGATTTAGGTAAGAGATGCTGTGGCACCACCACTTTAGTCTGCAGGAAGTGGATTGAAATGCAGGGCATTCTGGGTAAATACAACCAAAGCAAACGCAATAGCCTAGCACAAGTGGGAGAAATGGCTGACAGTCTTTTACCAAAGCGAAAGAGAAATCCTACATCTAAAACCTGTCGCTACACCAATTTTGTGAAGAAGGAAGTTGTGCTTATGTCTCCTTTTTTGTGGTTTCCTCCTGTGGTTCTTGCTGCAGCGCCTCCAGAGGTGAGGAGGGGGACAGGCTTCATTTAGGTTGAATCTTGAGAAAGATGGAGCGGTTTGGATAATAATACTGATGTGTGACGGTGACTCAAAGCGACTGGCGGTTTACTCCGCGCTGCGTCGTGCTGCTGGGATTAATGTGGGCTCTTTCTCATGTGGCGGATGAGGAGATAAAACCCCAGTTGTGACTCATCACTAACAGAGACAAAATGGCAAAGAGCAGCGGAAGAATGAGTGGAGATCTTTGCTCATGAATATTTTAATTGTCAGTGTTATCTCTGTGATGATTATTGAAAAAAGAGGAAAAAAGAGCCAATATCAATATGAGTTGTTTACGTACTCTGACTTATTCTAGATGTTCAGTTTGTCTTGGCTCATGTTGGGAGATTGTTTGGGGAGGGAGGATTTTAACGACACAACGTCGCCTGGCTGTCTGTGCCGCTTTGTGCTGCAGATGATGATAATCCTCTTTGATGCTTTTCGCTCCAGTGTTTTCTCTCCATCCTGCGCTGCCACAGCGTTTCAGAAGCTGCTCAAAGTTGGGTTTTACAGGCGCTTTTTTCATGCTGCAGCAAAGAGCCTTTAGAGACATTGTTTCTGTTTTAGAAGACATCTATTCCTGTTTAATCTTAGTTACACGTTTAACCATCTGGATAATCAGCTTTGTTTTCCTTCAAGCCACTTTATTTTAGAATAACACTCAGAGTTTATACGCAGAAAACTCTGGAACTTCCTGATTTCAGTGTTTTCTGGGTCTGGAAAAAAAACTACAGAAAACACTGAAAGATGAAAATATGAGAAAGAAAGAAAAAAAAATTGCTGTTTGTCTTTCTTCCCTTCCTTCCTTTCTTTTATTCCTCCCTTCTTATTTCTACCTTTCCTTCCTTAGTTTATATTTCTACTTTTTTCCTTTTTCTCTCCTCTTTTCCATTTCCAACTTTTCTTCTTTCATTTTTTCTTTTCTTCCTTACTTTCTGTTTCATCCTTTCTTCCTCTCTTTATTTCTATCTTTTCTTCTTGTTTTGTCTTTGTTCTTATTGCTACATTTCTTCACTTTTTGCTATTTCTACTCTCTGTCATTCCTTCCCTCTTTTCTTACTTCCTAGTTCTGCCTTTCCTTCATTCCTATATCCCTCATTTCCTTCAGATGTTTTCTACACTTTATTTATTTTTATTCTTCTGTATATTTAATTTACATTTCTTTTTTTCACAAATTTTCTTTGCATATTTTTGAAGAAATGTTCCCTGAACCTTTTTTGTCGGTTACTTTGCTCCTGCAAATAAAATAAAATATTATACTAATCAGGTTAATTGCTTCACCAACTCAAGTCCTGATTCAGTTTGAGAAAAACTAAGACAATAAACTTAACTCTTTTGAACAACTTCTTATTGCTGAAGTTTTTGTTTTAAATTTCCAACAAATTAAACCGGACAATGACTCCTGAGGTTCAGGCTGAGTTTTGCAGCAACATGTTGCCCCAAAGTTGCCTTTTTCTGTCATTAGATGTTTTTTGTATTTTTTTTCTGGAGGCCATTTTTGCGTTTTGGGTTCAACTGGCTTCAGTCGGAGCCACTGACACAAACCAACATGGCGTGACGATGCTTCATCTGGACCAGAGTCCCGTCTGCAGGCCAGCATACTCTGTGCTTTGCTCTATTGCACAAATAAAGGATGCGTGAGAAAACAATACCTCTCGTTTATTAACTAGTGGGTCTGCAATTAATTGCACTAATTATAAAACTGTCATCAAAATAAGCACTGTTTTTATATCAAAAAACCCCCTTCATCTGCTAAATTATTCAATAAAAAGACATATGAGATAATTTGTTTTGTTTTTAAATCTAATGTTTAGGTTATTCAACCATAAAATTGGTGCAAAATTTTATTATACACCAATGTAATTAAAAAGTACTTATTTTAGAAATGCACAGCTGAAGTCTGTTCTGCTTTAGCATGTTTAGCATTAAGATGCTATTTTCAGCTTGACAAGCTAATAAGCTAACTGGTTTTAGCACAACTTGAACACAACAGTAGTTATGAAATGATATTGTCCTGTTTCCAGTTACCAAGGCTTGTTACATTTGAATTTTATTCAAATGTTGTTCTTGAGATGTCCAGCAAAGTCACACTAGGATTTGTCATTCAAAGTAATGCATCAGCTTCTATCTGCATATACAGTATGTGTGTCACAGAAGAAACGTTCTTATACGTTTGAGCAACTTCTGCTTTTTTTGTTGAAATTTTGACAAATCATCACTTTTAGCAACAAATTTTATTTTTGTAAGAAACAGAAACACAATAAATAGATATTTATCAGCATGAATATGCCAGATTTATCCAAATAAGTTGATTTTCATCTGCAGGAATTTAAAAGAATTACATTATGATTTACAGTAAACACATATAATGAAAAATCGGTAGGAAAAAAAACATTTTAAAATAGATGTAATAGCTTTTTGTTGCCTATTATTACCTCCATTGAGCCTTGAGGCTAAGCTAACTGAAGTGTGCATCATTTTTCCTTGCAGGTGTTTCAGCCCAGCTGACAAATACCCGTCTGAGGAGGAACACTTCGGTAGGAACCCCCTTCTGGATGGCCCCCGAGGTACATGAAAACGGCCCCATAAAAGCTCCCCAGCCTCGTCTTTTTCCACTACATTAGCCTGGAGCAGATCCCAGTGGGCAGTTCACTTCATAATGATGCAAGAGATAACGCCGTCAAACACAGTGTGCAGGAAAAGTGGCAGCCTCCATCACTCATGTCCCATCATGCCCCACTGCCCCCAAGCTCCAGGCAGCCATTGGACAGAAATGGTCGTATTTAAAAGAGGCCATCACTGATGCAGATTTTATTATTGAATCATTTCTCGATTGCTGCACATAAAGGAAGCCAGTTTCTTTATGGTCGTATTTTTTGTTTGTAGACAAATATGCCAGCATATAAGTGATTAAACACAATTTGTAATTAAATTTCGCCTGGAATCACAGCTCACTAGTATTTTAATATGTTTAATATGATAAAATATTACTATTTTTAAATTGAACCAAATCTGGCTTTAGTTAAAATATTTAATTTCTCCGTTGACAAAGGAGAAACAATAAAAATAATAAATACATAATCCAGTTAACCTTTTATGTTTTAGTCAAAATGTTAATTTTTGTCATAGTTCTTGGACATCTAAAGTTAAAATACATTAAAAAAGGACAAAAAACTGTAAATAATGTTAAAAATTAGACACTCAAAGCACTTTTCACAGGAAACAAGAAAGAAATTAGTTTAGAAACTCTCTTAAAGTCATTGCTTTATAGAACTAATTTAGGTTACTTTATTTGTTCTTCCTCTTTTGATAATATTTTTGAACATAATTACTGGTGAGCTTTGTGTCGACAACATTTACAAAAGATACAAAGAGTCTCGAGCTTCAGAAACAGAAGATCCACCTTTCAAGCAAATCTTGAGACTTTTTTCTTTAAATTTTATTCGACTGAATTCACAGCACCTCTAACCCACAAACAACCAACCATAACTACGATTAACCCCAAAACTACAACGGAAGAGAAATTTGCAGCCTCTGTTGGGTGGAATTAAACTTCCAAGCCACATTTTGTATTTAAACCAACGTCTGATTGGAAACTGTTGCCTGAAACTCTGAAATCAAAGGAACATTTTACATACGGTTTGCATGCAGCACAAACCAGGCATTGGACCACAGCTGGTGTGACGCAAGAAGTCTGGATCCAAGGATTTCAATTCATTTTGCATGTTTGTAGACAAAATCCTAAGAAAGAGCCTTGCTTGTTGCTCTGTCTGACAACAAACAATTATTTACTGACTGATTTAGTTCTCAGGAGATTTAACTGATTTAGATTGAGGGTAAGTTTCATATTTTTCATCAGATTTATGTATTTATTTTTTACATTTAAAACCTAATGTTTCTCTAGGCTAGTAAATGATCTTGGAAATTGGCTTTGTTGTTATTTTCTTTAAATTCTGGGAGGAAAGTTGATAAATTAGTACTTGTGCATCTTCATGGCAAGATATCAATGATTTCTTTGCTCATATCATCTGTGTACATCGGTTAAAACCCGTTGAGAACAGAAAACACAAATTGTCTGATGTAAGACATTTTGCAATAACAGCAGCGAGTGTGTGTGTGTGTGTGTGTGTGTGTGTGTGTAGGGGTGTGTGTGTCTGCATGCCTTGCACTCGGATGATTCATGTTTTTGTTTGGGTACCATGTTACCCCCAAGCCAAATATGATTGACTGGAGGAGTGTGTGGCTCTGTGTGTGTTCACCTCTCTGAGTTAAGCAGTTGCTTCTTTTCTTGATGATCCCTGATGTTACTTTGCTTAGAAAATATATTTAACTGCAAGATACAGAGCTGCACAAAAGTTTAAATCATCCTATTTTATACACTGCTTCCAAAAATACAGTTTTATGTTATATTGCTATCTTTTTAAATATGGTTTTGTAGCAGATCTTTCTACCTCCTGTGAATTTTTTTATTTATATCTAAATAATCAAAATCTAAACATGTTCTTTTTTTAATGAGAAATGTCGTAACGGTGAAACTGTAACACCTTGTCGGCTATTTGTCTAAAAGAAACAGCCGCCTGCCTTTCTTAAAGAGGCAGTAGCTTGATTTTTACAGAATTTTATAGCACAATCATGTTACCCTCAGTTGCTATGAAAATGCTGTTCATATTAAAAACAGCTTAAAAGAAATGTCACTTTGCATTATCAACCTCTTGCAACTACGTCACTTAGTCACACGAGGCGCCATGATGGTAAGTCAGAAGTAAGGGACGGGAATATTGATCAGAGGGACCAAGTTTATTTTCCTGAGTTGTTTTGCTAATATATTCATGACTTCTACTTGTAGTAGTCGAGCTAATTTGTCTGTAGCGATAACACTCCTGGTTGGAGCTCATAGCTAAGCTAGCTTAGCTTAGAAACTGTAAGGCGTCTGTCTCTTTAAGAAGCTCCTGCTCTTTCTGACACTTTCGTATGATATCACAGCAATGTGCTAGGAAATGGACTAGTCTTCGCTGGTGTTGGTAGGTAACAGTGCACTACCTGGTGATTGAGACGTAACAATCCGTAAGTTTTTGAAATGGTTCATTTTTCAGACACCAAAACACATAAAGTTATTGTCAAAAAATGACCAGGGGTATTTTTTTCAAGTACTTTGACTGTTTTTAGAAGGAGCAAAAACCCAAATGAAAGTACAAAATGTGAACTTTGCATTATAATTCCCCTTTAAATACCAGCATAAGTGGCAGGATAAGAAACGATGCAACAGTGGCTTCATAAAGGAAGTAGACTCTATTTTACACTTATTTCACACGGTTCTGCCCCCTGTTCTTTCTCCACAGGTCATAGCCTGCGAACAGCAGCTGGACTCGACCTACGACGCTCGCTGTGATGTCTGGTCTCTGGGCATCACAGCCATAGAGCTGGGAGATGGAGACCCTCCTCTGTCTGACCTCCACCCCATGAGAGCCCTTTTTAAAATACCCAGGTAAGCCTCCACTAATAAACATTACCAGCAAGCCAATTGAAAGGTAAGAAAAAGTCAAAAATGTTTGTTAGTTTGAATAGAACAAAATAAATCCAATTCGATTGTTAGTGACCAAAGTGCGGCCTTCATGTTTTCATTTTTATTTATTCTGAAGGTGAAAACTAATTGTTTATCACCAATGATTTTGGTGTGAGACCTACATAAGCATTTACCTTCGATGTCCCTCTATCTGCTCTGTCTGTCCCTGATCTGACACACACACACACACACACACACACACACACACACACACACACACACACACACACACACACGCACACACACACACACACACACGCGCGCACACACGCGCGCACACACACCCACGCGGTCCCAGTGAAGCAGTGTTTGCCGTGGGGGTCGTGGTCCACCGGAGCCGTCACACGAGCCTCTCTGAATCTGTGCGACTGCTGCAGCCAGAGCTCCAGGCTTATTGTTCGCACTTCTTACCTCCCTTCTTTCACAGCTGCTGGTTTATTCGGCAGGCAGACTTAGAAAGAGAGATGCTGCGGGCTTTAACTGAACCACTGTCTGAGTTTATTTAGCACAAGATCACTGAGGTCAGCTTCTGCACACCCATGTTGCAAATCTTAATTATTATCTCTTTCAACTCTCATATTTTAGATTTATGCTCAATCTGAAACTAGTGAAAACACTTTTAGGAGTTTTTAAAAATACAATCAATTTCTTTGTTTATGTTTTATTTTATTTTATTAATCTTGTTTTTTTCCGTTAAACTTCAACCTCCATTTAAAAAGATCATTAATGAGAGGAAATGGTAAACTGCGTTGAAGAAAACACTGTTTGGGAGAATCTTCCACCTCGCACTTCTTTAGCTATGCAGAACAGCACAGCATTCTGGGAGATGTAGGCAGAGGAAAGACTTTAACTCTTGGGTTACCTAGCAACTCACTCGCTCTCCGGTTACATAGCAACAACTGGTTGAGTTACTGGCGCAGCAGCAGTTTAAGGTTTCTCCACCGTTTTTTTGAATGTCTTAAAAATAAGAAAACAACGGTGTGGAGTGAAACAGAAAGGTCACACCAAGATTTTGGTAGTAGTTCAGATACTTCAATAATCAATAGTTATCTATTGATTTTATCAATAGATAACTATTGATAAACACTGAGTTATCTATCAGTGTTTATTTTGTAATATCTGGAGTCATTTCTATATGCCACTCTGTTTGTCTTCTGGACAACAAAACACTCTTTAATAGTCCCTACATTCGCTGAACGCAGTCCAGATGCAGCTGCCATCTATATTTGCTGTTTTGTGTGATAAACAGGAGATGTATGTCTGCTCATTAGAGCAATTTATTGCTGCTGTTTGCAAAGCCGGCTGCATTAGCAGGGACCACTGACTTCTCTCCCATGTGCCAGAAACTCTCTTGTAAAAAGGTACTTAAAGCAGAAGGAGGAATTATGGTGAGTCATTTGACTGCTGCGGAGTCTTTTTAAGCAGAAGTGCTCAGTCTGTCTATTTAACAGGTTTTTTCTCCTCTAGAGGCTTTTATGGAAATCTGCACAGAAAAGAAAATGTGTTTTTATATCATAAATTAGCCGTATCTCTGCCACCCAAACACTTTTGCTTCGGTTCACCTAAAAAAATAGAAAACAGTCCTTGATGTTCTCAGTGACAAATTGTTCCAGTGTTGAGATTTCTCTCCATCATTCCTCTGGGTTCCTTTGTTCTCCTCCCGCGTTAATCCCGTCTTATCTTTCTGCTCATCTTTTCCATTTCTTCCTTCAACAGAAACCCTCCGCCGACTCTCCACCAAACCGAGCTCTGGTCAGACGACTTTAATGACTTTATCTGCAAGTGAGTGTGAAAGTCTCTCTGCTCCGGTTGGGATCGAGATGTTTACGCTGACTGGGAATACGATGCTCTGCCTTTGTTGTCCTGCGTCGCAGATGTCTGATAAAGGACTTTGAGCTGAGGCCCAACGTGTTGGATTTGCTGCATCATGTGTTCATCAAGCAGACTGTCGGCAGGGAGAAAATCCTGCAGAAGCAACTGATTGAACTCATTGATTTCAATCAGCAAATTGGATTGATTGAAAAAACAAGGTATTGTACCCATAGGGAAAGTGTACAGAAAAGGGTTATGGCCATCAAAAAATAATAAAAATTATATTCTGATTTTTTGGGGGGAAGAATTCAAATATTTTCTTCCTCAAAATTCTGATTATTTACTCAGAATTCAGATTTTTCTTTCTCAAATTTCAGAATTTTTACTTTGATACTGAAATTAATCTAAAAATTCTGAGTTTTCTTTTCCTTGAAATTCAGAATTTAGACTTGTTTCTAAAACTTCCAACTTTTTCTCAGTATTCTTTGTAAATATTTTTCAAAAGTCAAACAAATAACCAAACTCTTTAAGGTGTTTGTACACTGGTGTCAAACGTCCATTGATGATAGAAAAAGGGAAGTAAATTTTCAACTTTTGAGATTAACTTCAGAATTTTTATAGAAAAAACAAGAAAATTTCAGAGTTCCAAAAGTCAGAAATTTTGTCGGTAATATTTGACTTTTTGAAATAAAAAGATTTCTGAGTTTTTCTAGAATATTTCTGCAATCTCAAAATGAGTTTTTTCTTGCAAATTTTTGACTTTTGGAGCTTTTAAAAAAGTTTTTCAGGTCTATATTTAATGGAATTAATGGAAAAAATATTGAAATTTCAGAATTTGAAAAGTTGCATATTTGGGGGGAAAAGCTCAGAAATTTTTTGATTAATTTTAAACATTTTGTAAAAAAAAAAAAATTGGTGGAAAAATTTTCAACTTTTGGAGTTTAAAATTTTTAAGCTTTTCCTAGAAAATTCCTGAGTGTTTTGGCAGAAATGTACTCTTTTTTTATCAACAATGTCTCTAATATTCTGTCATATGTCAATTATATTGTTAGTTTATGTGTATGCACAATAGTTTCTTCCTTGTTATAGGATGTGCACATCTGCACTTCATCCTGTCCCAAAGTTAGTTGGTGAATTTGAGTTATAAGATTAAATTTCCACAAACAATTTAAACAATTCTGATTTTGAGAAATAGTCAGAATTCCCTTTTTTAGTTTTTTCAGTGGCCCTAATCTTTTTTCTGGTTTTCTTGTGCTCCTGTCCCTGCATCCCATTTCCACCCTAAAATGCCTCATATTTCCTCTAAACCCTGTGAGAAACACAAACCTGCTTTATGCCAGTCAGTTTTAAGTGGTGCTCCTCAGCTTAGCCTTTGTAGGCTGCATAATCCAAATTAACCTCCTTTCAGGATGTTTTACAAGCCCTGTCGCCCCCAAACAAACATCACCTCCATCCTGCTGCTGCATCAGTGGAGGTGCAACACGTCGGTCTGTTCCTGTATGATCATGAAATGTTAATCCTGTTTCTTTCATTTAAGCCATCATGGAAAGACAGACAGAAGTACAGACAGTAATGACAGGTAATGGAAGTATTTGTGGCCCCTATAAGCCACAGTAGGAGCTTTATGGTTCAATTAGGTGTGATTGTGTAGTTATATTAGCCAGATCAATTAAGTTTCAGATTTAGATTGTTTATATAGTTTCTTTTGTTGTAGAAATTGAATCTATTTGCTGTCATTTTTTTCTAGTTTTCTAGTCTGTAGAAATAGCAAAAACAGATTAGCTTTAAAAGATCAATAAAATTCCTTATTAATCTTAAATAATCAGCATTTTAACATGCATTTTCTTAAAAAAAAAAGTCTTTATTCTGCTGGGGTTTTAAATGAAATGTAATAAAGTATAACTTTGACGGAGAGGAAAATGAAGCTCGACTTTCAATTTTCTCTCTTTCTCAAACTTTGCTTTAAACTTTTAGTTTTTTTAAATTATCTCAATATATTTTTATTGATTTCCCAAGTAATAAAGTTAGTATTTTTGAACAATTTTCAGTAAAATTTGAAATATTTGCATTTGATGTGAATTTTATTCCAGGCATGAACGTATTCACACAAAGAAAGGAAGCCACATGAAGACGCAAGCCGACACAGACGAGGTGGACGACCTCGCCACCCTGGAGGTTCTGGACGAGGTGAGAAACAAAACGCTGGATTATTCAACTGTACAGAAAATATTTGACAACTTTCATAAAACAGGTTGCCTCTACAGTTCAAAAGAGAATTAGGAACTCTAAAAATGACTTTTTTTTCTGAGAATTTTAACATTTTCATCTCAGAATTCTGACATTAATCTCAAAATTGTGACTTTTAACTCAAATTCTGACTTTGATCCCAAAATTCTGATTTTTGACTTTTGGAGAACCATTACATTTTTTTAATCCCAAAATCCTGCTTTAAATCTCAAAATTGAGGCCTTAATATCAGAATTTTGACTTAAACATCAACATTTTGTTTGATCTCAAAATTCTTGTTTTATTCTCAGAGTTCTGGCTGTAATCTCATAATTCTGCATTTGATCACAGAAATATGGATTTAATCCCAGATTAAAGTTCTGCTTCTGCTGGAGTCTTTAATGCAGAAAAGTATCTAGGAGGAACCAAAACTAACTTTCTGTAAGAGCATGTTGAATTTTTTTTTAAATATTGTCTGTTAAAGTCAAAATAATTTCTTTCAGTGTCCTAATCCTGTTGCATACTTGTGGGATTTCTGTTCCTTTCCTGAATAAACAAACTCGACTCAGATCTGCAAGGCTGCAGTGAAACTATTTTTCTCTCAGAAACTGTAAAATGCAGATTTATTTTATATAAACTATTTATTGGTATGCCAATATAATTGCTTTTGCTGAGTAATTTATCAAATCTGGTTGCTGCATTGACGTCTCAAATGATGCAATCAGCTTCGGCTGCCGGCGGATATTTTCCTCCATCCATCAATCTTAGACGCTCAGCTGTTGCAGATGAACCTGGAAGTGTTTCGACATCAGTATTGATCATCACTTCATGAAAATAATACGCTGACACAGCAGCGGCTTTGACTTGCTGGGGATTATAGGAAATATTTTATGCTGATAAGCATAAAAAAGTCTTTATTCTGCTGGGGTTTTAAATGAAATGCAACTTCACTTAAGCTTCTTCACTGAGGAAGAAGCTTAATTCTTTTCTTTATGTTTGTGTGTTTTTTGGGTCAGAACACGGTCACAGAGCATCTGCAGAGCCGCTACACCAGAGATCGGATTTACACGTATGTTGGTGACATCCTGATTGCTGTGAATCCCTTTCATAAAATGGAGATTTACTCTCCTCAGGTCAGTGGAGAACCATTAAATTTATTTTATTTACTCATGCTAAGCATGTTTGGTTGTCAAAACTCTTTAAAAATCTCTGCTTTTCCTTTTGTGGTATCATTCTAACTATTATTTATCAGAATGTATGACAAGGGTGTCCATTAGGACTTTTGTGGCCTGGGGGCAGAAATTTTTTCTGGCCCCCAACTGCAGTTCAGGAATGACACACATTTATTTTTTATATTAAATCAGGGTAAAGTGATCAATAATATATATTTTTTGCAATAAAAAATATTAAATACAACACAAAGTAATTGGTTTTTTCAATAAGTAGAACCACGTCGATCCAGAGACATTTTTTTTGCACCCAAATCAGCTTTTTATTTAATTTATTCCAATCAGCTAAATATAGCAAAACTTTTTAAAAATCTTGTTTTTATAAGTCGGAATACATTCTTGGGAAAATTTAAAACTGTGCAAAATATTTCTTAAGTGTTGGATTTATGAAGAATAACATCCGTTTCCTCCAAAATTATAGAAATATCTGGTTACTTTATTTGCTTGAGTTTTTATTTTTATAAATAGAAACAGCCCTGATTTACTCATCATATCTAATGTTTATCTTTCACCTCCATGTGAATATTGTGTTTGAATATAAATATATATTTTTATTTTATTTCTTTGTAGCAAACTAAGATGTACATTGGCGCCAAGCGCACAGCAAACCCTCCACACATCTTTGCGGTGGCGGACATTGCCTACCAGTCGATGGTCTCATACAACACCGATCAGGTAAATTACATTTTGGGACATAAAAACACTTTAAATAAATTAAAATATTATTACAAAGTCCATTTATTTCAGTATCTATATCTAATTACAAACGGATGCATGTCTTCCAGGCTTTATTTCTGTAAATTATGCTGATTTTTCACTTAGCTTCAATAATAACATGAGATTTAAGATTAAAATATTATATCAGATCATTAAAAACTGAAGCATGGACTACACCTGGTTTCATCTCTTTTTGCTTTTTTTGTTGCTAAATGATTCAGTTCATCAAACTACATTTATTATCAGACAAATATAAGCCTAGTGAATACAAAAAGCAGTATTCAAAGCGGCGGCTTTAATTTTTCAAGGGAAAAACATGCAGATCAACCTGGAAATATATGAAAATGTAATTGTTTAAATAGTTTAGTTGTGGTTATTCTGTGCTAAGCTGCTTTTTTGTGATTTATTTTAACTAGTAATACCAATGCTGTCTGACCTGTAGAATCAAGAAATCAACATGAGGTAGGCTAAAAGGTCCTAAAAAGCAAAACATCATTATTTGCAGTTTCTAATGCTCTCTAATGCATAACAGGAATCAGCAAATACTCAAGTACTCCTCTAAAATCGCTTTAAACTGCATGTTTTAATAGTCAAATATAACTTAATACGCAGAGTGAAAGCCATTTTGTTGCTACTGCAGAAGCTAAACTCCACGGTCTTCCTTATTTCTCCTCTTGAAGGTTCAGCCAATCAGCACCAAGGAATATAAATGCCACTCCTGGATTGGCTGCTTCGCAAAAGCCAGCTAATAACATGTTAGCTAGCATTTCTCCTACCTGTTTCAGCTTCCCAGGCTGAGCTTTTTTTCAAATATTTTAGAATAGGTGAATTTTCCGTGTGTAATTTGGAGTTACGGTCCACAGACAAATCTGTGAATACGCAGAAAAATACTGTAGTAAGTCTTTGATCAACGACCAGGTTGGTTTTATGATGGCGTATCAGGGCCGTTCTAGATAGAAAAAATAGGAATTCATTTCTACTGGAAAATTGAAAAAAAAAACACCAAAAAAACAACAACAAAAAAAAACTTAGAAATGTCCATATTTTTTCTCAAAAATTCTGAGATTAGTTTGAACATTTTCTTGTTTTTTCTGAACACACTCAAATTTTGCTTTCTTCTAACATGCTACTTATCATTATTTTTTGTGCTAATGCTAGTTAGCATGCTTTACAATTCCTTCAATTAGCATGCTAAGTATTTGGAAAATGTATTAATTCTGATGTTATTGTTGGGATTCTCCACCTCTAATCAATTTGATTTTGCTGAATACTAAGTCAGCAATGTTCATTTTTATTGAGTTTTAAGTCATTTAGTCTTGATTTTTGTGACTTCCTGTGTGCAGTGCGTTGTGATCAGCGGGGAAAGTGGAGCAGGGAAGACGGAAAGCGCACATCTGTTAGTGCAGCAGCTGACCATTCTCGGGAAGGCGAGTAAATCAACCTTCATCCCTTTATCATCATATTTTATATTCTCTCTATTCTGTTTTTTTTTAAATCACACAATTAAAAACAGAATATTTATTGATAAATTATTGCTGCATTATTGCAAAGATATTTGCACTGAAAACTAGACTAAAAACACTGTAAAAATGTTTGTGTTTTTGCATTCTGGAGCTCTGTTTCGGTTACTTTTGAGTTTGAGTTTATTATGATGAATTTTTTGATTTACAAACGTTCGTCTCTTCCATTCTCTTTGTGCCAAGCGACTTATTGTGTTGTTTTCTGTCGTTTTCCTCCATTCTGACCTGGAACAATGTTTCGTTCAGGCCAACAACCGTACGCTCCAGGAGAAAATCCTGCTGGTCAACAGTCTGGTGGAGGCTTTCGGAAACGCCTGCACCGTCATCAACGACAACTCCAGCCGCTTCGGGAAATACTTGGAGATGAAGTTCACCGACGGCGGAACGGTGATCGGAGCGCAGATATCCGAGTACCTGCTGGAGAAATCCAGGGTCATCCACCAGGCGATGTAAATACTTTCCCGTCTTCCTGAAATTCATCCGCACTGACATTCATACAAATTTAAATCACCCAATGAGAAAACAGCACCATAAAGGTTGTGTTTCCACTCAGCGGTCGGGTTCAGTGTGTAATGGACTGTCTCTTTCTTTCCTTTCACCTTTACTCACCCATTTGAAGCTGGTGACATTTCCCTGCGGCCTGCACTTCAGCCGCTCCGTCTTTTCCTCTTATCAGGTGTCTGGGGTCAAGTGCAGAGAAGGGCCCATTTCTTGTTTGATCAAAGATTGTTTTCTAGTGAGCTGAACTTCAAAGACAGACTCAAGTATTTCATTAGAAGACAGACACAAGGGTCAGAGGGGCTAATTTGGCAGGAAACAAAGTGTGCCGCTGCTTTTTCTGGAGCTTATTATTGGAGAGAAAGCGAACAAGATGGGATCCATATCAGGCTGCAGATTCTTTAAAACAGTTTGTGATAAAAGAAAGATCAAAAAGTCAGAAATTTATTGCTTTTTGTGTCCAATGGACGTCTTTGATCAACATCAGTTTAAAAAAACAATATCTAAAATAGTTATTCTCCACTACTTAATTTGTAATAGGTAATTGGTAGGCTTTTGAAATGGCTCATTTTCCAGACACTAGAAACCATTATTGAGTGTTTTTAACATGTTTTGTTTATTTTTAGAAGCAGTAGGGACCAAAATGGAAGTACAAAAACAAGCAAAATGTACATTTTTCACAATCCGTCCCCTTTAAATAATGATGAGAAAAGTCTAGCTTATACGATTCTAAAAGGTGTGCAAACACGTTTTATGTCCACAATTAACCAATTTGTTATTTTCTGATTGTGTGGATCTGAGCTTTTAATTCGTTGGTCAAACCCAGCTTTTGTAATTCACAGCATTACTCCAACAAATCAGAGAAACTTGTGCAGTTTTAGACGCTCTTCTATGTTTTTATGTTTTCTGCAGAGGTGAGAAGAACTTCCACATTTTCTACTACATTTATGCTGGTCTGGCTGACAAGAAGAAACTAGCCCACTACAAGCTGTCTGACTGCAAGACACCTAAGTAGGTTTCATCCCTCAACCCTCTTATGTTCTTCCAACTATGTTTACTTTGTGCTTCTTCAGAGTCCAGCTGTCACCCTTGTGTTTCCTCTTTGTCCTGCAGGTACCTTTACACAGAAAACTTGAAATTAGGCCCTGACATAGTGAGCAACGCCCTCTACAAAGAGCAGTTTGATGCAGTAGAGCAATGTTTCAAAGTCATTGGATTCACCCTGGAGGTACGAACTGCTGCAGTGGAAACCGGGGACAGAGCAGCGAGTCGCCCCTCCTCAAGACTGCACCACAAATTATTACATGGAATATTATCAAACTAAATTCAAACGTCTTCACTTTTCTCTGAAAAGCGGCACATGACTATTAAAAAGGGTCAACATCGTCTGTGATGTAGCATAAAGCTACAGCAAGGCGTTGTCATTGAAACGGCTAAAGAGGCTCAAAGCACCGACCTCTCCTGGGATCGGCACGTCAATATCACTTATTCTGTAATCACTCTCTGGAGCTGGAGCTAAAGCACATCACGCATCTCAGAGTGTGTAATAAATCCCCTATTTCAGGGATTAAACAGTGCAAAACATATTTATGAGATTGTTTTTCCCAACTTAAAAGTTCTTTCTCAAATACTTTTTAGATTTTAATTTTCCCAGTTTGATTGGGGAGCAAAATTTCAACATTTGTTGCATTTTCACCTTCTGTGGTTCTTTTTCACACTGAACTGTGTCAAACAAACCAAACTAATTAGGAAATCTGTTCCCCTCCTTGCCTGTGGGGGCACTGCACTAAGAATTACTGAAGGAAATAACACAGAAACCTCTGAAGAAGACATGACCACAACTTTCTTCTTCACTAAGTGCAAACAAAAATGGTGTAGCGTCAGATTTTAGAAAGGCCGCGAGCTATTTATTAATCTAGCGCTAGACTAGCTTGTTTGTTTTGGTTGAATTTACCCACAATTCCCTCTGTTGTAGTCCATTTTCTGTTTTTGGAGAGGTCACATATGGATTCCAACCACACCAAGATTGTCTTCAATCGAACTGAGACATAGTTTTATGTAGGCCTCCAGTAAAACATGGTGGTGGCAGCATCATGCTGTGGAGATACAAGTACAAGTACAAGCCACACTTTCCAGATTTTAATTTGAAAATAAAAAGATCACCTTCAAAATTATTTCCTACTTTGTGATGATTTATCACACAGTAATTTTTGTTTTGCCTATATAACAATCAAAAATGTTGATAAAAAGCAGTTGAAGTCTAAATAAACCTTTGAAAATCCTTCAGGAAGCTGATAAATTATTACCAGAAAGTTTGGATTCTTGAAGGAGAAGTATGTTTGCAAAAATGCAAGTCGTTTTAATCTTCTCCAGCAGCTGTTTATCTGTCGTTCCTGCAGGAGCTGGGCAGTGTTTACAGCATCCTGGCGGCCATCCTTAACTCTGGTGACATTGAGTTTTCTGCAGTCGCCTCAGAGCATCAAACTGACAAGAGCAACATCACCAACATTTCAGTCCTGGAGAACGGTGAGAGATCGGGAGAATTTGTTCTGCTCTCCGTCCCTCCTCCCTCTGTCGCCTTCCTACATTCACTCTGCAGAGAGCGCGGGTAAAAATAGCACTCTGTTATTGGGAAATAAATTATACATCAGCAGAGACATGCAATTCACTGAAAATTGTTAGCAAACATGTATCACAATAATTAGATTTTGCCCTGTGTGGTTTATATAATCTTCTCCAAATATAAACACACGTTCCAGCTTGGTTGTTTCTGTTAATCTGAAATATTTTCTATCATTCCATTACTACAGTTTAGCTTTTATTATCTTGTGTTTCCCGGCAGTGGCGTCCCTGCTGCGGATCCGGTCGGACGAGCTCCAGGAAGCCCTGACCTCCCACTGCGTGGTGGCGCGGGGTGAGACCATCGTCCGGCCCAACACGGTGGATAAGGCGGTGGAGGTGAGGGACGCCATGGGGAAGGCGCTGTACGCCCGGCTCTTCAGCTGGATCGTGAACCGCATCAACGCGCTGCTGCGGCCCGACAGTCAGCCGGGGTGAGACCAGGAGCAGAACATTATACTTTAGAGCAGAGGTGTGCAAAGTGCGGGTCGCGGGCCATCTGTGGCTCTTGAAAGGATGTTGTTCGGACCTTGGCCACGAGTCAAGAAGGTTAAAAATTTGATCAACAAAACAGAAAACAACTGATGACCAAAACAAAATGAGGAAATTGTCTTGAAGCCCTTTTTATGTTTTGGTATTTTCAAGATTTACAATAAATCTCAATAAATTAAAGTCTTGTCTTTTCATTTAATGAATTTTGTGCCCACCCACCACCAGTTCAAATCTGCCAGTTTTGGACTGCGGGGCAAAATGTTTTGACACTCCTGCTTTAAGGTGTTTCCACCAGTAGATAACATTTGTTAGATTTTCAGCTGCTACAGTCCACCTTCACACTGCACTTGTCAATCAAGCCAAACTAATTGAAAAACCTGTTCCCCTCCACACCTGTGGTGGCGCTGCACCAAGAACCAATGAAGGAAACAACATGAATAAGACATGGATGCAAATTCCTTCTTTACACATCGTAAACAAAAATGAAGTTTCTGCGGTTGTAGGATTTCTCTTTTGTTATTGGAAAACACCGCCAGCTGTTTTTCCCCGTTGGCGCTAAACACGCACGTTTGTTTTGGTGGTAACACTTTATTTGAAGGGGTGTGAATAAAACTGACATGACACATGTCATAAACATGAAGGAGTTTTTCTGAATGTTTATGACTGACTGACTGACAGATTTATCGCACTTGTAATGCAGTCTTGCATTAAAAGTGTCATTGTTTACCAAATTATGCTGCATGACATTCATGAAAGCTCCTTCATGCTTATGACAGGTGTTATCTCAGTCCTATACACACCCCTTCAAATATACAAATAGAGTGTTACTGTTTGCCCAGTGCTATAGTTCACTTCCTGCTTTTTTATGTTTGTGTAACCAGGCTGAATTGTCTTCCTTTGTCGTTCTTATCACCTCCAGAGAGGACGATAAGGGTCTGAACATCGGCATCCTGGATATCTTTGGCTTTGAGAACTTCAAGAAGAACTCTTTCGAGCAGCTCTGCATCAACCTCGCCAACGAGCAGATCCAGTTTTACTTCAACCAGCACATATTCGCTTGGGAACAGGTAGAGATGCACCTGATCGACACTTCCTGCCAGTTGAGATTTATTTAATCCTTCTGATCAAAAAACAGCTATCACCATAATTTCATCTAAACCCGACTAACATGTCTTTTGTCTGTTAGATAGTTTAAAATGACCTGTTATGCTTCCTTGAACAGGTAAGAATAGGGGCAACACAAAACATGTTCATTGCTTTTTTTTTTTTTTTGCACAGAATCATTCAACAAAAATGCAGCAAATGACATTTGTTCTTTCCAGCAGCCATTGTACAGCGCATTCAGTGGTAAACTCAGCCGGTAAAACATTCAGCACTGTATTTTTAGTCTGGTTTCCTGTGCAAATATTTCAGTAAACTTGAAATAAGGAAAATCTAACTTAACAGCAACTTTTCAAGAAGAAATTGCAATAATTCTTTAATTTTGATGCCAAATTTTTTTGCTTACACCAATGGAAAAAAAATTATTTTGCGAGTGGAAGTAGTACTTTGTAACCAAACTTAAGCAATTATTGACTTGAAACCATATTCTACAAAGATATAGGAGCTGTTTTTCTTTTTAGTTAGTTCTGCTGTGGTTGCTAGGTAATGAACAGAGTTCTGCTGTGGTTGCTAGGCAATGAACAGAGTTCTGCTGTGGTTGCTAGGCAATGAACAGAGTTCTGCTGTGGTTGCTAGGCAATGAACAGAGTTCCGCTGTGGTTGCTAGGCAATGAACATAGTTCCGCTGTGGTTGCTAGGTAGCAGTCAGTACCTGCTGATTTGCAACATTATATTCTTGAGGTTTTTGAAATGGCAGATTTTCCAAAACACCAAGAAAAGCATGAATTTATTTCCAAAAAATGGCTGGATGGGTGTTTTTTTTTTAATGCATGGTCTGTTTTTAGTAGCTGTAGGGACCAAAGTACCAAAACATAAGAGGTCCCCTTTAAAAACTTTCAATAATGTCTGCTGCTGTCTTTATTTATGGCAGAATGAGCTTCACATTTCTCCCTTTGTGTTGTCTCGCGGGAGGCTTTGCCTAGAGGGGGTCACAGAATGGTTTGCTAATGTTAAACGATTTGGACCTTCCCGCAGAGCGGGGCAATAAATCACCTCAAATGAGGGTCAATTAGGAGCTGGAGACACTTAATGTTGGACTTTAATTCACTCTTGGGGATTGCTGGAACCGGGCCCAGAAATACATTGTTCTTTTGCTAACTGAATGTACATAGAGAGCATATGTGAAATGTTCATTACTGAGATTAATAAGCATATCCTTAGTGTATTACAGGTTCATATGCATTTGCTTTATCACCTTATATTTCCTTTAACGTGTTTAGGGTCTAAATTTGTTTGTTGTGTCATGTTTTTTCGTGATATGTCATGATTATGTAACAGTGCTGGTTTATGCTGCAACAAGCAGATTGGTTTAAGGTTGTTTGTTCCCATTTTGTCTCTTTCTCTGTTGAAGTCTCTTGTGATATTTTGCTGAGTCATCACAGCTCTGAGTCAGCCTGATGCAATAAGGGGGACTGAAACGGTGGCTGCTCTGCCTCACATCAGTTGTATTTAAATAAGGAACATCAAATCAGATTCAACATGCACATCTACTTTCAAAGATCTAGGGCTGCAGGTAGTGTTTTTTTCAAATAATTGATTATTCTGACAATTAATTGAGTGATCAGATTTTTAAAATAACACGTTCTGCTAATATTTTCTATTTAATTACTTAACCACCTAAATATGTTCTTAAATAAGCCCTTTATGCTTCACTTAGCTGATCTTTTCTCTATTTTTTTCAATTAACCAATTAATAATTAGATAGACAAAGGTGTTTAATAGGAATATTTTACAGAATTTGACTCAGATGAACAAAAACTGTGACACTTGAAGAGCTTTGGGTTGAACATAATTACATAAAAAGAAGGTTTTTCATCTAAAATGCAAATTGTTCATGTTTTTGTACAGTTTTGGCTTCATTTCTGCCTTAACAGTGTTGTTTTTCAGAAAAAAGCATATTTCTGAGTCTCTATACTCCAAATAATGATTATTCAATAACTAAATTAGTTGACAGTTATTTCAATAATCAATTAATCTGATTAATTGTTTCAGCCCAGGGAGGTTATAGAATCTTATTACTACTTACAGGACATTTTTCAGCAGAGTTGAGTGGTAATTTGTTGCATTTTCTTTCATTCTATTATTTGTTTTAGTTATTTATTGAATATTTTTGTCACGACTTGTAGAGATCTATGGTTTTCTGATACTTAGAGTGTATTTTAGGCTCCTTGCAGGTTGTAATCTCATTAATCACAGTGTTGTATCGACTACTTTACTGTCATTTACAGGAGAGGTGTCCAAAGTGTGTCTCAAAGGCCATTTGATGCCCTTGAAATTATTTTGTTTCGGCCCCTGACCACAAGTCAAGAATGGTAAAAAACAAAACAGATAATGACTGATGACTCAAAAAAAGGTGGAAATTGCCTGATTTTAATAATGCAGCAGTCCAAAAGCCTTTTCATTTTTTGGCTCTCAAATGACAACAGATTTAATTAAAATAGTTGAGCAAGTATAAATAAATATCCTAAAGTCTTTCAGCCACCAAATTGCAATTACAGAGTTTTAAAGGTTGGTGAAAAGATTTAAGATGCAAACAAACATTTAAAAATAGAAAAAATAAATGAACTCACAAACGTTACTGAATGAAAATACAACATTTTCTGGAAGCACAAAAGTTTCCCAGTTTCAGTTGAAGGTTTTTCTCCCCTGATTAGGATGAGTATCTCAACGAAGAGGTCGATGCTCGGATGATCGAGTACGAGGACAACCGGCCCCTCCTCGACCTGTTTCTGCAGAAACCTATGGGGCTGCTCTCCCTGCTGGACGAGGAAAGCCGCTTCCCACAGGCCACAGACCAGACGCTTGTAGGTCAGTTCATGTTTGACTGTCTATCCAAAGATTTTACATGCATCCATTTTGTTCAATTTTGTTTTTACTCACCGTCTAAATTCACCAAAACTGGAGATTTTATATTGAAAAGAAGCATTTGTTTTTAAAATTTGTGACATTATATTACAGTGATAACAACCTGACTAGTTTTGTAATTTGCTAACGATATACTGTTTGGTATTTTAGAGAAATTTGAAGATAATCTGAAAACAAAGAGCTTCTGGAGGCCTAAAAGGATGGATCTTGGCTTTGGTATTCATCACTATGCTGGGAAGGTAAGTCCCCTTTTATTAAACATGACCTATTTATTCTTCTTTGAACAGGCTAGCATAGCTCTTTGTGCCGCACAAAACATGCTCAATACATTTCTTGTACAAAATTCTGCTTCGATAAGGAGATTTTAGTTTGGTCTTGTCACTTTAAATCCAAATAAACTGCAGCTGGCCACGCCCCCCCAACTCATGTGAAAGTGGCAGCAAATATACGCTCAATTATGCAACTGTACATCTTTGAATAGCAGGAAGTGATTTCTGAATGGTAAGGCAACAACAAAACAGTAAAATCAGCTGACCAAACTTGCTGGAACTCTTCTTGGGTTGCTAGGTAACAGTTCCTATCTTATGTAACTTTTTGAAACACCTAATTTTCCAAACACTACAAAAACATTAACTTATTGCCAAAAACACAATAAAAGTACTTTTTTAAAGTACTTTTAGAAGCAGTTGAGACTCACATGCAAGCACAAAAAGGTACCAAATTTTTATTTCGCATAAGAGGTCACCTTTAACTCCCAAAGTGCACTGCTAAAACTTTTCCAGAGGGCTTCTTCCTGATGTTTTTAATCTTTGTGAACTTTAAGGTGATTTACAACGCTGCTGGCTTCTTGGCCAAGAACAGAGAGACACTCCCAGCAGACATTATCCTCCTGCTGAGGTCATCGGAGAACGAGCTGATCCGCAAACTGGTCACACATCCTCTCACCAAAACGGGTAAAACCAGCAGCAGATTTGGGCAAATTAACTAAAATGTCCTGTAGAAAACAACCTCCTCATGATATCATTGTGTACTGTTTTTAACAAGAAACAAAAATCTGGTTCGCACAACAAGGTTATTGTTCTTCATTGTTTGCAAGATATTTGTTGTAAGGTTTACGTTAAAACCCAGTTGGCAGCCAAAACTAATCTCTTAATCGCCTCAATGAAAGCTTCACAGCTTTTATATCAAGCAGAGTGAGAGTTTTATCACTGAGCTAATCTACAGTTATTCTGGGTTTTAATAAAATCTAAACCTTTTTAACAGAGCTGTACAGAATATAAAACCATTTGTTTACAAAATGGTGTAAGAAACTGTTCAAAATGCTGTTTTGGGTGTTGACAACATTTGAGATTTGGAAAATTGTACCTTTGTTTACAAGAAAGAGTTAAAAAAAAATATTGTCTTCAGGGCTGAAGACAAACAAAAATGGCTAAAATGCAAAACAAAAAATACCAAATTCAGACAGAAGGAACACTTTTCGGAATTAGCATAGAGCTTAAGAGACTAATACAGTAGGTTACATATGGAACATGTTAAAGGATAGTATAGTACTTCCATTAATGATATACTATTTACTGTATGTTCACTTTTCCTTCACATGCTGAAGCGGAAATCAGCATCTTACTGTAATCTGGATGACATGGTTGAAAAACGCATCACAAAATAAAGGTTTAATATTTGTTTATATTGATAATAATTGATTAGTTTTTTTGTCTTAAATATCTCAAACGCTTGTGTCACCTTCCCCGTTTTATCCAGTCGATACTTTGGCAAAATCTAAAACTTCTGCTGCTCAAAGTTACTCTCTACTTTGTTGCTAGGTAACCAAAGAGTGAGTGAGTTGCTAGGTAACCAAAGAGTGAGTGAGTTGCTAGGTAACGAAAGAGTGAGTGAGTTGCTAGGTAACCAAAGGGTGAGTGAGTTAGTTGATTCCACCGACTAGTTTTAGCGAAACTGTGAGAGGCTAAAGTCTTTCCTCTGCCTTCATCTCCCAGAATGCTTTGCGGCTCTGGATTGGAGCTCCGTGGAATTATTGACATTCTGCTGATCTTGATCATATCATGACATACATTGTTCTTGACTTAATGCCCAGTCCTTCTCTAATCTTATCTTTTATAAGATAATATTATGAAAGATCTAATCTTTTATAATATTATAAAAGATAAAAACTCAGGGGAAACTCAGATTTGTTAGACCAGCATTATAATTTGATATAAAATTGGAGGAAATTAAAGTTTGCTCAACTTGTTGAAGAAACATAAGATTTATGATTATTTTATAACCGTTTGTAAAACATAGGGATAATGACAAATTCTAAATATGAAATGTTATTTTTTATTATATTTATTAATTTGAGGACAATTCTGTGCAGAATTTCTGCAGGGAAATTTTTTATTTAAAGCGCTGCGTCTTTGATGCACTGTGTATTTCACAGGTAACCTTGCCCACACTAAGGGTAAAGGCGTAAACACACTGAGAGCGCCGCGGACCCCCACACGGACTATGACCTTGGCTAAGGTACAGTGTACTTACCTGCATTATTATCATCACATCATCTCCTTCATACACACTTTCAATTTATTTATTCTGACTTAATTCCTCTGTGATTTAAAGTTTAATCTTTTGTGTTACTGCAGAGTTTTCTGTTTCAGCTTTGATTACTCCTTGTTTTATTAATTTCCTTGCTCTTTTCTCTTTGCATTTGTTTCGGAAAAGATGGGGATGCTTACGTTGTACAGCTCTTTTTCTTTTAGCGAGGTAATCAGTATATTTATTTATGGATTACTCCCTTACGTAAACCTTTCCTCCTCCTAGAGATCCCCAAACAAAACCGGTAGATCCAGACTCCACATGTCGGTCTGTTTGAGCTTCCTTATCACCAACATGCTTGTTTGATACAAAAATCTATCATTTTGTGGGTTAAAATCTGATGTTTAATCTATATTTAACATTATGGTTCATCTGTATTTGGATTTTAATTGATGGCAAAACAGAAAGTTGTGCATGATGTTGAAATGGAAGAAAATCATTCATAGTTTTAAAGTTTTTTAAATTGAAATCTGGAAAGTGTGGCATGCATTTATATTCTGCTCCCTTTATTCTTAGTCCTCTAAATAAAATCCAGTGGAACCAAGTGGCGATAATACCAAAATGGATCGGCTCGGATGGATTGTGAAATCTTTGTAAACAAAAATGCTCATAAAAATATTAATCATCAAAATGGAAAGTTTATTTTAATCTTCATTTTTCAATCCAAACATTCATTAACCCACTCTGCTGCCATCTTTTAGCATCCGCTAAATAAAACCCCTCCTGGCAACTTAATTATGGTATTTGCTTGTGTGATTTGCTTTAGATTGCAGCCGTACCGTTTGTTAAATGTGGGCCTGGAGGCGACTAGCTAACCTCAAAGCTTTGACAGAAGCTACATGCTCTGTGCTTGACGAGTTCTTGCATTTATTTCCATTCATTTGCATAAATTAGAGCCTGAAAGGCTCATCAAAGCTCATCATGGCTCAGCTCTTAACAGGAAACAAAGAGACGATTAAACAGCAGAACTGAACCAGGAGCAGCACAGACCTGATACTGTGGAGGTTCATTATGCATCCAACTCTACATCCAACTGTACATCCATCCATCCATCCATCCAACAACCAACCAACCAACCAACCAACCATCCATCCATCCATCCATCCATCATCCATCCATCCATCCATCCATCCATCCATACATACCAACCAACCAACCAACCAACCAACCAACCAACCAACCAACCAACCAACCAACCAACCAACCAACCAACCACCAACCAACCAACAACCAACCAACCATCCATCCATCCATCCATCCATCCATCCATCCATACCAACCAACCAACCAACCAACCAACCAACCAACCAACCAACCAACCACCAACCAACCAACCAACCAACCAACCAACTAACTAACTTAAATCCTGGCAGCTTCTTCCATCCGTCTTTACTCCATCATTTGCAACAATTTTTAGGAGGAAACAAAAGTCAGTTTTGAACTAAATGTATTAATGGCCGATTGATTCATCAAAGAAATCGCAAGTGTCACATCAAGGTTATGCTTAAAATAGATTAGAAAAAACTGCAGGAAGTGTAATTGCAGGACACAGTTGGTAATATTAGTTTATTTTGTATTTTTTAGCCAGCAGAACGTGGTGAGGCCCCGTACCATCCGAGAGAAACCACCAACATGAAGACGCAGACCGTGGCCTCGTACTTCAGGGTAATCCAGCTTTAAAGAGCTGTTGTTCTTCAACACTTTTAAATCTTTAAAAAATATCAAAACCACTGAAGCTGTAACAAACATCACAATTAGAGAAGTCCAAATGTTCAAAGTGAGTTCATTCTGCTGAAATAAACAGAATTAATTATTCATCTTTTTACACATTCCTGTAAATATGGAAGGTTTTGTCTTTTTAGACATCCCGCTTTGTGTGGATGAAACTAGCTTAAATCCAACCTATTTGTGTCGTCACAGTACTCTCTGATGGACCTCCTGTCCAAGATGGTGGCCGGGCAGCCGCACTTCGTCCGCTGCATCAAACCCAACAACGAGCGCCATGCCAACAAGTTCGACCGGGAGAAGGTTCTGGTCCAGCTGCGCTACACCGGCGTCCTGGAAACCGCCAAGATCCGACGCCAGGGCTACTCCCATCGCATCCTGTTTGCTAACTTCATGAAGAGGTCAGTTTTCCACTGAAGAACCTCGTAACCTCGGCGGAAACTTTAACGCTTTTCCCGGTTGAATGAATGCGATGAATCCTGCAGGTACTACATCTTGGCGTTTCACGCTCATGAAGAGCCGGCTGTGACTCCAGAGACGTGCGCCGCCATATTGGAGAAGGCAAAACTGGAAAACTGGGCAATGGGGAAGACCAAGGTGAGGAGAGATGGTCGTCAAACAGATTAACAGTCAGTAGCTTAACTAGCGTTTGCCAGATCTAAAAGTTTTTCTTATGTTTGACCTAATCTATTAAACACCTTAAATTACTTTGAAATTTAATTTGTGAATCTTAATTAGCTCCAGAGCAAAATGAATTCCCAGCTTAAAGGGACAGTTCAGCAATTACAGTGCAGTATGTTTCAGTTATCACATTTTGCACATTTTTGTACTTAAATTTTGTTTCAACTTCTTCTAAAAACTTCTTCTAAAGTTAATGTTTTTTGGTGTTGGGAAAATGAGCCTTTTGGAAACCTTCTGATTGTTAAGTCACATTCAAAACCCTGAGCCTTGTTGCCTAGCAACCCAGGCTGTGCTCCAGCATCTTTGGTCAGCTGGTTTTATTGCTGTATTTACTGTACAATGGCTGCTGGAAAAATAAAAACGAGTTTCGTTGTTGACTTACCACCCTGAAACCATTTGCTGCATTCTTGTTGATTGTGTAGGATGCCCCATTTCTGCTTTTCAAAGATGTACAGTTCTATCATTGCGCATCTATTTGCAGCCATTTTCTGTTGTGAGTGTAAACACTGAGTTGGGGGCGTGGCCAGCAACAGATTATTTGGGTTTAAAGTGACAAAAAGAGCAAATTCTGAAAGGACAAGACTAAACTCTTATTTAAAATGATTTTATGCAAAAAATGTTTGGTTTAGACCATAGAGATATCCTTAGGTGACCTTTAATCTCCAACTGTCTTAGCGTTTCCTCCCTGTTGTGCTCCCAAGGTGTTCCTGAAGTATTACCACGTCGAACATCTGAACCTGATGGTGCAGCAGGCGACGCAGAGGATCGTGCTGCTCCAGGCTTGTGTCCGAGGCTGGCTGGGAGCCAAACGGTACCGGAGGATGCTGAAAGAGCGAGAACAAAGCGCTCTGGTTCTGCAGTCAGGTTGGTCGGTCGGTCGGTCGGTCCACGCTGACGCTTCACTCAAAACACAAACATTTATGCTGATTCATGCTTTCCTCTGCAGCTTACAGAGGTCACAAAGTTCGGAAGAAAGTAGCCGACGATAAAAGCAAAGTGAAGTTTGACACTTTTATAATCCAATTTCAGGCTGGTAAGAAAACTTTGCAGACCAAACTTCAGATTTGAGTGTAAAATTGTTTATATTTGGTTGATTGCTTTGCTTGCTTCAGTTTGCAGAGGATATCTGGCAAGAAAGACGTACAAGGAGTTGGTAGATGAGAAAAACAAGGCAGCTACCAAGATCCAGGCTCGCTACAGAGGCCACAAGGAGCGGAAAAGTTTCCAACGAAAACGGTAGAAGAGAACCAACATTTTAAAATTCATTAATGAGCAAAAATATTTACAACCTTTGAATTCTGTACATTTTTGATTCAGTAGTAACAAAATGTTCACTTTATTTTATTAGGATATTATGAAATAGATCAACTCAAAATGAAATAGATCAACTCAAAATAAAATATTATGTGAAGTAGAAGAAAAAAATTTGAAAGTTTCACATTTTTGTTTTTAGAAATATTGTGGAAAAATCTCCTTTACTTTTTCTGACAAAATCTGCAACGATGTTTGTAGGGAAGCCAAAGAGAAGGAGAAAGCGGAGACTGCTCTTAAAGAAGCGGGACCAGAACCTGCTGATGAAACGGCGTCTAAAACAGAAAACAGTGAAGAAGAAGAAGCGAAAGCTGCTGTTGTTCTTCAGAGCAACTTCCGAGGCTACAAAGAGAGAAAAAAATTCAAGGAGAGAAAGAAGACGGTGGCCGGAGCGGAGCTGGAGATACCAAATGAAAACAAGGAGAAAACTGTTAAAGATGGAGAGGAAACCGCAGCGAGCAATCAGGAGGAGAACAACGAGGAAGAGGATGAGAGCACTTATGAGGCAGAGGAGAACGATGACAGCGATAATACCCAGGTACCGGAAGACGAGGAAAACACAGAGGTGAGCGACGAAGCCGTCATTCAGGACGCAGAAACCAGAAACACAAGCGCGCAGGAAGCTGCCAATCTAGAAGAGGAAACTAAAGCAGCGACTGTCATCCAGAGCAACTTCAGAGGCCACAAAGAGAGGAAGAGGCTGCAGGAGGAAGGCAAGGTCACAGGTAAGCAGCAGAAGAAGGAGGAGCCAGAGACTCCAGGTGTTTCTTCTTCTGGTGATGATCCAGATGAGGCAAAGGCAGCTGTGGTGCTCCAAAGCAACTTCCGCGGACACAAGGAGCGGAAACGACTCGAGGAGGAAGGAAAAATTCCCCGGAGGAATAAGAAGGAACCTACAAACGAAGAGCAACCCGTTCCCGATGACCAGGAGAACGTTCCGGAGGCGGCGGACGAGGAGAAAGCAGCGACTGTCCTGCAGAGTAACTTCAGAGGACATCGGGACCGGAAGAAGCTGAAAGCTGAGAAAGAAGCGCGGCAGAAAGAGACAGATGGCGGAGCAGTTCGTGATGAAGCGGAGCCCGGCGGGAAGGAAAAGGACGAGGCGCTGGATGTCAGCGATGTGGCGATCGAGCGCAAAGAGCAGGAAGATCTGGAGAAAGAGAGGCGGGAGGAAGAGCATGCAGCGGTGAGAATCCAGAGTAACTTCAGGGGATATAAGGACCGGAAGAACCTGAAGGCCAACAGGGAGGCGGCCCGGACGGAAGCCGAGCAGCTGGAAAGTTTCTCCAAAGAGGTACGGTCCGATCAGAACGGAGCCAACATTTACTGAGACACACCTCACCGACATGACATCATCTACTGAAGAGGATTAGGGCACTGAAAAAAAATTATTCTGACTTTAATCTGAGGATTCACTGTCATCTCAAAATCCTGATTTTTTTTAAATAGAATTATTTTCTTCAAAATTCTTTTTTTTCTGAGAATTTCCTCAGAATTTTGACTTTTTTTCCTCAGAATTCTGATTATTTTAGTTTTTTCCTCTGAACTTTAGTCTCTTAATTCTGACTTCAATCTCAGAGTTCTTATTTTTTCTCAGAATTTTATTCTGAGAATTCTTAAATTGTAATGGTAGAATTTTGATTTTAAAGTTTAAGTATGTAGGTTTTATTTTAAATATATATTTTTTCCATAGCTGTTAAAACAGTCACCATGTCGTCACAGTATCATATAAAACAGGAAATCTGTGAAAAATATTTTGCTCCTTTTTGTGCTGTTATTGTCTTTTGAAGAAATGCACCTTTTCTGACCAAAAACAACCAATAAGAGCCAAGAGGCGGGTCTCGGCGCTGTCAATCATCCTCACATATGCTGCTTAATGTGCTAATTATTACTTATCACAAATAGCACATTTATCCTGGGTGGCTTTACTAACTAGCCTGGCTCTGATTGGATTTTTTTACATAGTGATATGTAGAAATATGTCTTTTATAAAAGTTGCATATTGCAGTTTTAAGTCTGTGATTAGTGACCAGAGCCACATTAGCGATACACATATTCTTTTTCTTTTTTCTTTCAGCATTGCTGGTTGGTGAAAGAAAACATTGTTATTCTTATTCTACTCATATCTTCACTAATCTCTCCGACAGATTGCGGAGACTTCCCAGGACTTTGCGGCCCTGCAGCAGAAGCTGAATGAGATCATCCTGGCCCATCAATCAAACCCTGAAAACAATGGCATGTTTGTGAGAGGAAAAGCAATCAATGGCTACGCCCCACAGATTCAGTCAGGTAAGATGGTGAGATTGGCTTAGTGAGAAACAGATCATCCACCAATGAATATCAGTCATACTGCTGGCAGACACTCAGCCGAGGTTAATGTGAACTTTGGGCTTTTGAAGGATAATTAATACTGTCACTTAAGAGAGAGATGGTTCAATTTTTTACTGTATTTATGAGTCAAGGCATTAATAATCACCCAAACACAAAGACACCAACTGAGCTAGGAAGCGATGCAATAAGCGTTTGGATCATTTTCTTGAACTATTCAGCAGATTTTATTGCAACCTTTCTCGGTCAGATGATGATTTTATCAAGGCAGCTATTTTTCTCCTCTTCTGTCGTGCAACTTCATTAGATCAGGAAAACCGAGAAAGTCAAGTGCCAAAACAGGAAGCGCCTCGCCACTTGATGTGTCATCAGAAGTGAAATTTGATTTGCACAGTTGATAGCTGTAATTGGTTTCAGGGCGGTGAGCGAGAGAAGCTGGAAACTGAAAGTTTGGAGTCTGAAAGCCCAGATGGCGCCTCGAATGAAACAGTCGAGATGGATTCAGGTGTCTTTAACTATGAAGCACTGGAATGCTATTCTATTTAGAAAATATTTCAAAAATGATCTAATTTGTCAATCATTTGATATTATTTTAATTGTGTAACTCAAGAGTATTTCAGCTACTTATTGTTATTATTACAGTAACTGTAACTTGTTCACTCAGCTATATTTCAATATTGTTGAAAAACACAATTTAGCATTTCCATTAAATAATAAACAGAATTAAAATCACATATGTATAAATTTGTTCATGCGATAAATAATTAAAAAACATGCAATTCCATTATCCTGGAGTCTTCCTGTCATCTTCTTCTTCGTAGTTTCTGCCAGTGGCAACGTCCTGTTGTGTTTTTTTGGCAGTAGAAGAATATTGACAAAGTAATGGAAGTAGCTGTGTTTCCATTGACCATATAATTGCATAAAAAAGGGTAAGCTAGTAATCTGCTAGCTTTAGCTACATAGCATAAAAACTGACTTTAACAAAGGATTCCAGACAGTTTTCAGACTGTCTGTGGTCACAGATTGAATAATCTGCGTAATTTCTAAGGGGAATTATCTGTTTCGCACTCTGAGATCACTTTTCAACAATCTAATCCGTCTTCATGAATTTTGGTGACACAGTAAGCTGAACCAGAATCATTAGCGCCACACGCAATGAAAGCAGACGAATGTCGGCCGCACTGTTCTTCATAGAAAAGGTCAACAAAAGTTAATCATGTTTTGTGAGCCAACAATTACGGCAGAAATTAATTTGACGGTGTTTAAAATTAGCGTTAGTCGTCGGTGTGAAAGAGAATGACCTTTTAGATGGAGTTGTTTAATAACATTAGACACTTTTCATCTTCTTTTCCTGGGAGCTTTTGCATATGATGGATTGTTTTTCTGCCAGTTTGAGCGTTAATAATAAGCGGCAAGCAAAGGTCAGTCTAATTGCAATAACATAGATGAGTGATATTGTCTAGAAGAGCACTGAAGGTAAATTATGACAAATAGCAGCTTTGGTAAAAGTCAGACATTTTGTGACGACACAACATGGATGTTAAATCATTTATTTGTTTTTGATATTTTGTTACAGAAATGTGATCGACAGCATCCAGGTTATATAAAATACACAGGGTCATTGGAGATAAACTGCTTGGTCTCATAGTATTGTATGAAAATAGATTTGTGTAAAGTTTAGTGGAAGGAAAAACTGACAGAAAAAACAATTTCAGATAGTCGCCTTGTAAACATCATACACTTTATCAGCAAGTTGATATTTATTGGGTCTAAATTCATAAATGGACACTTTTCAGATTCATGAGAAATTAATGTTTATGCATTTCTAGAATGGTTTGTATTAAAAATCTCAGTTTTACACACAAAAATACTCTTTCCTGGACTAATTTTACATGACAACCAAGCTAAATTTTGAGTTATAAACACTAAAACTGTAACATTTTCCAAGTTTTTCCTGCAGAGGCACAGTTGTGATTGCTTCTTTTGTTACTTTTCAGTCGCCTGAAGCTCCAAAATTCAAAACTGCCACTTGACATTTTTAAATGTTTCTGTTACTTTTCAGCTGACAAGAGATTTTTGAGAACCCCCCGCAGAACGCAGCAGCCCAAAACCCTGAACACACCAGAGGACTCCACTTACTACACGCTCATTCATGTGAGTGGCAGGAAAAAAAAAGCTGATTGATTCTGGATATTTCTGACTGCAAACTTTAGAAACCGTAATTGCTTTCACAGTTGCTGGTTTTTACAATGCGCCATTGATTGGCTTTTTATTTTCCTTTTATTGTGCTGATGAGGCGTTTACCGCCAAATTGACTGGAAAAGAAAAAGTTCTCTACTTTTTGAAAATGTTTTTTTTAAATTATTATTTCAGCAAAGGAACAGTTTATTAACTTTATTCGGCCAAATTACTCATTTTTACAAGCCAACTTCGCGGTACCAGAACTCTGTGACACTTTGCGCTATCTGAAAAATTCAACAGTTTCTGAAAGAGGAGACGTTGCACTTTCCAGCCAGTGTCAGGTTATTACGGTAATTTTATTCCTGCAACTGGAGGAATCATGTTTTCTTCATTTTAATCTCATAAAACAATCTTTCAATTGAATGTAACTGGAGAAATTGTCACTAACAATCCTATTCATCAATTTCATTCATATTAAACATAAATTATATATAATTATTTTATTATTTTTATATGTTTCTCTAGAAAATCATCCTGGAATTTTCTTCCCAATGAAAATATATCCAACCTTTTAAATTAAGATCCATATATTTAAAAACGCTTTGGTTGACTTTAAGTTTTTTTGGTTTTTTTAACTTTCTTTTAATATGGTTCTACTTAGTAGTTTTTTACTTGGCACTGTATCTGTTTTGTTGTTTTCTGTATTTATTTATTTTAGTATAAATATGACATAAAGCTCATATATTTATGTGAGGGGACTTTGTAAAGTTCTTTATAAATAAAGTTTGATAATTAGCTATTAATTACAGCTTATATTAATTCAATAACTATTATTTATTTTATGTCGACTTGTTTTACATTTTGTTTTTCATTTCTTTTTATTAGAATTTTTTCTTTTAGGAAAGTATTTCTTATACTTTCCTAGTATTTTTCAAATGTTTTTTTAATATAATTTTTATACATTTGTTTCTCATTCAAACAGTAATATTTGCTTTTTTCCGTTTTCCCACTCAGAGATCTGTCCAGGACGATAAACGCAAACCCAGAAAAGAGGAGTAAGTATCTAGATAAATTGATTAACCGTTCATTCATTCAAATTAGCTTCACTAATATTTATTGTACCTGTGAATGAAGTTTTAATTCTCTTTAAGAAATAAGTTAACTTCTTAAAATTCCTGCAATTTGACCCAAAAAGTGCTGGAGCATTCTGGGAAGTGAGTGTCCATGTGGGAGTTCATGCATATTTATGTTGTGCAGAAGACACAAGGTGAGTTTACCGCCCAGAGCGAGGAAGTGAAGATAGACTGATAGGGCTGGCTGAACAAGCAAGAGGTGCTTTTTCACCACAGCTTGAGGAAAACACACACACGCACACACACGCCACGATGCTCTAAACATCAAGGCGAATAATTTGTTAGCAGATAAATAAAGCCAGGAATGGACAGGAGTAGTTTACATGCATCATTAAGGATGAGAAGGTCAGGAGAAACGATGGAGCTGACAGGTGGGAGATGGGAAAGCGTTGGCGATAAGGAGGGAATTGTACTGCGAGTAAATGATAATAAATGTGTGAAGGAAGGAGAAGCAGGAAGGGAGGCTGTGCTGAAGGTATGTAGAGATTATAGGCACAGCTGCTTTAACGTCTCTGTAAGATGCAACAAGATGGGATGAAGCATCCTGTATGATCCTGGAAATCCTCCACTTATTGTGAAAAAGTGATTTCACCAAAGGAAACATTTGATTTCACATCTTAATCTAGTTTCTGCAGATATAGAAAACAGTGAAAACTTTTGCTTTGGCTATACAGAGTAGGATCGCTTTTTAAAATGTTGCATCATCTTTTATAAAATATTACAGGGGAAATTATCAAGTTTAGCAACCCTCAAATATCTGGATCACTGTTTTGTGGCCAGTAAAAAATAATTTATCGATTCAGGACGTTTAAGCTGGTCCAAACCTTGAAATTGTGAATATGCAAATGTGCTAAATTTACATTTTATACATTTGTGTACATTTATTTGTGTCTCTACTGCTTCTAACAACAACAAGCCAAGCTCTAAAAAAGATGTTTTTGGTGAAGATGAGTGGGTTCAAAAACCTCCCACTAAGTCTAATTCAACAGGCACTACGCTGTTAGCTAGCAACCAAAGTGTAGCTCCAGCATGTTTGGTCAGTTTGTTTTACTGGTGTACAATGGCTGCTGGAAAATACAAGTGTTTTGTTGTTCACTTATCATCAAAAAACTATTTGCTGAATTCTTGTTTGTTGTCCAGGAGGCTCCACTTCTGCTTTTCAAAGATGCACTTTGAAAATTTGTTCTTGCATTATTATCTTTTATTATGTTCTTGCATTATTATTTGATAATTGCATATCTGTTTACAGTCATTTTCAGGGGTTGTGTAAATGTTGAGTTGGGGGGTGTGGCCAGCAGCAGATTATCTGGATTTAAAGTGACAAGACACCCTAAAACGCCTCATTCCAAACTGAGAATAAAATCTCGTTATCTAATTAATTAGAATTGTCACAATGACTAATTTTGTAGAACCATAAATGGTCCCAGAAGTTATTTGGATAAACAATAATATTGTTGTTTTGAGAACATTGTTAATTAATATATTGATATGGGATAATAATGCAGGAACACATTTTCAAAGATCAATCAACTTTAAATTTTTATGAACATTCAACTCTGGAAAACAAAATGTCCGGTTCAGCCCTGTGTTTGTTCTCCAGTCCAGGGAAGCAGCTTGACGTGGACGACCAGTACTACCGCACCCTGTCCACCAAACGGCCCGAACCCTCCAGCTCCACCCGGGGGACGCACGAGAGGAGGCAGTCTGTAGAGAGGAGACAGTCCATGGAGCGAAGACAGTCCATGGACAGGAGACGATCCACGGTCCGCAGTCACCACGGAGACAGACGGCTGTCCACGGACCAAAGGTCGGCAGGTTCTAGTCGACAGATGAGAGAGAGGGCGGTCACTGAGCCCGAGCTTCCCAGACCCGTGAAACAAGACAACAGGTGCGTCCTCAAAGGTTCTCGATGTGGAGAAGACGATATTTTAAAGTTCTGCCTCTTGGCGCCAGAACCTTTCAGGGTCCACAGGGGTTCATAAGGTTACAGCGGCTCTGCAAGATTAGATGGTGCAAGACATTTAAAACCCAGTAAAAGAATCTTAAAATCAATCCTGAGACGTACTGGGAGCAGGTGTGATGTTGGGTTGCTGTGACATGAATCTGTGATGGAAACTGATTCAACTGGTTTTCTGTGTTTGTGGGGTTTTAAATGCCATGCAGTCAGAAAAATACATAAAAAACAATAAATAGTTTTTAGTGATAGTATAACAAAAATACGGTGCTGGTGGCCACATGACTCTCTGGATGTTGATATAGAATTTATTCATAATGTAAACAAATGTCAAAATATTAAATCATTTAATTAAAATAGATTGTTTATAAATGAGTATTTTTAAAGTTTGAGGTTCTAAAAGGGCAGATTTATCTGCCTGGTGTCTGTGATGGGCGGTTTGGATGATGAATGGTCAGAGATGATAACCAAAATGAAAACACAAATCGTTTCATCTCCTCCTTTTTGTAATTTTGCTTTGTTTGTTTTGTGAGTCTCCATCTTCAGAACCATCTGTGACACGTTGGGTTTGTGTTTGCAGGCGCTCCGTTCCGCGGATGTCGTCGACGGAGAGCCGAAGCGGAGACAATCCGTACGACTTCAGGCACCTGCTGAGGAAGACGTCGCAGAGACGAAGGCTCATCAAGAAGTACTGAACCGGGCCGGACTTGAGAATGGACCTGCAGCTTCTCCTGTGGCAGATTTTAAACGTTTTAGAGAACGTGCAGGAGATCATGCGTCACTGGTTTCTGAGAATCAAGAATAGATTGTAAATAATAAATGTAATAAAGTTGTTGTATATTAAGATTTATTCATGTTGACTATTGAAAGTGTTTGTGTTGATGCCCATTTTCTTAATTTTCACATATTTACTTTTGGAAAATAAGCCTCAGATTTGTTGTGTTTTGCTGTCTCGATGTCTTGTTTGTTAATTTAAACATAAAGTATTTTAAAATTATCTTTCTTTGCAGTCTCATCATATTACTGCATCTTAAATTATATTATTTTCTCTCTTTTGCTGCTTTGCATGCAGTTCACAGACATGATCTCAGACCAACCCCAGAGATTTACTATATTATTGTGAATTTCTCTCACATTCAGCTTGTAACCTTTAGAGGAGGAACAACCCCACAGGGACTGTCAGGAAACCCCCAACTACAGGCTTACAGAAAATATCCCCCAAAAGCTACCACTGCTCATTAGGACCAATGTAGATAGAAAAAAAAAGACTTTGACATTTTGGGATTCATCTCAAAAAAATTCTGGAAAAATCTTTTGGGCTGCAAAAGTTGAAAATTTGCAAGAAGTAGCTCAGAAAGCATTTTATTTAACCTTAGAAGCTATAAATCCCAGATCTAAACTATTACTCTGTTAGCTTTCTGTAGCTGCTGCTACCTTAATAAATGGTTCAGCTTCTGTTTTACTCTTGTTTACAAGATGCTGCTTTTCAAAATTATTGCTATACTAGTAGTTAGTATTTACTACAACTTCATTTATGTTTATAATTTGAGACATAAATGGCTATTTGGATTATTTTAATGTACAATTCCTGATGAATTCAGGTTTTAATGAGAGTTTTAAACAACAGGAAGGAGTAAAACTGACCAATGAGAAGATTCACTGAGTAGAAAATGTGGAGAAATGTCATTGTTTCTAATTTCAGTCACCAGAAACAAACTGAAGTGGAGCGTAAATCCATAAAGGGATTATTTAAAGACTTGTTCATCTAAAACTATTTGCACTTCAACTATATTTGTAGATTATTTACATTTTTATGAAGGTACCAAAAAGAAGCAATAATAGTCAAATGTCAGATATTTTGGCTCAATAGCCGCAGTGATGAGCGCAGCTCTTGGAGTGAAACACATGGTGAGAAATGCTGGACATTTTGAACCGTTTTGCCTTTTGGAGCGGAGCTTCTCTGCTCTCCTCCCCGCCCTGCAGGTTTCTCCTCTGGACGCGGCCAATTAGAGCAGCCGGTCGTCAAAAGAAAAAACTCCGCAATCGCCTTGCGGATGGATTAGTTGGCATTCTGCGGCTGTGCGCAGGGTAAGTTGTGCGCTCCAGGGGAACGAAATGTTGGGGGTGGACGGAGTCACGACGCGCCACGCAACGCGACTCGTCATGACCCTGGAGTGAATCACGTAGGAATTTCTTTGCTGACGTGAATTTTTCTGCGCGGCTGCGGGTGTTTGAGTATTTACAGACATCTGTGTTTGGTTCCTTCCACATCAACACTTGATTTTCTTCTTCTTTGTTTGAAAAGGTGCAACGTTTCATTCAGAACTTCCTTTGTGTTTTTGGTTTGTTTTCTGTTTTAATCCCTGCGCGCACATCAGACGCGCCGCTGTTTTTTCTCTTTCTTTCTTTTTTCCTTTTTTTTTTGCGGACTTTTATGCGCACACGCTGCTCCATGCATCCCGCACCTGTGGACGCTCTTTGTGTTTCGTGTTTTTGACGCGCTCGCTCCCACGCCGCACGGAGCGGTGAGTCGGATGCGCCGCGGCTCTCCGGTCACATCCAGCGCCGCAGCGGCCGCGATCAGCTGCGTGTGGATGGGCTCTGCGCCTGCTCCCCGCGCCTCCCGCACCTCCCAATAACCGGCGACAAATGGCATCACACGGCTTCTGGACCCTCGGCGGGGAAAATGCGGGGGCCAACACCGGGAGTCAAAGCCCCAGCACCCGTGAGTGGCTTCTTATTCCTGGATGATTTCCTCTTCTTCTTTTTTATTTTTATTTTTATTTTTTTGTCTCTGGCCTTCCATTTTTTAAATCTAATCTAGCATATTTATGTGTATCTTCTTATAAAAGTTAGAAAAATAATTCGACATGTGAATATTTTTATGTTTTCCAGCCAGGGCTTGGTGCCAAGCAGCTGCCCAGAAATTATCCGGAGGAATTGGATCAAAGTTATGTGGTACGTTTGCGATTCTGGTGTTAATATGTCAGTAATGTAGTGGGGGTTTTTGGAGGGGAGGGAGTTTATTGAGTCATTTTGGGATTTCTTTTATTCCCCCAAAGCGCTGCTAAATGTCGGAGAAGGGGAGAAACCCGCCGAGCCCGCCGCCAAGCAGCCGCCGCAGACCGCTGCGGGAAGCTGCGGCTGCAACAAATCCTGCACCTGCACCAAAAGCACCGATGTGGGCTTCTCAGACCTCTACTCAACAGGTAAACAGCGCAAAAACTGCGCCACTTAATGCGACTGCAAGTGTTTCATTTGACTCACGTATTTGTGAGAATATTCTCAATTCTCAATCAACCAAATGCTCCAGATTAAGGCCTTTTGCTGTGTTTTCCTTCTTCATTACAGCAGATAATGAAAATAAAACTTCTCCTCAGGCCTATTTATTGTAGGCGAATGTTTTCTGTCATATTTAGTTAAAATACACTGTTAACAAATAAATAAATGATGTGAACAGTCTGAAAAATACGTTTAGTTTTTATTTATTTATTTTCCTCAGAGGTCACCTTCACCTTTCTCTCCTCATGAAGTCTAAAAATCTTAAGAAAACACAAATATTTACATCTTTAAAAAAATCTAACCACGCGTCAAATTTTCCACATGAATAATTTATTATGAAATGATATGATTTTTTATTTTATTTTCCTCCTTCGTCGTGTTTAGAAATCCCTCACATGTTTATGTGATTTTCTATCCTTTCTTTTGGCCTCAGACCTGCTGCCTGCCATGGACGGAGACACCAAAACGATGACCTTCCTGCAGGAGGTCGTGGATATTTTAATGGCCTACATAGTCGAGTCGTTCGACCGGGAAACGAAAGTGATCGATTTTCATTATCCCAACGAGCTGCTGCAGCTCAACAACTGGGAGCTGCAGGACGAGCCGGCCACGCTGGATGACATCTTGATCAGCTGCCGCGCAACTCTCAAATACGCCATCAAAACAGGTGAGCGCTTTTACGCACCTGTGTGTTTGGATATTTACCGTTTTACACGTTGAAAATGAAATGGAAGCGCGGATGGTTCCGCTTTGTCTCAAATGATTGAAGGTGATTGGTTTGGATGGAGGCCTGCAGTCAGATTGAAGCGTTTTAAAGTGAGAATTTGACTTAAGATGCAAACAAAATGACGAAATGGAGCAATGTGTAAGAAAATCAGTCGGTTTTGAAATATGCATTTGTATGTTAAAGCAAAAAATAACATAAAAAATAAGTCACTAAAAGTGCAAGAAATTTGTAAAGTTGCACAAATGAATTGCTACACTTAGAATAAATTAATAATAGAAAAAGACATGAATTAGAATATATATGTAAATAATTATTGATAATAAACAATATTAATATATATAAATGTATGAGAGAGAGAAAAAATTTGATAAATGAACCAAAAAATCTGCCCAGAAAACGCAGAATAAATGTTCTGTCTTTTAAAAATAAAAATGAGAGAGGAAAGAGAGTCAACATGGAAGCTGTCCTCCTTTGGTTTTAAATGTCCTCCTGCTGCTCTTCCTCCTCCTCTTCCTCCTCCTCCTCCTCCTCATACTGCTGCTGCTGCTGCTGCTGCATGGCCACCAGACCGATAAATGCGGCGGCGCAGTAAATCTGGTTCAGCAGGCGGCAGATAATAGGCTAATAATCAGGCTTCATAGGCCAAGTCCATTATTCTCTGCTGAGTGACGTTTACAGGAGCAGGATCAGAAACCTTTCAGCAGCCTTAAATAAAGGATACAGCCTGTTTTGATCACACAATAACCGATTTACTGCTTATTTTAGGGGCTCTGTTGTGGTTCTAATGGTATATGTTTTAAGTGTGAAATGAATCCATGAATAAAAAGCTTGATGATGAAGCAGTGGTGCAGATTTGGGGTGTTTACCCTTTAATAAATCCCAGCGCCAGCCTCTGCGCCTGTGAATGTTTTCATCGTTTCCGCGGATTATTCAGAAAGCCTCGCTGCATCTTCATTCCCGCTCTGTAATTAAAGCATTTCTGAAATGACAGTTCTGATGCAGTTTTCCAAACAAAAGCCTTTTAAATTGCATTCCTCTCTCTCTCTTTCCTCCTCCTCCCTCTTTCTTTTGCAGCGCACCCCAGGTACTTCAATCAGCTCTCCACAGGATTAGACATGGTCGGGCTGGCAGCCGATTGGCTCACATCCACGGCCAACACCAACATGTGAGTATGCGGCCTGCCTCAGCGCGATGCTGCGCGCCGATAACCCAAGCGATGACAATGAATTTCCATTTCCTGCTCTGCGTCTGCAGGGGCAGATAGCGGCTTTTTATTTACCCACTCACCCTGTTACCCCTCCCCGTTCACCTCTCGTCCTCTCGGGGATTCAAGGGAAGAAAATTAGCTCTGAAATTAAATTGAGAGCCAATCAGGACCTAATTGTGGATGTGTGTTTTGGGGATGATAAACTCTTTGGCTCTGGGTGCGACGGGTTGCCCCACTTATTGCTAAAACAATAAATATTGTGTATTTATTTCAAAACGGACCATTCACATCTCATAACATGCCAGAGTTTTCCACAAAGGCTTTTTTTCATCTCTACAATCAAATACGTTCTAAATGTTTGTTTACGTCCGGAAGTCCTGCGCATGCGCACAATGCCGGATAGCCGCGATAGAATAATTCCGTTGACAAAATGAAACCTGAGTTGTAGGTATTGTTTCTTGAGCGCTGTGCGCCCAGGCAAAGGAAAAATAACGCATAAAAACAGCTGAAGAATAATTCAACACCACTGGTATTCTTTTTTTTTCTCACTCTCTGTGTCGGCTATGCTCCGCTATGCTCGTCACAGACCCGTTGGCCAAACAACTAACTGACAACAACCACTAATGTAAACACCAAACCATTTCAAAAACAAAATATTCAGTCTGTTGCGATATTATATCTTTAGCCTTGTTGTTTATTTTGTGCTTATTAATAAGTGATTGTGGTAAATTAGCTAACACTGCTATTAGCTAAGCTATTGCAGCTGTGGCTGATTAGCTGGATTAGCTAAGTTAAGCCTCTTCTATACTGGTGATCTGTCAGAGAGCTGTATTATTTTTATTATTTTATATTATTTTTTTAAGTGATTCTAACTCCGCAGCACATCTACATGTTAAGGTTGTCAAAGTTAAGCTAGTTAGCTGACCTACTTCCTTCTCCCGCCATTTTTCGTAATTAAATCTTTTCTTAATTGTCTTAGAGTTTACAATTAGTAGCAAAGCACTGTATCTCTTTTTATTTTATATATCATGTGTACAATTAAGATTTAGCGAATTATGTTGACAACTTGACAGCTACAACCAAACAGTCTTTATCGCCTCGCATAGGGGTCGGCAACCCGCGGCTGTTTAGCGCCGCCCTGGTGGCTCTCAAGAGCTTTTTCAAAAATGTTTGAAAATGGGAAAAGATGGCAGTGGGAAATGTATTTGTTGTTTTGATATGGTTTCTGGAAGGACAAACATGACGCAATCGTGTGGAAAGACATTTCCAGGGAAGGCGCTGCATTAGTTGCTGCCACAAGATTAAAGTTAATGTTGAGAAACTGTCCAGTGAATTCACATTAAACACAATCCTGCCATAGTCACAAATATTTAGTAACAAAGTCTGTGTTTCTATCAATTGATTAGTGATTTTTGTCAGTATATATTTAGAATGACACTTAGAACAATTGTCATTATTATGATAATAAATAATTACTACAAATTATCTATACACTTAGTCATTTATAATAAAGGCAATTATAAAACTTATATAAGGCTTAAAATTTTTTGCAGCTCTAGACAGATTTGTTTTTTGTTTTATTTTTAATCCAAAATGGCTCTTTCAACATGTAGGGTTGCCTTGTGTGCGTGATGTCACATTGCAACATGTCTATTATGACAGTGCAGTACAGAAAAAAGTCGTATGGCAAAAAGTTCAAACGAAAGCAAAACAAAAAAGCAGAATAAAAATAAGAATGACATACGTTTAAGTTTAAAAGACTCCCAAGTTCTTAGACTCTCTTGTGTTTTGTTACAGTTGTGAGAAAACATTTTTTAATATATCAATGTGTGTGATTCGTAAACCACACATGCATATTTTTATTTTACAAATCTAAATCTAAGAGCCAAATTTCCCCTTTTCTTTAAATGTTTCCTACATGTTGCAAAATTCCAGCTAAAATGAGAAATCTTTGTTATTTCTCTTGGTGATGAGTCATAATTGCACCAGATTTTTTTTTTTTTTAACCTTGGTGACGCGTCTTGTGTAATGCAGGTTCACCTATGAGGTGGCGCCTGTGTTTGTGCTGCTGGAGTACGTCACCTTGAAGAAGATGAGGGAGATCATTGGCTGGTCGGACGGGCGAGGAGACGGCATTTTCTCACCCGGTATGCCTTTTTTTAAAATGTGAAACAGACCCTGCTGTTTGTGTCGTAATGTGTCAATTTGCATTTTGATGATATAAGGGGAACCAGTTTCAAGGGCAATTAGCATGAAATTGTTTTTTATTATTCTCACCCACAACCCCCTCCTCACCCTCTCACTTCTGGTGACACATGATGAAGTTTGATGACTGTTACAGATAGAGAGACTCAATTTGCTCAAATTGTTCTCTAAACAGGAGATTTTCCTTTTTCATTCAAAGACCAGGGGTGCATCCAGAAAGCTTTGCATAGGGGCCAGAAGGGGGCCACTGTTACTCCTGGGGTGGGATTTGAAAATCTAAAAACAATTTTATAAAACAGCCTGATTTCTCTTGGTATTTTTTTTTAGCAACTTGAACATAATTGATGCACATAACCATAAAAAAAACTAAATAAAAATCTTACTTTAGTTTCAAAATTATGTCTTTTTCAACTTCAGCTTCTGACTTCAATCTCAGATTAATCACATCCGATTATTAAAATAATCTTCAACTAATTTAGAGAACAATTAATTGGTAACTAGAACATACAGACTCCACACATTTGCTGACAAAGCAACATTCTCATAGTAGTAATTATGCCAAAACTGAACAATAAGTACATTTTACATTTAAGGCAAAAAATCAGGATATGTAAATATTCTTTACCAGAACTCCTCAAGTGGCCTCGTTGTAGCTTCACTTGCTTCAAATTATGTAAAAATAAATAAGTAAAATCCCTATTAAGCACTAAATGAATTGCATCTTACATTTTAGACAGTAAAATGTTTAATTTCTTATTTCAAAAAGAAATAGAATTATGAGGATTTGCATTTTAATGCACTTCTAATTTTCTACACAAAGGCTTACATAAAAAATATGCAATGTGCCAATTTTCTTATTCTGATTAATTGATTGTCAGAATAATCAATCACTAAAATAATTACAAGTTGCAACCCTTGTTCAAAATAATGTCAACAAAATTTCAGAGCACTTTTTTCACTTAATTTTTTATTTGTCATATGTGTCGCTGGCATGATTTGAACCTTAGCTTCAGCTCTTCCAGAATGTATAATTGGTTTTGATGTGAATTTTTTACAAAACCAGCTACAGCTCTGAAAAAATTAAAGATCAGTTTTTCCTATTTTACTTTTTATGGGTATATGTTTGAGTAAAATTAAAAATTTTATTTTATTCTACGAACTACAGACATCATGTCTCCGAAATTCCAAGCAAAAATATAGCACAAAATGAGAAATGGTCAAAATAATGAAAAAGATGCATTGCTTTCAGATCTCAAATAATGCAAGGAAAACAAGTTTATATTTATTTAGAAAAAACAATACTAATGTTTTAATTCAGTTCAGAAATCAATATTTGGTGGAAAAATAACAAGGTTTTCAATGGGGTTCAGTGCAGTGGGCTCTTACTTTTTGGAAATTTTTTGGTATTGTCATAAATTGAAATAATTGGAGTGCATTATCTTCAAATATTGCTTACTTTCTAATAAAAAACAAATAATTTAAGCATCCTTTAATGGAAAAAAACAGATTTTTTCTTTGTCTCAGAGTGAATTTGCCCCATATGTCCCCCAGGGGGTGCTATTTCCAACATGTACGCCATGCTGCTGGCCCGCTTCAAGATGTTCCCTGAAGTGAAGGAGAAAGGAATGTCGTCCGTCCCCAAACTGGTGGCCTTCACATCCGAACACGTAAGGACTCAGACGGACGCACTGTTCCTTCAAAGTTTAAACCAAATGTCAGATTTTCCAGCCCAGTTCTCATCTTCGCTGCAGCTTTCTTACAAAGAAAATGCGCAGCACCCTTACACCTCCAGCCTTAAGCCAACATTATGTTGAGCAAACAGAAGGTCACAAGCTGCGGAGAGCATCTGTCACTTTATACGACACCTCCTTCATCTTTAAAGGGCGTTTTGAACGATGCTGTGAGCGCGACAGCCATTAAATGACACACAAATATGTCATCACGAGTGTGTTTTCACAGATTTATTCTGCCTCCTGTGATCCGGGTGCTTCTGCTGTGTTTCTGTCATCTCACAGAGCCATTTTTCCATCAAAAAGGGAGCGGCGGCGCTTGGCATTGGGACTGAAAGCGTGATCTGCATCAAAGCAGACGAATGGTAAAATGCATTCAATCAGAGCTTCCTTATCTTTAGTTTCACTGCCATTTTCAAAGATTGTTTCCTACAATATTTATTAGAGATTTAATAAACAGTTCAAATCTCTCAAATAACAACAAACACTACAAAAAAATTTTTTATCACATATTTCTGTCTAATTTCTGATGTAAATTTCTTGGTACACTCAAAATCAGACAAAACTACCTTGCAAGTACACTTCAGTTTGTTTCAAACTCCTATTAGCTTCTCTACTGTTGTCGGAGAAAAACCTTCCCTTAGCATGCTGCTGCCTCCACCATGTCTCGGTGGTGTGTCGGTTTAGTTTTTTCCCACATAGATTTTATCATGAAAGGATCATTTAATTTTGTATATTCTCATAGGGAACCTGCAGGACATTTCTGTCAGGCAAAAGTGTGAGTTTACCACTTCTGTAACTTGAGGCAGTTGAGGCTACTGGTAACTAGCTGCCAATATACCCTTGCTAGCTAGCTACTAAAAGTCTAGATTGGCGAGGTCTATTGTGTGAAACTAAATCAAACTACCAGAACCAAACAGCTAGACTTAAACTCATGTTTTGGGAGGGTGGGCAACTGCAGTCCAGATATAAGTGTTTTATTCAATCGTTGCAATGGCCAACGATTGAATAAAACACTTCAAAAGTACGTAAAAGTTGTATTTTAGCTGCTATATATTTATTCCCATTATGATAAAGGTCTCAAATTTCATTCATAATGGTCTTATAAAGGTTTTAAAAATCTTTAAAGGGAAGTATAATGTGTTTTCCAGCCACATAGTGCCCCGTATAACATAATCAAGTAACTATATTACCTTCAGTTGTTGTAAAAATGCTCTATATATCAAATTTATCTTAGCAATTTAATGGCTTGAAATTGGGCCTCTGTCTCTTTAAGAAGCTCCTGCTTTTTCGGAAACTCTGCCTTCAGGAAGTGATCACAACATAGCTCCTCTATTAACCCTTTAACAACGATTTCCCCAGGATTTTCACTGAGAAATAGCTCCCTTAATGGGCTCAGCAGTTCCACCAGGTGTTTGCTAATTGCTGCTGGCTAGTCTGAAGGAACTGAATGGGGACAGGGTTGCTCTTGGAAGCAGAAACTTGGCGGGACTTGATTCCCTCAGGCGTTTTGAACAGCTGATTGATTGCCATAAGACTCCAGTTATGTTTTTGATGAGGGAATAACATTTTAACTTGTTTTAAAGCTTGAAAAAGGTTCATTTTATATAATACCTATAGAAACCCTGAGAAACATCAGTGACGTAGGAAAAAAAGTCTGTAAAAACTTAATAAAGCAGCCAAAGACAATATAAATTGCTTATACAAGTAAGTTAAAAACAACATACTATAAGAAAAACACATCAAACAAATTAAAATTAGACAAATTTTAAAACATTTAAATAGAATTATAGATAAAATTAAGTGTAAAATTTGTGTTTTTGCACATGTAATCCATCTGCTTTACCCGGTTTTTAGACCCAAATGCGTTTTTCTTCTCTGCAGCGGCAAACTGATCCCTGCCGACCTGGAGAGGAGAATACTGGAGGCGAAACACAAGGTACCAGATTCACATCCCCTCCACAGAAAGATGGCTCCTGCTTCATACTGCATTGGTTTTATGGGATTTGTTGCACTTAAACAGCCCTGATGATGATCATGAGAGGAATTTGGACTCGTGTTACAACGGGTAACGTTGTCTGTCCTTTCCGCCACAGGGGTTTGTACCGTTCTTTGTGAGCGCGACAGCTGGGACGACCGTGTACGGCGCCTTTGACCCGCTCATCGCCATCTCTGACATCTGCAAAAAGTACAACATCTGGTTTCACGTGGATGTGAGTTGAACAGACGGATTCTTCATCTGGTTGTGTTACCTAAGGCTTCATTCACATTGCAGCCTGAAGTGACACAAATCCGATTTTTGTGAAATTAAATTATTCTTTTTGCCACATTTCCAAATATGCAAAGGCGGACAAAGTACCCCAACATTTTACTGAAGTTAGAGTAGCATTACATCAACATATTTTTTACTTTAGTAAAAGTGAAAAGTGGCTGTGCAAGAAAACAAAATTAGGCAAAATATTTTGTTTTCCAAATTACTTTCTTTCAATAACAAACTTACAAAACTAACAAAAACAGCAGGTGTGTTTCTGCTGAATTTCTTTCATTCAGTGGGTAGAAAATACAGAATTTTTACAATAAAGTTACTCAAGTAAAGTACTGCTTAGTGAAAATACTCCTAAAGTAACACAGGGTCACATTTCTAAAAAACAAAACAAAACAAAAAAAACAAATAACCAATTATCTGTGTTGGTCAGGTTGTCATAAAAATAACAGATCCAGGTCGCATTCAGGCAAAAAAACATATTTGGGTCACTTTAGGCTGCAGTGCGAATCAGCTGGAGTACCTCACTGTAACCCAGCTGATTATTTCAAATATAACAAGGGCAATAAAAAGCATTTTTGAAGCATTTAAGAATTAGTAAAAACATATTTAGAGATTATTTCTAGCTGCTTGCTTCTTTACATCTGTGACGCAGAGTGTGTCTCTGGAGGTGATTTCAGTAAAAGTCAGACAAATCTATTATGTCCGTCTGCTTGCGGTTGACCCAGATAGGCAGCAAGCCATTTCCTCTCTAACACTGGAGATTAGAAAAACTGGAGCAGAGGCAGTAAATCATCTCCTCCCCCTGACTTCGCCATCACTGCGAGGAACTCTATCTGCTAATGGAGGTGAAGCAGTCCTGACAGGGGACGCCTCTATTAGGAGACACAAATGGCCTTGTCTATCATGTTGCGAGCAACCATAAAAAAATAAACGTATTCTTTGGGAATCATGGAGCTGTGAATTATGGGTGTTTTAGCGTGAGCTTTTATGATGCTTATAAATCAATATTTTCCTCTTAGCAGCTTCTTGGGATGTAATTTATCTTCCAGAACGATGGGAATGTTTAGAACAAAGTCCAAGAATGAGGAAAACAATCAGAGAAATTGTAAACAAGTTTTACAATCAATGGTTCGGCATTTAAAATATTAAATGTAGGATTGATTGGAAAGGTGTTTAATATTTGCCTCTGGACGCTTCGTTTTAAAGTGATTTTGCATCAGACAACTTGAACAATGTTTAAAAATGGGAGAAAGCTTCATTTGGTTTTATATTTCGTTTGGGTGAATGTCCCTTAATACTCCATAGGGAAACTTCACAGATTTTTGTGTCCATATAACAAGCTTCTGTCACAATTTTGGTTGGATATTTGACCACAGCTCTTTGCAGAATTGATGAATTTCATTTAAATTGGTGAATTTTCAGACCTGCTGGTGTTTCAGACATTTTCATGCTTCATCCATTCCAACCTTCATCTGTATTTAGACTCTTGGAACTAGAAAACACCCAATTATCTTTGAGTTTTAACTTTCTTGATGCTTGATGTATTAGCCAGTGGAGGCCATATGTGTTTTAAGTCAGAGTTCCTGGGTGTTTATAGTTCTGCTAAATAGGACCTTTTATCCCAAATTCACATTTTGCACATTTTTACGTTTCCATTTGGCAAAACGACACTCAGCCATTTCCTAGCAATCAGTTAATGTTTTTTGATGTCTGGAAAACACCAAAAAACATTTGGTGATTAATTCATTATCAATGGCCACTGCACAGTTCTCTAGCAACCTCAACCAAGTCTGTTAGCTAGCAACTCTAGCAGAGTTCCAGCACATTTGGCCAGCTGGTTTTACCACTGTATGTCCTGTACAATGGCTGCTGGAAAAGACAAGAGTTTTGTTGTTGACTAGAAACCCCTTGCTTCATTGTTGCTGGTTGTGCAGGAGGCTCCACTTCTGCTTTTCAAAGACGTATCGTTATACATTTGCACATCTGTTTGTAGCCATTTTCACATGCGAGTGTAAACGTTGAGTTGGGGGGCGTGGCCAGAAGCATTTTACTTGGATTTAAAGTGACAAGACGCCCTAAAATAGCTCATTCTGACAGGAGCTCAGAACAGACTCTCTTCTCTCTAAGAATGATTTAAAAATAAAATGAACATGTTTGTATCCTAACCTGGTCAATGGAAAACAAAACAGCAGCAGAAGCTTCACTTTGGGGTTGCTATGTAACAGCCCGTTGAACGTAATCCAACATGATTTAATGCTATAAAATGGCTGACTAGTTGTTTTTAAAATAAATTGAGACAAAAGTAAAATAAAAAAAAATACAAAATGTGAATTTAACCCACAAAAAGTTTAAACTGTTGTTCCCAGTTCTGGTTTATCAACATCTGTGAGGTTGTTAATTTGAAAATTATTCCCCAAAAAACACATATTTGATTTATTATTACTATTTATTTATTTTTTTGGTTGATTTTATTGCCAAATGACCGATGAGTTGTGTTCTCAACAGGGAGCATGGGGAGGGAGTCTGCTCATGTCCCGGAGACACCGGTGGAAACTGGACGGCGTTGAGAGGTCACCGTCTGTCTTTTTATTTATTTCACCAACATATTAAATCCTCTGAGAGTTTACGATGCCCAACTGCCTGTTTTACCGACCGCAGGGCCAACTCTGTGACCTGGAACCCTCACAAAATGATGTCCGTCCCTCTGCAGTGCTCCGCCCTGCTCGTCAGAGAGGAGGTCTCCCCTCCAGAGTCTCTTTCATTTCCTGTTCCTGTTCCTGGAGGTGATGCTGAACAACCTGTTGGGTTTGACTTTGCAGGGTTTGATGCAGAGCTGCAACCAGATGCACGCCTGCTACCTCTTCCAGCAGGACAAACATTACGACCTTTCCTACGACACCGGGGACAAAGCGCTGCAGTGTGGACGCCATGTGGACATCTTTAAACTCTGGCTGATGTGGAGAGCGAAGGTACACTGCACACTGCAAAAATGACACTTTAACTGTTAATAAATAGATAAAAATATTTTAACACTGACAGTTTTTCCACTGCAAAAACACAAAAACTTACCAAGTAATTTTGGTTTAGTTTCTGATACAAATATCTAATTACAGTTTAAATTAAACAAAAATTATTGTAACTATTATTAATAATAATTAAAATAATTATGTTATGATTTTATAAGTTAAAATAATAACTTGTAAAAATATTACATATTCATTTAGAAACGACAATATTAACAATATTAACTTAGAAATCAGTATTTGGTGGAATAAAGTGCAGTACGCTCTTAATTTTTTCCAGAGCTGTAAATATATAAACCACAACTATGATCTTCAAACTGATTTTACTGCTTTTTATTCATGGGTATCAAAGTAAAGGGGTAGACACAGCTGCAGTAAAGCTTTTCGCCTCCCTTTTTAGGGTTTTTTATTATAGAAATGGTGAATGTTATGCGTGTTGTTGATTCCACTCCTCATCATGCTCTATTTTTAGTTTTCACATAAAAACACCCCCCAAAAAATAATGTTTGAAGTTTGTGTGTGGAAAGTGAAAAATGCTGATGCGACCAAACGTTTTGTTGAACCTCCAAATCTTCTCCCCAACAGGGAACCATCGGCTTCGAAGCCCAGATTGACAAATGCTTGGAGCTGTCGGAGTATCTGTACAACAAAATCAAAGACAGAGAAGGATACCAGATGGTGTTCGATGGGAAGGTGAGGAAAACCTCCAGCCTCTGGTCCGTCAGGCTCCATTTTACCTTTCAGTCATTACTGGTGACTTGATTGGCTCCAGCTTTGTGTTGGATGGGAGCCATTGTTACTTCTAGCCTGCGGTATAATGTGCTGCTATTATGGTTAATGGCTAGCATAAGAGCCTGTAATTGCTGATATGCATATGAATAGCCTGCTGCCTGGAAGCGAAGCTATGACACCAACATATGTGGAGGCTTTGAGTTGAGGAGCGGCGTGTTGGACACCTACAGTCTTTCATAATGGCGGCTCTGTAGCGTTTAAAGGCCTTTTGTTTCCCTGCTGAGGCCGGAGAGAGACTAAAAGCATCGGAGTGTGATCCGGAAAAGCCTCGTCCTTTGGGCAATGACCCAGGTGTTGGTTTGACTCCGACCCCCCAGTGAGCCATTAGATCAGTCTGAAGCTGAAAGTACAACGAACCGGACCGGCCCAGGTGTGTAAACGAGGCTGGTCTGCTTGGTTGGTTCGGCTGCAGGTAATGAATGCTTTTCCACTCGAAGGCAGTCAGCGGCCACAAAAACAGCAGTTCGGAGCTCTGAGGGAAGATCCACTAAACAAAATACTTGATTTATGCCGAAGCTGCTTTAAAAATGACCCGTTGTGGTTCTTTGGACAGATTAAGATACATTTCTGGGCAATACAAAATATCTTTATTGAAATTTTTAGCACAAAAATCATTCTTAAATAATGAGAATTAATTTTATTTGAGTTGTTTTAGGGCCTCGTGTCACTTTCAGTCCAAACAAGCTGCTGGCCACACCCCAATGTCAACGTTTACACTCACACGTGAAAATAGCAGCAAGCAGATGTGCAATTATATATTTATTTTTTGAACAGTTTTGGCTTTATTTGCATACTGTTAACGATTAATTGATTATTAAAGTTGTTGACAATCATTTACTGCAGGTAATTTATGTAAAAGCTTTTCATTATCACTTTAAAAAATGGTTCGATAAAAGCCGATCTGGATGGTAAAAGTTGGTCATTATCACCCAGAAGAAGCGTTTATGTTTGGGTTAATTCCTGTTGTTCCTCCTCAGCCTCAGCACACCAACGTCTGCTTCTGGTACCTCCCACCGGGGGTCCGCTTCCTGGAGGACAAAGAGGAGAAGAAGAAGCGCCTTCACAAGGTGGGTGAGCTGAGATAAGAGGCCAGGCAGCCATATCTGCCCAGCACACCTTCCAAACCCAACAAGCCTGTCACTCACGTCCTCAAACACAATCACCTGGTAATTAGCGACTGCTAAGACCCAACATTAGAAAACACTTTGTGGTCTGCATGAGGAATAAACTGTGATAGCCTTTAAATGGAGGTGAGGTTGTTTCCTTGCACATGCAGCTGTTTCCTCTCCTAATGTTCTGCTGAGATCAAACCAGACGTGCGTCAGTCGCCAGCTTTGCTCTTTTCCACAGACTTTGCGACTGGAGGGATGACATAGCTTTAAATGATGAGGCCTGTAAGGAGAAAACCTGAACCAGAGGAGTTTTTCATCTTCGTCTTTAATGATTTAAACAAACCTTTGGCTGACAGGATGTTATGTTTCTTAAAACAGGTCAGGATTTATCTATATGACCTTCATTGTCGGACTAAAATAAGCAGGAAAAACAGACATGACTCCCAAAAAAATCCAACACCGTTATCAGATGATTGTAGACGCTTTCCACCGAGACGCTTTGTTTCCTTTTTATTATTTTCTTTTGTCTAAATATGTGTTCACCGCTTTCTTTTGAGTTGTCTTCATATGAAAATGTCTCGACCGTTTCTGTAAATGTTCACTGAAAACATTTCTGAACATTAAAGAAAGCAGTTCACAGCAGTGCATTGTGGGAGCGACGAATGACAGAGAAAGATGAAAGTTGAACATTTTGAAACTCTTTTTTTTTGTTGCGTTTCTGTGCATCTGTCCTCAAAATCTCATAAATTACGCCGTTTGCTCACCTGGTTGAGGCACAAATTCCTCAGGAACTGAACAAAGAGCTTTTAAATTAATGTTTGGGAAAAAATGGCTTCTTTCAGTCCTTTCCTAAATACAAAAACAGAGAATCTCCAGACATTTTTGACTTGAGACAATGAAACACTTTCCTAATCATTTAAAAACCTGCATACAGTGGCGGTTTTTCATATGGGCGGTTGCCCAGGGCGGCACTAGAAAATGGGATGAAGAAGAATTAGAAAATACGATCTTATCTGCCAGTTTTCCCCTGAATCAGTTTGCTACTACTTTTATGTTTGTGTAGTGGAGTAAGTTTCCCTTACTTGTAGCCGAGGATGCGATACCACCATTCAGCTTCTACGCACCACAAATCTGGAAACAAACTTCCAGAAAACTGCAAAACAGCTGAAACACTGAGCTCCTTCAAATCTAGACTAAAAGCCCCACCTGTTTAGAGTCACTTTACAACCATGATAAATGAAACAAAAACACAAAATATTACCAAGTAATTTTGGTCAAGTTTCTGTAAACATCTTAGTAAACTTAAAATTAGACAAACTAAATTAGAAGTAAGTTTCTACCAAGATGTAGGGGCTTGTTTTAAATAAATAATTCTTTAATGTTCCATTTGCAGATAAATTAACTTATAACACAGGAAAAATGTGTTATTATAAGTGAAATAAACGGCCAATAGAACTAGAACTTTTTCATCAACATTAAGGAATTATTTTGTTAAAATAAGCTCCTATAGCTTGCTTAAATTACTCGCAAGTTAATTTTGTCTTAATTTAAGTGTAATAAGTTGTTTGCACTAGAAACTAGATAAAAATACTTGGTAAGGTTTTGCAGTTAGCATTTTGTGACTATAGCATTTGAAAAGATTTAATGTTTTGCTGGTTTCCTCAGTCGTCTTCTGTTTTTGTGCATTTTTCGAAATGTGATTGCGAGAATGTGAATTTTTAATCGATTGTTACTCAAGTTCTCCTACTGATATAGTGTGTGCATATTGGTAATTTTTCTTAAATCTTGCGTGATTCCAGGTGGCTCCAGTCATCAAAGCCAGGATGATGGAGTACGGCACCACCATGGTCAGCTACCAGCCACAAGGCGACAAGGTGAACTTCTTCCGCATGGTAATCTCCAACCCTGCTGCTACCTTCGAGGACATCGACTTCCTCATCGAGGAAATCGAGCGACTCGGCCACGATCTTTAAGACTCCTCTCGCCAAATCCTCCTGTACTTTCCCTCGTTGATGGATGAAATGTTTGTCATGAATGTACCGGTAACCATTCTCATTTCTCTTTTCTCCTGTAAAGTCTAATATTTAAGAGTATATTTAAGAAGAAAAAAGATGTATTAATATATTATGTACTGCAGCTTTTTCTGTGGACTGACTCGGTCCAGCGCTATGTAAAAGTGCTTCTGTCCGCCTTTCTTATGGTGTAGTCGCCGCAAGATTAGTGTCATCAGTGTGACTTTATATGTATTTTTGTGCTATGAAATGCTTGTGCAATAAGTCGATGAGGGAGATCTGAGATTTTTGGATCATTTCTCATTCACAGAGTTTGTTGTTAAGTGCCAAATGTTGTTGTGTTCTATAGTAACATTTAAAATTTTAAACAAAGAAAGCACTAATCTTTACCTCAGCTTAATTAACTGCCTGTACAGCAGGGGGTAGAGTCCAGTCCATGAAGCTGTTTCAACTAAAATGCAACATTTAAATTATACATTGTTCTGAATATCACTTTGTTTTCCTCTGCTAGACAAGTTGAAAACACAAAACTGCCGAATTACCCAAACAAGGCCAGCAGGTGCCGCTAATGTCAACATGAATTACCCTTAAGCAAATGTTTTGGGTGATTTTCTCAGCAAATTCCACTAAAGTTGGAAACACTTCTTTTTTTATTGTTCCTCAATGGAGCCAAAAGGACAAAGATTGTTTTTCCCCTTTGTAATTTAGTAGTTTTGCTTATTGAAGAGTCATCGACTCCTTTACCGACTATAAAACTATCAGTTCCTTTTGTTTTAGTGACTAAAGTACATTTATACAAACCACAAAATATGACTGCAATAATTAATATCTACCAGCAGGAGGCCAATTATAGTTATAGGTTTTGAAAATCATCATATCTCTAATATTCTAAAAAAAAGCTAAATATTAATCAGAGAGTCAAAGTCAATCGAAGTCCAAAATATAATATACAGAAAATAGTGCACAACAAAAATTATTAATGAGTTTTAAATTTATATTTGATTTCTTATATCCAGAATAGACCAAAAATATTCAATGACGAGTTAAAGTAAAAGCACTGATTGAATACATGTGAGCAAATGGTTGATATGGGTATAAAGTGGCAACAAATATGGTCAAAAGAAGGTAAAAAAAAAAAAAAAAATTGAGGAAAATGCACCCATGTCCCCAGATCATTTACTACTGCAACTAAAATGGCTACAGCAGTCATTTTTATGTTTAGCACATTGTTAATTCTTAGAGTATTGTTCACTCTGTGCAAAGTAGACTGTTTTATTGTTATTTTCCAAAATTCACCAAAAATAGTTTCTTTAAACCAAAACAATGTTTTGTGCAGGAGGTCCATCATAAAATCTCAGTTTTAGTGCAAGCAACATAAAAATAAAGATACTGCACCTAATTAGGAATGCTGGCCTAAAAAAAAACAAAATGTTGTTGAATTTCAGTGATCATGATGTTGGGCTTAAAACTACAAGTTAAAGGCCAAGGCACTGGAAAGATTACCAATTTAATACTGGTAGCTTCTTGGTACTTTTCAAACTGGATCTGGTGGGACTGACCGACCATCCAATCAACCAACCAGTAAACCAACAAACCAACCATTAAACTAATCAACCAACCAATAAACCAACAAACTAACCAATAAACTAATCAACCAACCAACCAACCAATAAACCAACAAACCAACCAACAAACCAAACAACCAACCAACCAGTGTTTCCATATTGTTAAAAGGTTCAGGGTAGTTCCAATTGATAACTGTAGTATGACTTTAATCAGAGTTTAATAGTTTAAATTGTAAGGAAATTAAAGACACTTTAATGTATTTTAATGTATTCATTTATACAGCTTAACTCTTTTTCTGAAAGTCTGTTGATTGTGTTTAGGTTTAGCTCCACCAGCGTCATAATAAATTTTCCCACTGACTTTTACAAATGTGTGCAGATGATCTTAATTAGTCCCGCAAAAACAGATTCAATTATAAATTCAATAATAAAAAATAGATGAAAATCAGAAATGTGAAATGTCAGTAGGCCTGTCAGAATAGCAAATTTTGCGTAATCTTTGGGTAAAACTGTAGAAAAAAAAAGTAAAGTAAAGTGGACAAAATAAATAATTTACCACTGTTTCTATGGACCTGCTTGTGTATAAAATCAAAACTAAATTATTTTAACTTCAGCTGAAAAAGGCCAAATGTTCATTTTAGCATCTCTTCCTTATGTTTAGCACTTAAGAACAAAGCTTTAAGCAGAATTATCTTAAAGGCAGGGCAATAATAATAATATTACTGTTTTGGTCAGATTTGGATACTTTAACACTAGACATCACTTGCACTAAATTATTGTGGAGAGCAACTCAAGCAGCAACTGAGATTGCTTCTGTTTTCATTCACAAGCAATATTTAAGGGTCCAAGCTACATATCCGCAAAATCTTGCAAAGAAGTAGTGAAGTATCAGCGCACGTTAACGGAAGATAATCAAGTTTCCACATGATAACTTAGATAATAATAATAATAATAATAATAATAATAATAATAATAATAATAATCATCTGTATAAAAGCTTATTGTAGGCAGGGTTAGCTGTTGAAACTCTGGTTTTCTTTTAAAAAGCAGAAGTTTTGTAGCATTTTCATTAGACCGAGGTAGAAAAGCACAATTTGCTCAACACTATCACTTTGAAACATAGACTGTAAATACAACTACAAGATGTCCTAAGTGCATATCTTTGTGTATACATATTATGTATATAAGACGTATAACCAGAGACTATTTGTGAGGTAAAATTGTTCATATTTTCTCTATATCTGATATAGATGCCCTGTATTTTCATCTCGTCGCCCCAAAAGGCTTTACTTTTCACTGTGTGTGTGTTTGTGTGTGTGTGACTCTTCTAGCTGTTTCAACGACAACTTGTTTCAGGGACTGGCTTTTAAAAGAACAGACAGATTTCACCTCCACGTTCTTCATTGGTAGGTGTGAAACTCTGGCGTTAGGGTTTTAAATGAATATGCAAAGCCACTTTTTGACTCTGAAGCTCCATGTTTTTCTGTGCACAAGTGAAACTCGACTGTATGTGCCGACGTGTACCTTAGCGTGTTTGTGACTGTGTTGCCTTAGTAGAGATTTTTCAGTATCGTCTAGTTGGCCTCCAGAAAAAAACAGGAGGTTGTGCACTTTAGAGTATGCGACCTAAATAACGTGCAGTGTCTTATGGTTGTTTATGATTTATTGTTAAAAAAAAAATTCTCGGACATAATGTAACTGGAGCTCTTTGGTCTGAATGTGAAAGGAATTAAGGGTCTGTTTTAATTTGATTTTGTAGATGAAAAGCTTATGTTGCCACTTTTTCCCTAAGTGGATCTGTTGTGCACACTGTGACAGAGACAACATCAGATTCATGCCAGCTGACCTCACTGCGGTGAGCCGGAAAAGCCAGACACTTTTCACAGGGTTGCGGATTCTGGTCACATGACCTGAACTCAAGTCACAAATCGAATGACTTCCTCATGAAATGGTGAAAAATTCAGACTTTAACAAAAATGTTGACTATTGACTGAATTTAATTTAGGGCTGAAACGATTAATCAAGAGTGATTAATAGAATTAGACCCAATCCAATCAGATTAATCGAATCATTAATGCAATTAATCATAGGTAAACGTAATTAATACAATTATCTGTGATTCATCAGATTAATTGCAATTAATCTGATGAATCATGATTAATCGATTACCAAAATAATCAACTTATTTGACAATTGATTAATCGCTAATTGGAGTATAAAGACTCAATAAAATACCATTTTTCTGCAAGAACAACACATAGAGCAGTAATTAAGCCAAAACTTTACAATATGAATATATTTTTCATTTAAGATAAAGAAAAACTAACCGTTGTCTGTACATATAAATATAATTTTTTATAACAAAAACTACTTCCCCTTTAAGACTTCATAGAGAAAGGATATTGTGATGACTTCCTGTAGGCGGAGCTTCAAAAAGAACAGGAGCTTCTTAAAGAGACAGAGGCCCAGTTTTAAAGCATTAAATTGACTGTAGGTATCTTAGTCACTTGTGCTATAAAATGGCACTTTGTGCCTGGAAAACAAGCTACTGCCCCTTTAATTTTGCACTTGACTTAAAACTTGCTTCAGATTGCTATTTCTGACTCAGGACTTGCACTGTTTGACTTTGGACTCAACCCGGGACCAACACGGGTTTTATTTGGGCTCTGACTTGAGTGTGAAGGTGACTTGTGACTCGCTCCCGTCTCTGCTCGTTCCTCTTGCTGCTCTCGCTGCTGCTACACTCGCGCCTCTTGCATGTGCATGCGATTCCCTGCCTCTCCAGCTTGTGCAGTCTCCTATATATCCATGTGCATATATGTAAACTGTATGTATAGCTCCTGTAATTAGCCTAAGTGTCCTACATATTCCAATATTTATATATATAGCTTAGCTTGTAGATTAGTGCACTGTCGCTCTAGCCTTTACATGTAATCTTTGTGTCTTGGGCTTCCTGTAAAGTCTCTCTGTGCTGCAAGCATGCCGACCTCGCTTCGCATCGTTTTCCTCTCCGTGCTTGATCTGCCTTTCTCTCTCTTCCCTCTTTCTGCTTGGAAACTGTCGCTGCTTTCAGTGTCTTATATAAATATATATAAATGTAGTCCTTCAGCATGTCTTTTTAAAAGCTTTACTCTGCTCTGACCTTTTCTATCTTTCTCCTTCTGCTTCGCCCTCTGGTCAGCAGTATATCTCCGCGCTTTCCTCTTAATGTGTCTCGGCGACCTGATGTTACTCTGTTTCTGTGCCTCAAACGGTAGATTAACCCAGAAGGACACAAACAGACCCTGCTTTCTTGTTTAGGTTCAGCGTTTTTCTTTCCATTGTTTCATGAGGACAAATACAAACCCTACTGTTGTCCTCAAAGAAGAGGTCAACTCTAAATATGTACTCTGCAAACATGTCCTAAACTACATGTTATTCTAAGAAAGAAGAAGAAATAAATATAACAAGACAACACTTGTGAATATCTGCTGTTTATTTCCTCATACTCAGAGTTTGGTATTAACTGCATTAACTTGAGTAACTTTTCTGGAAAAAAAAAACTTTTAGGAGTACTTTTTACTTTCACTTGAATATTTTTATTTTTAAGTATTTCTTTCTTGAATACATTTCTGGATTTTCTACCCACTAATTGAAAAACTCACCAGACACAGACAAACACCTGCAGGTTTTGCTAAAGTTTCATAAGTTTTTTTTATTGAAAGAAACTGATTTGGACATTTTCTTATTTTTATTTTTTGTTACTTATATAAACTATTGTCATTTTTGTCCTTGAAATACCAACTTTTATATATTTTGGTTCATCTCATGATGTAATTTTCAAATATTAAATGATTGATCATTTGATCAGTACGTTTTACCAAATACTTTTATTGCTGTAGATTCGTTTTAGTGAGTTTGGACAAAAATAAGTTTAAATCAAAATGCTAAAAATGAAAATGTTTCACAGCATGTTTTCCCCACACCATCACACTGCCACCACCATGCTTTAAAGTCCACAGAATGTTTTTTCTAAAAGTCTTGGGAATCATGGAGGCTTGTTCTGGAAAAACTGAGAAACAGAGGCATGACCTTTGACCTCAACCAAGGCAAGTGAGACCTGTAGTTGTTCAGATGTTGTGAGGTCTTTTGTGACCTTTTCTTTAGATATTTAACAATCCCAAAGCTTTAGAAATCACTTTCCAGACTGATCTTTTCTGTCTTTCTCACTTTTTCCACACAGAGCCACTAAGTTTTGATTTCTTTTAACTTCCTTACTGATAATCAGCATTTAATATTTACTTATGTGACAAAACCTGCAGGCACTTTGTTACGGATCCACATCCCAGCCTCTGACATTTTTTGGATCACCTGCCAGAGAAAAGCAATTAACCTCTCAGACCTCAGAAGAGTCGACATGTTAGAGAGTTAAAAATACACCACAGGGATTCGCTCCAGCATTTATTCAGCAGCAGGCGTTTAAATGTTCAGACCTCATACATATAGATATGTGTCTGATGTTTATTTCCACGTTCAGGCGGTTGGTGCTGTTGGCTCAGGAGCTTTGGATCGACCTTGACAGAAACGATTGAGGTCAAGAAGGGAGAAGGAGAATTAGAGCCACATTGTAATGTTTAAAGAATGTCAAAATGTACAAAAATATCATAACTTTACTCTCCAAATATTCTGACTTCATTCTGATATTATTGCAACTTTGTTCTCGTATTATTATGATTTTTTTCTGGTATTATTTAGACTTTATTTTTGTAGTTTTATGACTGTCATAATTGTATTACTTTATTTTTTACCTTATTTTGTCTTTATTCTTATTTTATTTTTAAAAATTATTGTAATTTTATGTCTATTTTGATATTCCAATTGTTCTCTTATTATTTTCACTTTATTCTTGTAATGGTATTACTTTATTTTCACATTATTGTGATTTTGTCTTATACTATTTTGACTTTATTCTAGTATGATTTCATTGTAATTTTATGAATTTATTTTCATAATTGATTATTTTTATTTTCTCTTCATTTCGTCCCAATACTCAGAACACTGCATTGATCAGAACATGTATTAGAGACAAAAGCAAAGATTGTGAAAATATATATTTATATTTAATTAAGTTATAAGATAAGATTAGACTTATGTTTGTGTATTGATTCAATTTTAATACTGGCTTTGAATAAAGGAAGCAAAATTAAAAGTGTTTACACATCTTCACCAGAAGGGGGCGGCATGGACAGGTAACCAAGTTTAATCCAAATGTTTCCATTAAAATACATTTCCATATTCAGTCTAATTGATTAAATAAACATTTCAATTAAAAAGAACATAAACCTCTTTATGAAACATGCCAGTAATTTCCTTCTCTCTTGTTTTTCTGCAGAGCTGTGATGCCTGCAGCATCTAAAATCACCACATGCTCTAAACATTTTTCCTCCAGACAAAAGAGACTTTGGCTCTGAGAGAAACATCCGATTCTGATTAAAGCTAGCCCGCCTCCTGCTTCGTCCTTTTTCAGTCGACTCTGCAGCGCTCTGGGGCCTCCTTCACCACAAATCCTCCAGACTGGTGTGTTCGTTAAAGTGACACCATATTGTTTTTTATTCCGGGAAAAAATGAACAAATGATCCTGAAGAACTTTTTCTGACACTCGTATAGAGAGGATGTGTGTTGTGCTTTTAGCTGCTGAAACACTGAGGTTCCTGCTGTGTTTGCACGACATTGACTGAGTCAACGCCAAACACACAAAAAAACCCTGAGAAAGCCAACAAACGCACAGCAGGCACACATATGGCCTGGCTCAAATCGTCTGGGAGGAAATTCCCAGATATGCAATCCATTCAGGTTTCATATCTGGTTCATTCACTGCAAAAACACAAAAACCACCAAGTATTTCTAGTTTAGTATCTTGTGAAAATATCTTACTACACTTGGAAAAAAACTAAACTAATAAGTAACTTTGCAGACAGAAGTAGGAGCTTGTTAAGAGTAAATAATATCCATAATATTGATTAAAATGTATCAGTTACACTGGAAAACCATTTAATTTATAACATTTATAAAATGCCTTATTAAAAGGGAAATAATCTGCCAATGGAAGTAGTACTTTTTAATCAATATTAAGTAATTACTGACTTAAAACAAGCAAATATATCTTTCTAAAAAGTTGAAGTTATTTGAAGTTTACTTAGATATTTGTTTATATTTGCACTATATAAACTAGACTAAAAATAGTCTAAAAATAGTCTAGTTTTTGTAGATGTTCCCCTAGAGATATAAACTAGACTATTTAGACTATTTTGCAGTGTAATCAAATTAAATTAAATCACAGCAGATAAAACAAACATGACTTTCCCTCTTAACAAACCCTCTCTGTTATTAGTTCAGTCATTTTTGCACAGTGAGAAATTAGCTTTTTTTCTGCAGACTGTATAAAAATCCACCCTCAATTAAACCCTGACGGGTCTCCCTTGAAATATAAACGATATGCAGTTAAATCAGAATACCCAGTGAATTGCAGGCTGCAGGGTAACGTTTCAGAGTCGCACCTACTCTCTCTCCTTGGTCTCTTCTTTTTCTGTGATCTCTGTAACATGTGAGGCCATCATTTGATCTGCAACACCCGACATCTGGAGCGATCCTCCCCCCAGAACACCTGGTTTCAATCCCGCCGCCGACAGAAACAGTCATTTGTGTCTAGAAACCAGAACCTTAATTTCTTTGTTTGCTCGCTGTGTCATTGCCTCTGAGGATATTTGTTATGTTGAAGTCCAAAAACAGCTTTTCTGCAGCGAGCAGACGGGAGAATAATTAGACCCGGCTATCAGGGAGTCCGTGTAAATTATCCAGTATGATTTTCAAGGTGATTTGTGAGTAATTCTGGCACTTTAGCTGCTAATTACAGTGAATCGGTTCAGTATGTTTAAGATTCAACCTACAACTTTGCAATTTTGATCCCTTAAAAATGATGGTGTTGTTCTTGCTACTTAATGCTGCTCATATGTCCCCCAGAACTTAGAGAGGAATTTCAAGGAATTTACAAGATAATTTCTCGAAACTTTCCATTATCTAACCGGGTACTTTACTGGAATGAACCGGCCACTTTTAGAAATTGGGCTGCAGCTGTATTTCTATTACAAATGTACGCAAAACCTTTTAGATATTCCCCTAACGTCAAAAAATGAAACATTGCAGTTGCAGTGTTTCCATAAAATAAGAAACACAACTAAAATCACATGTGAATAAGTTTATTCACAGGATAAGTCATTTAAAAATATCATCCTCCAACTGTGTTCTTTGTCGTTTCTACCAGTAGTAACTTCCAGTTAATGATCACAACACTCGTGATGCAAAAAACGTTTTCATAGCACTTTTATGAAATCAACCAATTTCAATATGGCTGAAAAACTGCCTCAACATGGCGCTTTTTTATTTATTAGAAAACCTGAGTTTTTTCATTCAGTGAATTTATTTTTGTAATTTCAGTTTCTGTATTTAAATAATCAATGCAAACGTAGCTTATGCTACAAGATTATATATAATGACAAAAATCATTAGGTACTTTCTAATAACTTTAAATTCACAGGTTACTGTCGCAAAATTGAACATGCAGGTTATTGGGTACTTTATTGTGTAATTTCCAAACATCAGTTGGTGTTATAAAATGACTTGTAATGTGGCACTTCCTAAATTAATTAGCAATTTTCCTGGTATTTTCAGAAAACCTGTAATGTTTTCGGTACATACTAGTACATATCTCCCTAAATTTACAGGTTACTTTCCTGCAAGGTGTCCAGTGACTTTCATCCTGAGGTCAGAAAAAGGGTCACATCAGTTCCAGAAAGTTACCTACAGCACCAGTGATAAAGTTTATCCTCCATATGTTTGGGCTTTACTATAAAAGGTGTTTCATCTCATAAATGTACATAGATTAAATCCGGCAGGAAAACTATTTTACAGACATGGATGGAAATTGGTTTATGACAAAATAGTGCAGATAATTTGGTGTTGAATGAAAACGCATTTAAAACAGAAAGTGAGGTGAGAGCTGCTGCCAAGTCTCCCCAACACTTCATTATGTCTCTAACAGTTTGGACAAAACACACAGAGAAGCAATAAGGAACATGAAGGGTGAACAGCTTTTTACTGAGAAACTTTTCTTTCTCCAAAACAATAACAGATGTGTGCATTAAACATAATGCTATATGTGCATAAATATAACTGATACAGAAGCTATAGCTGCATGTTTGACAACAAACTTTACATTTTTATTGTGATGCAAAACATTAAAGTCTTGTAAACGCTGCATAAGCCCTTTGTTGTTTTACTGAAAGTCTTTGTCAACAAACTTCTCTCAGCAACATAAGAATGGTTTCAGTTTTTAACAGTTTAAAAGATGGTAAATAAGAGGCTAACCAAACTTAGCATGACAATTTTGTTTTAAACATTCTGCTCTGCTCATCTTCAACCACTTATTTTTTTTATCACAAAGAAGAAATGTTTAAAAAAAAGTTAGCCATAAGACAGTCACTTTATAGTTATAGGTCCAACAATAAGTCTTTATTAATATGCTGCTACCGTAGAAGCTAACATTCTTACTTACCTACCTACAACATTTTACATCAGTATTAAACAACAAGTGATTCAAAACATATTACATACAAAACCCTAATAAATGGCACTTAAATAATTAGCTAAATCCTATTGCAGTCCAGGCAGTTCTTCACAATATAAACACAGTAATTGAAGAAAAACAAGAAATCTGTAAGAATGCTGTTTCTATTCACTTTAGGTGACCAAACTTTAGGTGACCAAACATTTAACAGCGACAAGAACTTATTCTGTGTAAATAAAGGTGCATGGCATCTAAACACTGATTGTATTAATATTGACTAGAATGAACATTTTAAACCAACTATAGAGTAGAACTGAAGCCCTTGTGTAATTTATCCTTAAGGTCATACATACAAAAGATACATTAAATATAATATTCTGCAATAAAAAAAATATATAAAATTGACTTATAAATGCATCATTATAAAATAAAGCCTATGAATGATTGTCTACATACAGACATATATTTGAGCACCACTGTATGCGCACAGTCTGACAGATATGAAGACATTCAGATTTTAAATTGGTCACTTTTCAACCAGCTGAAGGATTTCAGAAGAACAAACATCCAAAATAAAAATGCTTGAACAAGTGGAAAACCATTAATTTAAAGCAAAAAATTCAGTCAATATTCATACTTTAGTAAAAAGGGATGGTGGACAATAAATCAACGACGGTATCGCTAAAGACACATGATCAATATCAATAGATAAGACGTTTGATTGAATAGTCAATACGTAAAATACTCACTGACGTCCGACCCAGAACCGCGTAGCATTCTGGGAGATGTAGGCAGACATCTCCCGGCTTAGCTAGCTCCTCAGACTCTCACAGCGAGCTAAGCTACGTCAGTGAAATCAACTAACGCACTGGCTCTGTGGTTACCTAGCAACGCACTCACTCTGTGGTTACCTAGCAACGCACTCCCTCTGTGGTTACCTAGCAACGCACTCCCTCTGTGGTTACCTAGCAACAACCTGCTGAGTCACTTGTGCAGCAGCAGTTCAAATTTCCGCCACTTAAACAAAAAGACAACAGCGCTGTGTGAAAACTGTGGATAAAGTGACGGCGTCAGTTTGGCAGCGTTTCAGATACTTAAACAAAAAACTAATCAATGATTATCAATATTGACTGATATGAACTGATTATCTTGTGGTAAGTTGCTCATCCATATCTTCCAGCACTACTGCATAGCACCAAATAGTCTTTGAGTTTTCACAAAAAGATTTTTTGAAAATGGTAGAAATCCGTCCTCCTGGATCACAGAGCAACCCAGAGAATTGAAATATTGGTGCCACCCTCTTGTGTTATTTGGTTTACACGTCCTCTGATACAGTCCAGAGTAACGTAAACAGCTGTGCCATTCTGGACCTGAAAAGAGGCTCTCAGCCCGATGCTAGTCCACTCACTGCCTTCAGGCATTGATCCGGACACCTGCTGAGCCACAGGACCGGCCTGCTGACCTCCGACCCTCTGCAGAGTCAGTTTGACTATATTACATGAGTGGATCAGTTTGAGGTTGAGGGCGATGTTTGCTGTACCTTTCTCACAAAAGACAAAGTTCCTTCTGGCATTTGAGTCCCCGGAGTGAGTCAGATGGACCTGCGGCGTATCCGGGCTGATCTGCTGAAACAACAGTGGTTTATTCCTGACGGCTCCAGAGGGAAGTCCTGTCCGTGAAACTGTGGCGGTCAAGGCCGATGACACAGCCGAGGGAATCCAGATCAGACTCAAGATACTGATCCCGGTGCTGTCCCCAAAGTACCGGATGTTGCACTGCGATGGAGACGTGATCTCAAAAGTGAGGATGTCTTTGCTCTCCACCGTCACTGCGCCAGAGAGCGTGATGGAAGTATCCCTGTAGTTCACACCCGTCTTGAAGGCTTGCATCGTCTTCAGTCCAGTGGTGTTCCGGGTGGTGTAGGCGATCAGGGAGAAACCTTCGCGAACACAGGTGTGACCCATGGAGTAAAGCGCCTGCTGAATGACAAACTTCACTACTCCGCTCTCCGTGAAGCGCACCCCACGGCTGTCGTGAGTGAGGCTGACCATGTAGGGGTCGGACACTGTCGTGATACGGAAAGTCGGGCGGTAGCTGGTTTGGTAGTGCGCCAACAGGGATATCTGGGCCATCATAGCAACAGCACCGGTATCATGAGACAACCAGAGGAGACTCAGAGACGGGGTGGGAACATCAAAAACTTGAAGGTCTTTGCTCTGATTGCAGTGCTGGTTGGGACTCTTCAGCAACAGAGTGAAGACGTGGTTAGGTTCAACCTCCAAGCCAGTACTGACGCTCACCCCCTGGAAATACTTCCCATCCGGTTGCTCAATGCGGATGCCACTAAGGTCCTGATCTTCTTCCTCCTGGCTCTTGTTGAGTCTCATCCCGACCTGGAGGAAGTTTCTGCAGCTGTGCTTTATAGCAAAGTTATGATCCAGCCACACCAGACCATGCTGGAGGAATGTCACTCTTCCAGCCTCGTTGGACAGAAGACTGCTGCTCTCTTTTCCTCGGATGTTGAGCTGCAGACCAGGAAAGATGTGGGAGCTAGAGGTACCTGCAGGAGATAGTGTCACCTTTGCCATCCAGATCTGGGAGAGTTGGTTCTCTGAAATCTGGCCGCAGACTGCGTCGCTGATGGCTGTGCAGGGGGTGACCAAAGGCTCCCCATCGCAATCTGTGCAGGCTTGGCACTCCTGGAGCTCCTGGTTGTAGAAGTATTCATGACCACAAAGACCCGTCCCTGCTTCTCTCTCCGAAACCCCCAAACACTTGAAACCACCTGCACAAAAGGAGACGTCAGATTAGCTCTGGCAAGGCTATAAATATGCTGGAGAATATAAAATGAAACAAAGACGTCATGAACTGACCAGGAGTATTGAGACACTTCACTCGCTCTCCGCAAATCTGTGGTAGTTCAAGACATTCGTCTCTGTCCTGCAATCCATACAATTATACTTTTAAAGTATTTCCTTGGAGCAGTTTGTTCTTGTCAAGCAAATTGGATTTTTGGCATCTGCTTCAAGGATATTCAGTGGATTTAATTCATTATGCATAACATTCAGTGAATATACTGAAGGTACAATCAATGCCTTGTAAAGCTGTTACTCTTTGCCTTTTTCCTATCTTGTCTTGTTACAACCAAAAGCTGCAATGTATCTTAAAATGGTTTTATGATACTGTAAAGTTTTCAATCCCTTGGAATGATACCGTCACCACTGCGTTTCATTAGCTGTGTTTCCATTGACACAATTTAACATTTAAAAAAATAAATTCACTTAAGGGAACCCTCCCACCACAACCACACACACCCCGAAAAAATGTCTCCTTTTTTGACATTTTTTAGCATTAGAATGAGGAGGGTTTTTTTGGCCGAGTCAAAATTGGTTTAATTTGCAAAACTGCAATGAAAACACAGGAGTCACATGATCAACAACCGGATGTTACTACTGGCAGAAACCATGAAGAACACAACAGGAAGTGGTAGGAGGATGATGGCAGTGCATGTTTTTAGTGACTTATCACTTCAACAAACAAACTTATTGATGTATGATTTTAATTGTGTTCCTTATTTAATGGACATGTCACAATTGGAAAATAGTTTTTCTGACATTAGCAGAATATTGACAAAGTTTTGCGCACATTTTTAATGAAAATGCATCTAGTGTAGCCTGTTTTTCCAACGGGACAAAATATGGCTTGGATTGAAGTGTTTGGAGTAGTTTTGCAAGCTATTATGAATCATACCTGGCACATTCTGTCTGCAGTTTGTGAGCACTGCGCAATGAGGAAGAAGCCCGGCGGACACATGGTGCATTTCTCACACTGCGGTGGATCCCTCTGAAAATCACAGAACTCCTCTGATCCGCAGGGCGATCGGCAGACACGCAGAGGCTGCGGGAAATGAGTCTCTCCCACCACATCCATCACTTTGGAGTCAATGTCCATTTTATGCACGGCGTAGGATTTTTGCAGATGGCTGCGGGCCTGGCTCTGCAGTCCCGCCAAGTGACTCTCGAAGTAGCTGTGCAGCTCCCCCTGCAGGCCCTGGAAGGAGGCCTGCTTGACCGTCTCCAGCAGCTGGCCGAACTGGTTTTTCACCGCATCCATCTGCTCGTACATTTGTCGCTGCTGCTGCAGGACGTCCTGCTGCTGCAGCAGCAGCGCCTCCTGCTGGTCGACGAGCTTCTGCTGCAGATCGCGGATTACCACCTGCTGGGCTCGGAGGGCTTCAACCAGCTTCTCCTGCCCCTTCGCCAACTGGAGGTGCAGGATGAGAGCGTCTTCTGAAGGGACTTCATTCTCCCCTGAGGTCACATTTACAACAGGGCCATTAGAGATGGACAAAGAAAATAGAAGAGTAAATTTCCACCAAAAAACTCAGGACTTTTTAGATTGATCTCAGAAGTTTTCTAGAAAAAAGTGGGATTCTTTGAGTCTGAAAAGCAGATAATTTTCTAGAAAACACAAGGAAGTGTCAGAGTTTGAAAAGTCAACATTTTTCACAAAAAATATGGAAATTTCTGAGTTTCAAAGGTTAAATATTTGCTATAAAAACTGCAATTTTGAGATGAATCTCAGCACCTTTCTAAAAAAAAAAGAACATTTCTGAGTCTCAGAAGTGCAGGTCTTAGTTTTAGTTTTTTTAATTTTGGAAATTGTCTGAGTTTGACATTCAGAGCTCAGAAAGTTTCATGTTTTGACTAGGAAATTTCAACATCTGATCTCAAAGTTTCTGTTTTGTTTGATAATTTTAACAATATATTGCATGTGCACTCAGCCAAACAAAGTGCACTGAAAGCTTCCTACATGATCAAATATCACAGTCGACATTTTCCAGCTAATTGACTCTGAGGTATTTTTCCAGCTCGGCTATTGTTGCTCTGTCATTATCCCTTTTCTTAATGACCAACAAGAAGTTACTTTTATGATATGATAACAGGACAAAGTGTGTTACTGAAAGTAAACCATGGTATACCAAACATCACATAAAGATAAATATAGGATTAGGAATAAACTGGAGGAAGAGTCTGTTTATCCAGATGAAAGCAGATCTTAATCTGGCTCGGTTTTATAAACTTTCATGTTGTTATTCTTTGATGTAAATAAATCACATCCAATCTGGAGGAAAGATAATAAACCTGAAGATAACAATTCATGACAAATATTGATGAAGTCGGGTTCTAAATATGAAATATTACAATAGTACATTTTGGGGTTATTTTTGTTTGTTTTTCTCGTACAAATCTTTTACCATCTCTAGTTTTGGTGGAAAACAACAGATTTGGACAATCAAAGCTTTTAAAACGCAACATTTATGACTACTGAGACCATTTGACTAAACTGACCTTTAAGCTGACCTTTAAGCTGCCCAGGCCTGAACTGCAAACACATTATTTAGCTGGAAAATGATAAACATTTGTTGTAATTATAAAAAATAAAATAAAAATGTGTTTGTCTCTTTCGGTCAGTTGACAGCATCCACGCCTCTTTAGGTATAGAAACTGTTCTGAGGGTTTTTAATCTAAATAACCGGGTTGTGACGGAACCAGACCTGGCTTTATGTCACATGTGAGCTGGACTCCCAGCGGAGCCCCGCCGAGCTCCGAGGCTGCATGTCCAAACTCCGGATAGTCTCCCAGAAACTGCGCGGCTCTGTCGGACAGGTAGACCGAGGACATGTCCGCCTCCGCCGCGGCCGAGCATCCCTCTCCCACGCAGGAACCCCCGCGGACTTTGGGCCGGATCCTCAGCGGCAGCCGGCACTCGATCCCCCTGCAGTCTCTGGACTCGTTCCGGGGCTGCTGGAGCCGGATCCTGGTGCAGCCCGGGTCGGAGCATCCGCCGTGCGGGTCGGTCTCCAGAGGCGCTCTCTGAGGGCTCGGGTGCGCATGGTGCGCGGTGGCCGCTGCGTGTCCGGTTCTCCACTGCGGCGCCGGGTTGAACTGCCGGGGGAGCCTGGAGGATCTGCTCCCGGGACAGTGCGCCCCTGTGCACGGCCTTGGATCGCCAGTTCCCCCGCCAGAGCAGTGCGACCCCCGGCAGGAATCCCCCACAGCGGGCGCAACGCTGTGCAAGGAGAGCAGCACCGCCAGAAAAAGTAAGACCATTTTGCATTTAGCAATAAAAAACAGATATTTACAGCTTTCCAGATGAAATCCCCATTCCAAACAAAACCATGGTGCAGCTTTCAGCTCCAGGGTTCGCTCAGACTAACAGGAATTGGAACATGAGCCACTCAGACCCTGAGTGGCATTCCGGAGATTTAATTAGCATCAGGTTTCCCCCCCGCCGCATTTTAACCCTTCATCCTCTCCAGCCAAAACAGGCATGAAAACCAGCTGAACACCAAAAAAAAAAAAAAAAAACTACTCCATTAAATTTAAATTTTGTTTAACATCTGGCTCTCTGCAACCAAGGACATGAGCCTTTTTTTACAGAAAAAAAGAAGAAAATGTGGGTTTGAAAAACTGAAAATATGCTAGAAAAGAATCAACATTTCCAAGTTTATTTTAAAACATTTTTTAATTTTTTTTTCATGTTTTCAACTTCTTAAACCATTCGCACATTTAGCAGTGAGTACAAGAGGTTGATTGACAGCACCAAGACCCTCCTCCTGGTCTGATTGGTTGTTTTTAGTCTTCAGATAGCAATACCAGCCCAAGGAGGAGATTTATTTTTTCACAGATTATCTGTCTAAACCACAGTGATAGTTTTATTGAATATGTAAAAAATCCCACATTTATCATAAACATCACATACTGCAGCTTTAAGCCTTGAGATCTAAAGAAATTCACACCAATATAAGAAGAGAGTTATTGACATCCATCAGTCTGAAGAAGGTTATAAAGATGCAAAGTTTTTGGAAAATTAAGACAAAAGAGGAACTTTATTGATGGTTTTATTTCAGACTGTCGATCTCTGTAATGGCGGCACAACCGGTTCTTCAGAAAGAAGATCCTGCAGCATAATGCCTGCCCATTAGTTTCTGGACTCAATTGTTCTTGGGTTTTATATCAGGAAGCACACAATGAATGGTTTCAAGGTGGCCTAATCAAATTCTGGGTATGAATCTGATTGGGATTTGTAGCATAGCCTAAAGCACAACATACACCTTCCACTATGGAAGGTGCTTCCACAGTGGTTGAAATAGTGGTTTCAATAGTTCTGACATTTAGATGAGACAACAAAACAATAGAGAGGAAGTCAATTATTGCATTAATTTGTTTGTACTTCCTTTGACCTTTAATCTTGATGCAATCCTACACCAACATTTGAACACCTCTGAACAGCCGACTCAGATAAACTCACTCAGAGACGACCCAAAAACCAGTTGGATGGGTTTCACATTCTTCTGCCATGTACTTCTCCAATAAAAGGTTGACCTCTCCTGACCTTTTCTATGTAAACACAGTTGGGGTGTTTATGTTCACCAGGTCAGAGTTAGTGGGAGGATCCAGCAGCTGCCTCAACACACAGCGCAACGTTATGGGAGTTTTCTGCAGCTTCGAAGGTCACAAATGTAAAAAAAGAAAGAAGACAGAGCAAAATGAGAAGAGACAGCAGTTCTGAGAATATTACCTTGCAAAAGTATTTATGTCCCATGTCCATTTAGTCAAGTTAAAACAAAAAAAAGTCTTACTTTTTTGAGCAGTTCTCTTGCCTCATGGCAGGGGGCGCTCATGATCCCAGACATTGTGACTCCAAAACTGCAGAAGAAGCCACAGTAACAGACAAAGCCATACAGTAAAGTCAAGTGCAGCGATATATTTATAGATTTCTCCTCGTACTGCGGCGATCACCTATTAATATTCGCAAAATAAACATGAAGCCTGAAACCACACAGACTGAACGTTCTGCTCTTTGTGTGGGAAATATTTCAGTGTTTTTATTTAGGGGCGTTGTTGTCAGTTGCTATGACAAAAAGTCTGTGTGTAGCCAGGCCAATGCAGGGAGCGAGAAAGCTATGGTTTTGATTTGTACTTTAACGGTTTTTCCTTTGCTGTTGATTAAGTTAACAGAGTTATTCTACGCCGGCGGTGGCGGTGGCGGCGGCGGCGCGGCTTTAGGGAATCGTCTTTTTGCCCTCCAGCGTTGTCCGCGTGCGGAAAATTTCCTGTAAACAATAGCATGCAGGGGTCTGTATTTGTATGCATGATTATGATTAAGTCAGTGCCTCACCACGCATCACTGCTAAATAATCCACCTTTGGCCCACATGACCTTTGACCCAAATGCTGATAGACCAAACACCAACCAACCACATTCTTTCAGAGCAATCAGTCTGGCTACACTCATTTGAAGACAATAGTAAACTCAGTTTGAAGGACTTAACAAGAGCGAGCTTTAAATTAGGAGCTGGAAAACTGCTGGTTTGCAGATTTAACAGAACCAGATTTATCAGAACCAACGCCATCGGACCACCCTGTTTGCCAGAAATGAGGTTACAAAGACTCAACAACAGAAACAAATCGCCTCGGTCCCAGCTGCTGAGCTCCACAGCCATTAATCTGTGGACTTATTTGGGAAATTCTCTCCTTCGCGTTTTGGACGTCTGCCTTTGGTGTCCATTTGTTTGTCAACCTCAGTGAGGAAATGAGCGCGGTCAGGACAAACGCCTGCACCCGGGGTGTTTGTCTAATTTATCACCTGTCATGAAAGGTTCTTGGAGGCATTTGAGGTCATTCATTTCCCTCCATTGGTGCTCCGCTTCCCTGCGCTGTAGCAACTGCCACGCGAACGTCTGTGCTGCTCGCTTCTCCTGTTAGGTCCACGCTTGTACATATGATTTTCATTTATTTATTTTTGTTGGGTATTTCCAAAAATACTCAATCATGTCGGAAATCGTGACAGATTTCCACCACAGAATGGGGGCGGTCTGCTTTCCTCATCAGACCGGAGGAAAATGCAGCTTAAGCAACCTTAAAATAGTTACAAAACCCAGAGAATCAAGTATTTACTTTAAAAATACAGTTAGCGTCGGGGGAAAATTTGTCCTTTAGTGAATATCTTTGCATAAACGTCTTGGACGTGATAAAAACAGAAATAAAATCTTGTTTGTTGGCCACAGAAGTGGGAATCCAGTGTCTGCATGAAGAGATAACGGAAGATATTCATAGCATGATGGTTTGAATCTTTCTGGTTCCCCTGAAGATAACAGACGCTGTTGCACCACAACGTTCTGCTAAGATGTTCTGACCTGATTGCCAGTAAAGAAAAAAACACTTGTGTTTTTGACCATTGCTGTTTTCTGCTGCAGATCACAATGTCGTGCCTGAGCCTTTGCAACATTATGAATGTGAAAAGTTTGGTTATTTTTATGCATCATGCAGTGAAAAATTGAACTGTATGGTAATAAATTCATAATATATTAGCTGATAATAAACTTATCCGCCACGGCCAACTAAAATCAGACAATCTGAAGCAACATTTATGCTAAATGAATCTAATAAGTACTGAATAGAGAATAAAAACACTCTAAACGTTGATGTTTCCTTTTATATGTTGTACTACTGGCTGTGGGTTTGGAAACAGGGTCTCTGTTAAGACGTTAATGGTGTTTGGGAAGGAAAATCAATTTCCACAAATCGTTTGAGATCAATCAACTTATCAAGTTTTACAGTGTACTTCATAATTATACACTACATTTTTGCAAAAATCAGTAATTTATAAAATAAGAGATGTATTGGGTAACCTCACTCACTCACAATGTTTTCTCAGTTTCAGTTTCTGTAATTTCATGACTTTTAGTTGGTGGCAGCTCAGACTGACGACTTGCTGTAAATCAGTTTCTGTTATGGTGAATTATTAACGGCTGATTCGCCTTTGTTTTCTCTCAGAAACTTCCATCATCTCCTCCAGCGTTTCCCTGCATCTCCTCTCCCGCCAAAGCAAACTCTGAACTCCTGAAGCGGTTCAGTGGAGGCGATGAGGAGCGACGGTGAACCGGGGAGAGGCGAGTCGGTCCAGGATTGTGAAAGTTTTATCTCTCTGCAGGAATGCAGTGGCAGGTCTGGACCTGAACTTCCGCGTTGAGCAGGAAGAAACAGTCAGAGAGCCCAAATGCAAGCCGCATCAGCACACCCAGATCTGCCTGCATGTGGCCGTCACCTTAGGCTTTTTTCTTAGCTGAGCGAGATTTCAGGGTGGATCTAATGTCCATGTGGATTTTATTTTGAAACAAACTGGTGAATTGAGGATTATTACAACTGAAGAGGTGAGTTACATCTGTTTATTTGAGAGTTGTACCTTCAGGTAACGGTAAACACCTACAGCTGATCTCCTCTTTACTTAAACCAGAAATATTCTGATTGTTAGTCACTTTATATGAATGATTTTCTCTTTTTCTTTTACTAAACAAGGATATTTAATAGAAAAACCAGCTTTTAAAACTGAAAATATTACAGGTTCCACTTTTTCACCAAAACAATGATAAAATATTGAGTTTGTTTAACTTAATAGAGGTAAATCTGGTGGTTTTGTTTACATAAAGTAGTTAAACATCAAAATCTAAAGTGATAAAAAGGGATGTAAGTTCATGTGTTTATTTCTGACTGGGTGTAGCCTGAAACTTGCTGCGCTTACACAATAACTCCATAAAACCATCGGGTTTGTTTTGAAAGCGCCGAGTGATTTCAGTTTGCTGCTAAAATAAGAGAAACCTTTTAAATGTGGATGTGAAGCCGCTTTGGAAAGACGAAGTAAAGTTCTTTTAGGTGGCATCAGGGTCCGTTTTAGTCACTGCGTTTCTCTGTGACTCATGTGCAGCCGGGATTTTGGGTTTTAACAAAACACGCCGACGAAATGAAGAGGAGAAATTATGTTTTGGGTCACGTCGGTTATGAGTCATGGCTTCTCATCCCCTCAGGCGACGTCTTTTACTCTAATTTCTCTACGTTAAATCTCTGTAAATGCATCTCCGAAATATAAACATCACATCCAAGTCAAAGCGGTCGTTACTTTTTCGGCGTCTGTATTTGAATTTGAAAGCATTCGTGGAGAAAACGGTGCAAACATGACGTTTTGTTGGACGGTTCTGTAGAGAGTTAATATTCAGTTCTGCATTTTAATTAAACGTTACAATCTGACCATGAGGCTAACAATATGAAGAGTTTCAGAGGGTGTTTAAGAGGAAGTGAGAACTGTCGTTGTTCTCTCCATCTCACCTCAGAGATGGCAGCCGGCCGTTTTCATCTCAGTTAAATGAGAAATGTTTAGGTCGTTACCTAAAACACCTACAGCCACTTAATCGACGCCACACCAGTAAACTTGAGTCTAAAATAATCCAACAATAATCCAACCATATTAATCACTGTTTTTGAAAGAAACTGCAACATATATTTTTATACGTAGCATTTATTTATGAATGTTGCTAGCTTAGCTTTACTGGGTCACTCAAAAAAGGTGCAAGTATAAAGTTGTAACTTTAATTTAATTTACTCACATTGCTGTAATTTTAGTGCAATTTGTCTGTAACTTTTCCTTTTTTTAAAAAAAAAAGATTTTTAGGGTACCTGAACTTTTATTTGAGTTTGTTTTGAATCAAGTGTTACATTTGAAATCATATCTGCTAATAAATATTAATAAAACTTATATATAAGCTTATTTTAAGTGAATAATTCCTTAATATTGATTAAAAATTTCTAGTTCCATTGACAGATTATTTCTCTTATAAACACATTTTTCCGTAAGTTAAACAATCTGCCAATGAAAATAGTAGTTTTTCACCAATATTGAGGAATTATTTACTCAAAATAAGCTCATATATCTTGCTGTATGTTAGTTTTGTCTCATTTGCTCTAGAAACTAAACACAAATACTTGGTTTTGAGTTATTTGCAGTGTTTCCATTAATGTAATTTTTTACAATTCTGCTTGTGACTCAAGTTCACCCTTATCTAAGAAGGAAGTGTCTTAAGGATCAGGTCCGCTTTTGCCTTCATCAGCAGATGTTTCACAATCCGTCCAAATGCAATCGCTCTTCTTTTCACTTCTCCGCAAGCTGGGAGTCGTCTGTTTAAGGCATCGGGCCTCAGAAATTAACATTTGGGAGCCGTCTGACTGACAGAGTAAACCTTTCCTCATGTGAGCTGGTTTCATTATGGAAAATAAAATGTGATGCCAGGAGAAGAATATAAAAGAGCTGTAGAGCTTTTGGTATAATTAAAGAAAATTAGTCATTTTTAATGGTTTAGCACAAACATCTCCTCCCCTAGAGGCACATCGAAAATGAGAAAGGCAGTACAAATTGAGTTTGCAGGTGGCTGCTGACACCATTTCCGAGATGATTTCAGTTTGCAGAAAGACAGGAAGTTAACCCTTCTACCACTTCCTCTCCAGACTGCGTGCCCTCCTCAATGCTCCAAAATGCACATCACTTGAATTTTGTGGTTCAACATTTGATTTCATCAGTATGGAATGAAAATTGAGCGGAGATGAAACCAAGACGTTTAAGTTGGTAGCTGCTAGTTTTTACTTTTCCAAAACTGAAGTTTCAAAAAGAAAAATTTAATATTCCTCTTTAACTGGCTTTTTATTTCCTCCAATGCCAAGTCAAGATCTTTATAGGATTAAAAAGGAAAGCTTTAGGAAACCATATGGCTGCTGAAACCACCTTTTAAGGCGACCTGTTATGTTTCTATGAGCAGGTCAGGACTAAACAAATGGCCTACACAAAACATGCATTTTTTGTAGAAATCTCTCTTAAATTTAGATTTGTTCTGATCTCCTTTCAGAATGAGCTGTTTTAAAGCCTCCTGTCACTTTAAATGCAAACGAGCTGCTGCTGGCCACGCCCCCCAACTCAAGAGAGTAGTTGTGAACAGATGCACAGTTATACAACCATTCACCTTTTATTCAGCTCTGGTTTCTAGGTAAAGGCCTGATTTGTGACATTATATTCTGTAATCACTCATTTTCCAGACACCAAAAATCATTCATTTATTGCCAAACACCAGCAGGGTGTTTGTTTTTTAAAAGTGATTGGTCTGTTTTTAGAAGCAGTTGGAACCAAAATGGAAGTGCAAAAATGTGCATAATGTGAATTTTGCATAATAGGTCCCCTTTAAGGATCATTCCTTAATTATCAAAAGATAAAAAGTTGTAATCTTTTATAAATGTGAATGTTTGCAAGATTTTGCTTGAATCTGCACAGTAATATGAACACTTTTAGGGAACGCTCCTTAAAGTTTCTTTTTGTAACAGCTTTTTTGGTTTTAAGAAACCATGGCAAGAGTTGTATCATATACTATATAAATATTTAAATTTATTAAAATAAAGATAAATGTATTAATAGACTTGGGGTAGAAAGAAATATCAACCAAAAACAAGCCCATGCAATCAAAGGAAGAACAGAAAAATCAAACCTTTTTCTCTCTGTGGGCTTTTAATTCATTCTTATTTTAAGTGGAAAATTCATAAATTCAACATCAATAAGCCTCCAAATGAATGAAAATGAGAGGTGAGCTATACTGGAAGTCTACCATTAGTGCCACACTGAAAACAAAGAAAACATCCACAATTTACTTCTTATTTTCCAGTGTAAGAAAAACAAATTCAGCACTCCGTTTTGACTCCAAATTCAGGATTATCATAATGTTCACTTTGAGGAGTGAGGCAGCAAAAATACATGCTGCTGGCCGCTAATGCAACATAATTACACTAAGTCTTATGGAGATGTTTAAAAAAAAAACAGCTAAAGTGGCTGTTTAAAAAAAAACCAGCCACTTTACCAGCTTCTTGGACTATTTTGCTTTAACCTTAAATAATTAATTTTGATAATGTAGAGCTCAAATGGATTTTTTTATAATCTGAAAGGGTTTTTAATCTTATTTTTTAGCAGCTTGTGTGTTTAACTCTGCCCCAACTAAAATTAAAACCATGCATTTTATAATCTCTCGTTTGGTATTACATAAATGGAACCAAACTGAATGTTTTAATATAGCCAGTATTTGAACTTAGCGGTGTTTGTGTGAAGAGTGGTGCAAATCAAACGTTGCCTCAAGACGTATGAATACTCTGCACCGCTTTCAGTTTTACAAAAATGCAAAATAGGACTCACCAGTTCGACACGTACAACAAGATCTTGCAAGTTTTGACAAATATCTGATGCCTGAAGTTATGCACGCAGTCTTTCTCCAATTAAGAAGACGGAGACTGTGCAGCTTCAGGGGACATATTTCTGCACACATTGTAAAGGAAAGTGTTTGAGTTGCATGAACATTAAATCTAAACTTTAATCTCCAAGATCCCATTTTACATTTCTTTGTCATTATTACATTTAATCGTCTGCAAAGAAAGTAGTAATTGTTATATTTGTAGGTCATTTCTGGCATAAGATTGTGGATGTTTATATTTCATTGCAAAACAAGAACAAAACTGATATTCCACAAGCGTTTTTGCCAATATTGAACTAAAAATTAGATTTTTCTATGCTGCAAATTCACCAAATCTTCATCCAGATTTGAAATTGCAAATTTAAAAGCTCTAGGATGTGAATCTGACTTTAACTATATCAGAAAATCAGAAACACAACAAATGTCCCATTTTCCTGGACCAATTTTGACTCCAAAGTGGAAAAACCTAAACAACATTGTCATTACTTTTCAAAAGGCTTAAACTTCATTGTCATTCCACAGATGTTAACAAAAATCCCCAAGTATTGGACAAAACCAGATCCATAATCAATAATAGTTTACCAAAGTTTTGACGCTCCTTGTAATTTTAAAGCTGCTTTTTCAAAGCTCCAGTCACTACTAGCTTAGCATTAGGGCTAATGGTAGCCTGTGAGTAAAATGGGAAGAAGTATAAATTAGTTTGGTTTCTGGATGCTTTCATTATTCACCGCTTCCTACATTTAGTTTCTGTTTTATCAAACTCTCTTTTCACATGTTATGAGTCAATGATTTATGGTTTGCTCATGTTGTAAGAAGATAAAGCCAACTATATCAAACATCGGTCAGAAATACAATCATTGACAAAAGAATTCTCTATAAACTATTAAAAAAATAAAATAATCTAGTTAAAAATCAGATCTAAACCAGTTAAATCTAAATTAATTGCAGATCATTTGTAATTTTTCAGGAAAGATTGTTTCATTTGTACAAATGTTTTTACTTTGTGTTGCAAATAAGTGAGTTTTGAGTTATAAATCTGTGTGAACAACAATCACATGTGGGGTTCCTCAAGGCTGAATTCTTGATCCACTTTATTTTCCATATCTGTATGATCTCCTTATGTCATATGTATGCTGATGGTGGACAATTTTAAATCTCTTAATCAAAGTTGGGCGTTTTTATAAATATCTGTCTCCTCATTTCAGCTACATATGTAAAGATTTGAAAACATGCAGATATATGCGGTGGTAAGCGCAGAGTGTAAACTGGCACCACTCAGTCACATCTGTGTTATTTTAATGTTTCTTTTCTTCTTGCATATGAGAAACAATCCAACAATGACAAATTACCTTTGAAATAATGGAATGGTGACTTTAAAGCTAAAGTTTTCTAACTTCTGTGTACAGCTAGCTGTGCTGCAGTGCTGATGCTAGCTTGTGTGTAAACAAAAACAACATGCAAAGAATAGATTGTAATTGTGTTTCCAAACTTCCTCACAAACCTTTATATTACTTCATTTTAAATTGCCACTTTTCTCATTTTCAGTATAAGCTAGCTGTGCTACAGTGCCAACATGAGCAATAATTAAATATTTTTCATCTTCCTTCATGCGTTATAGTTGTTTTGTATTACATGTTTATTTCTTTCAAACATCAGAAACTGGGACGGAAACCGGTTTTATTTCTTGTGATTAGATCATCTGAGTTTTAATTGTTTGATGTTTTATGTGTTTTCTTGTTCTTGATTGCATTATTTTACACTAAAATGAATATTTCTGTTTGTTAGTTTATGTAAAAGCAAATCAAATCTCTACTCTTAGAGCTTTTTGTTGTTTATTTCAGATGGATGACATTGACGCTATGTTTAGCGACCTGCTGGGGGAGATGGACCTCCTCACTCAGGTGAAAAACTTTAGCAATACTTTCCTTTTATTTAAATCTCCACTTGGATTTATGTGCCAGTTTTTTTATGTCTTTTAGAATTTGTTATTTTTTGAGATGAGAGAATAAAGTAGAAAAAGAAAAGTGTGAAGTAAGAGTGTCAAGGTTTCTGATTTACTGTGTTTAATGTCAAATCAAAGATAAACTTTACTCTAAGATACGTTTCCTTTCCAAATGTGGGAGTAGAAGTTAGTTTTCCACTCATTTGATTGATTTCAAAATCATCAATTAATTATTAGATTTCTTTCTTACTGTAAAAACTTTAAGCTAAAGGTTTTTAGCACAAATGTATCTGTACATAATTATAATTTATTAGAAGAGATTAATTCATTTTGCATATGTTTTTACTGTGGGAAACTCAGTGTGTTGCAAAATTTTGAGAGTCAGCTGTGGGGTTCCTCAAGGCTGTATTTTCGATCCACTTTATTTTTCTTATTTTTCATTCAGCAGTATTGCATCTTAGTTTGTAGTGCAAATATCTTATTGCACTTGAAATAAGGCAAAACTAACATATAAGTAGCTTTTCGAGAGATTGTTTTAAGTAAATAAGTCCTTAAAATTTATGAAACAGTGTTAGTTCCATTGTCAGATTATTTAACTTGTAACATGGGAAAAATGTCTTGTTATAAGTTAAATAATCTGCCAGTGGAGCTGTTCTATTTCATTGATATTAAGGAATGCTCATATATCTTGTTGAAAAGTCATTTGTAAGTTAGTTCTGCCTCATTTCAAGTGTATTAAGATATTTGCTTTACAAACTGGACCAAAAATACTTGGCGAAATTTCATATTTTTGCAGTGCATAATAATAATTTATAACTTTATCAGCACAAACGTATGAGAAATTGTAGTTCCCTGTACAGAAATAATCACATTCTCATAAGTTTTTTATTTCTGTTTGCAGAGTCTCGGACAGGAAATCGAAGCTCCTAAACCGCTCCCCAGCACTGGGAAGGAAGTCAACTTCTCTGTCGGCTTTACTGGCCTGAACGGTGACTTTCCTTTTTTGCTTTTGTCAGACTCTCTCTAACAGAAAGTCACTTACACAATAACTTCTAAAGTTACGTAAAAATAGGACACAGTCCATTTTACATCATCAGTAAAATGGAAAATTGATGCAATATTTGAACAATAGCAAATTTTGCTGGACAATAAATTGTTCCAGAAGTTATTGCGATAAATAAACCATATTATTGCTGTTTTGAGATCATTTTTAAGCAACTTACTGGTAATAATGGAAAAATAAAAATGCACAAACACATCAAAAATTAGTAAACTTTAAATTCTATTACTGGAAGACATTTTAAATCCAAATCTAAGTAAACAACAAATAAAATGAACTTTGAAGTTTTTCACAAAATAAAAAAGGTCGAGTTGAGACCAAAACACCAAACTGGAGACTTTTCTCATCCAGATTTTGGTAGAAAGAGAGAAAAAAGAGAAACGATTGATAAATCATGTGATCAATTGATTTATTGATTACTGTAACAGGTCTAAGCATACGTTTATATCACTTTTTTGCACAAAACTTGTTATAATAAAAGCCTCAATTGTTCGATTTGTGTTTGCAGAGATCCACAGAATAACGGGATGAAATTGAAGTCAGTTTTTAAAAAAAGATTTCACATTTAGACTAATTTAATTTTAGAAATGGGAAACAATTTTAAGTTGCTTTAAGAAGGATGTGTAACGTTGAAGGAAGATAAAATATGCCTCTTAAAGGCCTGAAACTTTTCTTGAAGTTGATATTTGCTGCTAAAAAGGTAAAATTAATTTAAATTTACAATAGTGTACTTCGTACTTATGAGTAATTTTACTGTTTACGTTGCAGAAAACAGTTTATGGTGACACTAAAAAAATCAGAAAACATTTAATCTTCCAAATCATGTTTTTAATATTTCCAAGTTTTTATGTTGGAGCCAAATTTTTAAATCAGTGATATACATATTTAATTAATGTCGATGATGACTACTAATACTTGGTATTGCATTAGTCCTGATTCAGAATTGGATTTTTTGAGGCTATTTAGTTTTATTTAGTATTTAGTTTTACTTCAGGAGTGGAACTAAAACTAAACAGAGCATGTGAAAGTAAAATAATGCATGAAGACACTGTGCATCAGCAGTCTTCTGTGGGATTTTTTCTTTGAAGAAGGAAGATAAAAAGTGGTAAAAAGTGAAGCAAACTTCCCCTTTCCAATGTTCCTGAAACCCAATAAGAGCCTCAGTTTAAGGGGACATGAAAGGACCATAAAACATTTGAATTACGTCTTGATGATTCGATTCTGCTCCACCAGCGTCCGTACATGACCTGGAGGACAATGACTTGGACGCCCTGATGGCCGACCTGGTGGCCGACCTCAGCGCGACAGAAAAGAAACTGGAAGCAGAAATACAAGGCCTGAACGAGCCACCATCGTCTAACTCAGAGCTGCCGCCTCCGCCCAAAGGCCTGAGCGTCCAGCCTGCCTCCTCCATTACATCACCGCCGTCTCCAGGAAATAACAGAAGCAGCAGCGTCACCACCCCGTCTTCTTCCACCACCTCGCCCCTGCCGCCTCCCCCTCCGCAGTCATCAAAACCCACAATGGTACGGGTCCTCACTCTAGAGAGTTTGAATGAAGGGAACATTTGGAGGAGTTTACTCTTAGGTAGACTCTACAAGGCGAAACACCAATGTGGTAAAATTATTTTTTCAGTTCACTTATCACCAGATGTGGGTGGAGCTCCCAAAAATTGCACTCAAGTAAAAAGTAAAAAGTATCCAGAAATGACTGAACTAAGAGTAAAAAAGCATTTGGTAAAAAGTCTAGTCATCACACGGACAAAAAATATAACATATTCATCCCACCTCTGACAAGGCTGTTCCCTTTATGTAAGTTTCAGATGACTTCTTTATTTTTTTTCTTTCTGTCTCTGTGAAACTCAAAGAGTGGTTCGGGTCTTACAGCAGTCGGACAATGAGGTCACAGATAACTGAATCCATCTGTCGGAGTCGGAGAGACGCGTGAGGAAAAACAGTTGAGGGTCTGTCTGGAACAGATCAAATGCATACAACCATGCGAAAACTGTAACAGGATCAGGGAGCAGAATAGTGTCAGTATTTGGATGGTCTGGGTAGGTAAGGTAGACGGGAGCTTATTGTTTTAACAGAGCTCCTGACCTCGTCTTACTGTGGTCAAAACACCGGCTGTGGCAAAATTCTGCGTCACTAGTAGACGAGATGTGCACAGGTTAGCTTTATAAGCTCTAAACATACAGCGTTGATGTTACTATCAATGTGAAGACTGCTCCAATACTGGAAGAAAAAACCCTAAATATCTAAACATACTTACCTTTCTGATAAGAAAGCCAAACCTTAAAGCTGCAGTTTGCAAATTTTGTAAAAATTTCTTCTTTTTTTTTACATATTGCTAGTTAGCATTTCTCATGATGACAGTAAGTAAACGTTTTTTCTGTAACGGTAAGTGCTTCTCTGCCATTGGCATATTTAGCAGCGCATTCACAAGGATTATTGACAACTCTCAGACCCTCCTGGTGGCTCTGATTGCATTTCTTCATATAGGAATAGTGGCTCAGGGAAGATAATTTTACTTTGTAGTCTTGAGTATTTTGTGGTATGCTTTTCTTGTATGCTGTGCCATCTTTGTTTACTCTAAACCTACTTTGAGCAGCAATCTGTCTGATCTTACTCTAACAACAGCTGAACAATGAATCTAAGATGTGGCTGCGTCATAAACCCTGTACCAGAATATGAGCCAATAAACCTGATTTGTAATATAGTGGTGTTTGTAGGTCAAAAAAGGGAAGAGCGAACAAAGGGAGAATGTCTTCCCTCAACTGTATATCAAGTGTTGATTAAATCAGAAAAACATCTACTAACTCAGTTCCTCTACTTGCTGTTTTTCCTGTTTAGGAAGAAATCGAAGCTCAGATGAAGGCAGATAAAATCAAGCTTGCCTTGGAGAAGCTAAAGGAAGCAAAAGTGAAGAAGGTAAGACATGTAAACTTCAACTCCACATATTCTGCTCTGATCTGACTGAGCTGCATTAAGTTATGCAGAGATTATGAAGGATGGAAAATGCCTTCTATTCCAACACAGCATGTTGTAGTTTCCTCTCCATCTGGCCTGACAGAGGAGCCATCAATCACGTTAATAGATGGGTATTTTTATCTAGCCAACATCCTGCTCTGGATCATTCTGTACATGGACACTTAATCATCTTCAAAGTGGCACAAAAGCACCAAAACAGAGTCTTGGATGTAAAGTTGAGCATTGGACAAAAGTAAAGTTTAAGTATTTGACCTAACATTTACTATAGTTTCAATGCTGTCTTGAGATAATTTAAACGTTATCTACTGACTTTTGGCTACTTTTCATCTACTTCCACATGGAAACTCAATAAATTCAGCATGTCCACTTTTATAGACATATATATACGTCAGTTTTGATGTATATCCTGTGGCTTCAGCAGATGTTTCTGTGGTCAGAAATTCAGATGTATCCCTCAGCAAACCAATGCTGCTGCCACCAGGCTTGATGGCGCAAACGATACAATATTCACATGTTTGAAAGATGACGTGTTCAAATATTCTTCTTATCATTGTGGGGAAATGGTTTCCCTGCAAATGACTTCAGCAAAGTCATTTGTTTTGGTCACCAACAGAGCTGGAAAGTTTGTTGGCTCCTTCCCATTCCTTGATGTTCCAACTATATCTGGTTTATTGCAGACTTTGTTAATAAACTAACTCATCACTCTAGCCAATGTCAGTTTATCCAACGGTGATCTTTTGAGACCATTGGTTGAAATTTGGACACAGTTGAGCAAGGAAAACCTAGCATTGCCATTTTTGCATGAACATAAGAAATCCAGACACATTTTTTTTGTAGTTTCTCACAGATCTTTGTGGTTTCTTCTTTTTTGAGTTTTAGACATATAAAACTCAGATTGTTTCTGTTATAGGACATATTGTTCAGCCACATGGAGAGTCTGTATTTTGGTAGAGATAGAAAAAGCCAACCAAACTGGGATCTTATTAGTCTTAGCCATGATAAGATCTACAAAAGCCCATATGTGTATGACAACAGCCAGGTGACTGATTTCATGAAAAGTCATCAGTCTTCCAGAACTGGACTTGTTTCCATATGGCAGGAAGTGTCAATTCTCTGGCCTAGATAAAAATAAATCCCAGTCAGCGCTCTGTCTGAGGACCTAAAATTACATGCAGACATTTGACTGGAATAACTGAAGTGCTGATGCTCTCAACAGTTTTATTAAAGCTAACATTATGAAGCAGAAACAATCATTTGGGTACATAACATGTTATTAAACTGGTCAACCAGCTGCATGTACTTAAAGGTTGGATTTAGTCTTACTGAGGGAGTCAACTAATATCTACATTATATCAGAGACATTTAGTCTACAAAATGAACAAGTAAATGTAAATGCATATTAGCAGGTATTAAACATGCTTCTGTCATATTTAGTCATGCCTTGAATATGCAGCAAGGAAATTACATTTACTACATGGTAAGGAAATTACATTTACTACATGGTAAGCTCGTCTGCACCAATCCACAGAGATGCTGATTATTTCTTTGACTAGTCAGCATGTCTGGTGCCAGCAGGGTGGCTGACTTGGAGTGATGTAACACCAAAAACAATCAGAAGTAGTATTAATCACCTGTCTACCTTTGGCAACTACAATCAAAACGCAACAACAAAAGCCACAGTGGGAGTTATCCTAAAATGGGAGCCATGCTAAAACAGAAGCTGTGCTAAAGTGGAAGCTAATACTACAACAAAGGATATGCTAAAATGGGCGCTATGCTAAAACAACAATTATCTTAAAATGAAAGCTATGCTACCATGAAAGCTAATACTATGACAGAAATAATTCTACAACGGAAATTATCCTGAAATAGAAGCTAAAGTGCAATGGAAGCTAATGCTACATCAGACGTAATGCTACAACAAAAGCTATGTTAAAATGGAAGCTATGCTAAAACTGAAGTTATGGGATAGCTTTAACTTTAATTTTAGCATATCTGTCATCTTAGCATATGATCAAATGGTAAAACTGAATTTATACTAAAAGGTAAAATACAACAAACTTGCTAATGTAACTCACATTTTAGCATAACTTCTTTTTTAGGAACATTTCCATTGTGGCTTTTACATTTTGTTGACCGTAGAATTTCAATACTGACCGTAAAAAACATGGTGTTGCTTGTTTGTAGCCTAGCAAAAGCTTAGCTTTGACTTAGCTGCAACCCGTTGATTTTGAAACATTGCAACTTTCCCTAATGCTTCAATTGCCCTTGTTATGTTTTGTTTTAGTATTTCATTGAATACTAAAACACACATATAATTAAAATTTTTTGGTTTTGTTATCGACAGCTGGTGGTGAAGGTCCTCATGAACGATGGCAGCTCCAAGACTCTGATGGTTGATGAGAGGCAAACCGTGAGAGAAGTTCTGGAAAACTTGTTTGAGAAGACTCACTGTGACTGCAACGTAGACTGGAGTCTGTGTGAAACCAACCACGAGCTGCAGCTTGGTGAGTTCCTAAAAGGCCAACATCAGGTGATGTCACAATGCTATCATGGTCTATGCAAAGACACGAGGGGTGGAAGTGGCAAAAATAAACCAAACTCGTGATAAAGCATTTAAAATAAGCAATGAACTAGTGAGCTGGTATGCACCAAGCAAAAGCAAGTGGTAAAATATAGTTTGACTTGCTTACGCTACAAAAACACAAACCTTTACCAAGTATTTTTGTCTAGTTTCCAGGGCAAATATCTTGAAACGAGACAAAATTAACTTACAAGTAACATTTCAGCAATATAGGGGACGTGGGAAGAATTATAAGAGAAATAATTTGCCAATGGAACAAGCCGTTTTTTATTAATATTCAGAAATTATTTAAAACCTATATATGCTATAAAGTTACTTGAGGTTTGTTTTCTATAATATTATCCAGCCAGGTTGCTTTAAGTTCATCATGCATGCAGCTTTATTTTAGCAGTTCCTGAAACTCCCCGTGTAATGCAACGTGAGGTGAACACAATGCAGTATTGAATTTTTGGGGAACTATTTGCAGTAGTGGATTGACTCATGACATATGCTAGTATTAACCGCTTTGAGAGCATGATGGTTGGGTTTAACTTCACACTCCCACACAGAGTTAAAATTAAGCTTCTCTTGTTGAAGGAGCTGAATGTTAACTTTGGCCTATTAATTTTAAATTAACAGGCTCCCTATGATGTAGCAGTCGTTAAAAAAATCCTTCTAATTAGCTTTTTTGTGGGCGTACTTCATAGATGGGAGAACAAAAACGTTTTTATTGGCTTTGGACTTTCATCCACACAAAAACTCTGTTTAATTTTTTTTTTTTAAATCCAATAAAACTCTGTATTTATGTTTAAAGAACAAAGATTTAGGGTCCCACGGTTTACAACCAGCAAAAAATAATGCATCAGAATATCCACATATTTCCCAATCGACATCGTCTTGAGTTTTATCAACTTCATATTCAAATACGCTCATTAAAATGTGTTTAATTTATTTATCTGTTCATATAAATTAACTTTCAGGTGCCATGTTTAATTCCTAACAATTTGATTGGCTGACGTAGATTTTAGCTTTGCGCCACACTGCCCCCTATGGGTTTGGCATGTTCAAAACAGCTCAGTGGCGTATATTTGTGCGGGTTTGTGTGGATAAAAACCTTTCTGAAATCTTTATTATTTTTGTTTTATAAACACTCAGCTGCATGTGTATTTCCTTCCTTTTAAGTTTGTTTGCTAATTTATTGAGCTGCAAGGTCAAAGTGATGACCTTTGCCCTCCTTTTATATTCCCAGCTGTCTGACAGAGATTCCCATTTCCACCATGACTTCTTTGCAAAGGAAACATAATTTGTAGCTGCTGTGACTGATGAGCACAAGGAGATGAGTCGTGTTTTCTGTCATCGTTGACTAACCCAAAACTCAAAATAAAAAAATAAAACGTAGACGACTTGTAAACGTCTGCAAACCTTGAGATTGTTACACCATCTCTGCTGACCTTTAATCTTTACCGAGATAAAGTTGGGCCCAATAAACACCCAGTGAGCTTAACAACAACACGTCTTCAAACAAATCTGCTGCTGTAAAACGTCGCCATGTGCTCGCCATTCGCACCAGGGAAATGAAGTTCAAAGGGATCTCGACTCTTAACAGTTCGTTCCCCTGCAGCTAAACTTAAAGATCGCAGCAGCCAAACTGTAGCCTGAAACCGTGGCAGCAATTTTATGTAATGCCTCGCTTTTCCCCAGCTGGTAACCTGCAATTAAAGACGGTGATAAAACTGGCAACTGTGATGGAAATTTTAAAGATTAAATCGGTGGGTGGGCAAGAAGGGGAAAAAGGAAGTATGTTCATGTGTTTTTAGCGTTTAAAGCCGCTAAAAGCCTTCTATGACAATTTTAAAAAGTAGCATTTTATTCTTATTTTGGACCATTGTAAGTTGCTGGTTTAAAGAATTTGTAAGACATGTTTGGAGTACTGTTAAGGGTAAAAATGTAAAATAGTTTAAGTCTAATTACACAAAAAGAGCTAAGTTATCTGTTTAACAGAATATTTTATGTGTTGAGATCAAATATTCAATAGAAAATAATGAATGTGGTTGTTTTTTATTGGCATTGTGTGGCTTCTTGTACAGGTATAAAACAAAACTAAATGTGTTCCTCAAGGCTCCATTCTCGAACCTCTTCATTTCCATTTCAGTTTATAGAACATCTTGTACAATAAATGATTGTTTTTGGTCCAAAGAAGCAAAACAAGCAGTTTCATTCAACTAAACACCCAGAGAAGACAACCAGCTAACATTAATTTTTTATGGGTTTATATAAATAGAGGAGTCTTAAGCTTACTAAACTCTAATTGGAAGAATTGTTGTTTTGATTCTTCGGTGTGTGTTTTATTTTTTGACAGAACGGACATTTGAGGACCATGAGAACCTGGTGGAGCCTCTCCTTGCCTGGACAAGGGACAGTGAAAACAAAGTCCTTTTCCAGGAGAGGAAAGATAAATTTGAGGTTTTCAAAAACCCGCAGGTTGGTCCTGTCATTGCTTTAAAGAAAATACCAGATTTCAGCTCTTTGTACTTAGCATGATGTCATACAAGTCTTGGATGATTGTGCAAATCGCTCTGTGAAAAAAAAGACACTTTTCTGTGTTGAATTATGATATTTCCTTCCTCTAGGCAGGCTGACCCTTTTCTTTAATGTCGTGGCTGCAATATATCGGACGCAACAGCCAAAGAGATCTTGGCATGTTTGTTGTTATAATGGGACAATTTACAATCTCTGAGAGTTTAATGGATTCAGTCTGTTGGCAGAGACAAATAGTCCGTCTGGAACAGCGCCGAAGTACTCCATCATTCACTCCAACGAAAAAGACAGAACATCTCTGTTCATTTACATTTTTAACCTTCTGACAAGTGCGTCCAAACAGATTTTTCTTGCGGGGTTTTTCCAGCCATCGGCAGATGAACTCTAAATATTTTAGAAACAGAAAGAAGGGAAAGTGGAATGCTTTTTCTTTAATGCATGGGCTGTGTGTTTTAACAAAAATAATGGCTTAATAATGACATCACAAAGTCAAGATGTGATTTATGGAAACGTTTAGAGTCCAGGAAGTGGAGCTGTGAGCCAATTTTTATCTCTAATTTAGCATGCAAGCTTGCCAAGGTTTGTTAAACTTTCTACAGCCTACAGAAGAGTATAAGCCACAGGTCTACTGCCACATCAATAGTATATCTTCTCACTTTTAAATGTTTCATACATTTTATCATCAAATGTCCGGAATAATTTAATTTTTGAAGAAGAAAAAAGGCTTTCCCTCTTGTTAAATCATAAATTAACTAGTAAAATGTATAGTTTTTTGGTGAAATTTTAATATTTACACCAAACCTGATAATGGTTTGTCATGTAGAACCAATAAATTAAACAGAATTGGAATGAGAACATTAAAAAGGCAAACATGTCTAAAAAAATAACACCAATAAACAACCGAGAATCATTTTCCACAAATAGTCGCTAAAAAAATGACTTTTCCAGACTGTTTTTCCTGAATGATCCCATGAAACTGTGTTTTGTTTCAGGTTATCTTGGATATTTAAAGTTTCTTTGACTTTAACTGAAACATTTAAGCGCTAAAAAGGAAAAAACTGGTTTCTGGACTGCCACAGGTGACAGTATTAGCTTGAAAAAAAAAAGAGTTTAATTCTTAAATGAACTTTTGTTGTGACTTTCAGAACTTTTATCTTTGGAAAAAGGATAAAAAAACTCTCAAAGACATGAAAGACAAAGACAAAGAATTGCTGGTGCAGGTAAGTAAATAAAGGTTTCCCAGCTGTTGGGAGCTAGATGCTGTTTCGTCGTCTCAGATTACTTCATAATGTTTTCGGTTGTGCAGGAGAATTTCTGTGGGACGTCAATCATCGTGCCCGACCTGGAAGGCGTTCTGCACCTCAAAGAAGATGGAAAAAAGTCATGGAAGCAGCGACTCTTTCAGCTTCGAGCCTCAGGAATTTATTACGTTCCCAAAGGAAAAACCAAGGTAAAGCAACGAGGATGCTGAGCCATGATGGATCAGTGAAGGGTTCTGGTCACATGTTACCATATTTCAGTGGTTCTGATGTTTCTTAAAGCGATACCAACCTATTTATTACTGGTTTTACTGGCCGACCGGACATGAGGATTTAACTTCAAATATGACATTTTCTCTTGTTTCATTTATAATTTGTCAATTATAAATAGATCTAGAACTTTTTCATCAACATTAAGGAATTATTTACTTAAAACAAGCCTCTAAATCTTGCTGAAATTTTACTTTTAAATCAGTTTGTTTGATTTCAAATGTGCTAAGATATTTGCTCTAGAAGCTACTCGGTAAGATTTAGTGTTTTTGCAGTGTATGGCTGTAAAACAGAAACATCTTCTTCCAAAACTTTGTGTGGTCACACACATTCACACATAAGAATGACTCCACAGGAGGAAGATTTAACCTTTGGAACGGCCTAGTCAAAGCCCACAGTCAAAGTTGACAGAAAATCTGTGGGGTGTGGGGTGAACACCCTTGGCAGGAGGCTATTTTAGTTTTGGTTCAGTGAAGATGTTGATCTTGTTTCCAGTCGTCCCGCGATCTGATCTGCTTCGTCCAGTTCGACAACGTAAACGTTTACTACGGCAAAGACGTCAAGAACAGATACAAGGCCCCGACGGACTTCTGCTTCGTTCTAAAGGTGAGTCCATCTCTGTGGATGATAGCTGTGGCTTCTCAACAAACATGACGCTGAGATCTGGCAGCTGCTGGAGACGCTGAGATGCAATAAATACTTTAATTTGAAGAAGTGAAAGGAGACATTCTAATCCAGTGTATCTGAAAGCTGTAAAAAAGGTTAATTTTGTTGAGCACTTCCTTGTATTTTTTTTTACATTTTATTATTATAATTAATAAGCAGCTGTATGACAGTAAATATAGCAGGACTGAGAAGGAAATGCAGACAGAAACATGCTGACAGGATAAATGTGAGCCATTGGATGATTATTTTAACAGTTAAAAGGGATGTGAAACTTTTTTCTCTGATCTTGTTTGGGAACGCCCGAATCTGCTCTGAATTTCTATCAAAGTTCTCACTTTATTAAGCCAAGTTCAATGAAACGTTGTTACTCAGAAACTGCTAATGAGTAACTCAGTGAATAACAACAAAAAGCAAAAAACAGGGCGAGTTAAAAAAGAAATACTTAAGATTTTACACTTTAGGAAGAGTTAAATTTGTTTGCAAATTTATTGCAAGGCCTCAAATTAGAGGAAATATCTTCCTTTATTTTGTTTTGAAAAAGATGACATTTCTGCTGAGATGTAATAATGTTTCCAGAAAAAAAACAAAGAAATCCCCCAGTCTGAAAAGTTAAAAAAATCCTAGCAAAAAATATAACATTTTGAGATTAATCTCAAATATATTCCAAGAAGAATTTGAGAATTTCTGAGTTTTTGAATAAATGAAATTCAGAAATGTCCTAAATTTCTCACATGTATCTCAAAATTTCAGATATTTTTCTAGAAAAAATGTTTGACTTAAAAAAACGTAAAATTTCTTGTTAGATCTACTAGAAAATTTCTAGTAAAAACAAGCTCAGAAAATGTCCAAGTCATTTTTTTTTTACTTTTGAAACTTGGGAATTGCTGAGTTTTTTCTAAAAAATTTTAGAGAAAAATCTAATACTTTGAGTTTTTTGGCAGCAATTGAAATTTACACTTCCTTTTTTCATATATCTACAACGGCCCTAGTATGCAATGGGAGAAAAGTGATACTTTAAAAAAATCAAAATGACAATGAATATAACTTAAGAATTTAAACTTTAAGTAGAAACTATGAATTAATTATGTTTGTGTGGTGAAATTTCTGATGCCTAATGAATGGCAAGTAGAATTGACTAATTATTTAATGAACTTTTTAATAAGTAACAGATACATTGTCATTTTTTTCTGCAGCATCCTCAGATCCAGAAAGAGTCTCAGTACATCAAGTATCTCTGCTGTGACGACGCTTGGACCATGAACCTCTGGGTGACCGGGATTCGGATCGCTAAGGTACCAACTGATCCACGCTGTGTTTAAAAACATATTTCAATAAAACTCAAGTGTTTTATGGCAGCGATTCGTCTCTTTTCCAGTACGGAGCGTCTCTGCATGAAAACTTCAAAACGGCAGAGAGGAAGGCTGCTGTCAGCGCCGCCATGTGGACAAACCGCAGCACTCCATCCAGCTCCAGCCCTTCAACGCCGTCACCAACCATCAGAGGTACGGCGGCTCGCAGGACGCTCCTTTATTTAGCCGTGATGTCACTTCACTCTGTTGATTCATGTTTCTGTTTCCTGCAGCCAAAGCAGAAACTCAGGCCAACGGCCACGCCCCCAAATCGCAGCCTGGACCGGCGCACCAGGTAAGCAAATCACCTGAAGAAGAAACTATGACGGTTTCACAAACTCACACAGTCAGGAAGTTTTAACATCCTTCCTTCATTACTTCCTTCTTTTGTGCCCTTCATTTCTATCTTTGTGTGCTTCCTATCTTCTTATTTTTTGTGCAACATTCCTTCTATCTGCCTTTCTTCCTCCCTTCCTTCCTTCCTTCCTTCCTCCCTTCATTTCTTCCAATCTTTGTGTCCTTTCTCCTTATTTTTGTGTCCTTCCTTTGCTCATTCTGTCCTTCCTTCCTTTGTTGTTTCCTTCCTTTCTTCGTGTATTTATTCCTATCTTTGTTTCCTTCCTTTCTTCTTATTACTGTTTCTTTCCTTCCTTTCTACCTTAGTTACTTGTTTCTAAAAACAAATAGTACTGCCACTTTAAAGCTGCAGGATGTAAAAATATATATATTTTTTAAATATTTGTCAAAACTGTCACCATGTCACAACAGATTAATATGAGGCAGATAATCTGTGAAAAGATCAATCTCCTCCACTTTCTCCCTGAGCTGCTATGTCTGAAGAAATGTGCCACTCAGAGCCAGGAGGAGGGTTTTAGTGCTGCCAATCATTCTCATGCCATCGCTGCTGAATGTGCTGATGACGGAGAAACAAATCAACGTTATAGGAAACTGGTGGCTATGCTGACCAGCCTGCAGATTCACAACATTTACTAGAGAGAGTGATTGTCAACGCTAAGTCCCGCCTCTTGGCTCTGATTGGTTGTTTCTGGCCTGGGAGAAGGTGGAGCGGCTTGCTTTTTTCCCTCACACCAAACAACAAGGTGACAATGTTAATAAATATGTAAATGAATATATTTATTAAAGTTTCATGCTACAGATTTAGATATGTCTCCCTGTTGAAAATCTTCCATTAATTCATTCTGTTTTTTTCAGGGCATCGGTAATCTCCCTGCTCCTCCCCCTCTGAACGAGATTCTCCCTCCTCCTCCTCCCGACCCCGTCCTTCCTCCTCCACCGCCGTTACTGTCCTCCAAGCCTCCACCCAGCAACTTGCCCCCACCTCCACTTTCCATGGACGGCCTCCCTCCTCCGCCGCCGCCTCCACCCATGGACAACTCATCAGAAGATCCTCCAGACTTCCTTCCTCCTCCTCCTCCTCCTACTGGCTACAGCTCTCTTCCTCCTCCTCCGGCTCCCGCGGGTAATTTTGGTAGAAACATCAACAAATCTCTTCCTCCACCGCCTCCAGATCCAGAGTTTCTACCTCCACCTCCACCTGATCCAGTATTCGTATCATCAGGTGCACCTCCCCCTCCTCCTCCGCCTCCACCTCCTCCTGCTCCTGTTTCCGCTCCGCGACCTGCAGGACAGTCGAGGAAGTTGCCTCCAGCTCCTCCGAAGAGGACAACACCGACGCTGCAAGGCGGTGGTGGAGGTGGTGGAGGTGGTGGTGGAGACTTCATGTCAGAACTGATGTCAGCCATGAGGAAGCGTACTGATCAGTAGCTCCAGAGGACAAAAATACAAAATAAATAATTTTACTCCAGATGATTAATACTAAGGATACAAACAATTCATTAATTGTCAATTAGATTAAAACTAGGTCTAACAGATTCACTAATAATGTCTTGTTCAGTTAGTGTTGCAGTTTGGCCGCCATCCAGCAGGGGCGCCATTGGTAAGGAGAGCCATTGATACAGAATTAAACATGGCGGCCATCAGGGAAGAGAAACGGTCCAAACAGAGTCCTTTGTGGAATCTTAAAGCAGGTTTTATGATTAAATGCACTTTATGCAGTTCTGTTTTGAAATACATGCCGATTATAACAAATATAACAAAACAGGAACTTAAAAAGTTCCTGTTTTGTTATATTTCATAAATAAGTTCAATAATGTGAGAAACCTGCAATTTATGCTTATTCAGTCAGTATTTAAGACAGCTGACACAAAATGTTCAAATTAATTTAGATAAGTTGGTCTATCATGAAAAATGTTGCCCTTTATAGTTTGGAAAGATGCTCATCCCTTTTTATTCAAGAGAAAACTTGTCAATTAATCAGTTGATGAGATCAATACGGTTTCATTTCTGTATCCGGTGACTTTACCTTTCCTGAACCTTATTTTTAAAATAATCATTTGAAATGAATCCATAAAGGTTGAAAGTTTGTGTTAACAGAGGATAATGTAATAATAAAGCTTTACAGATACTTGTATGTAAAGAAATGTGTATATATCTGCATTGACTGTAAATACTGCAGAAAGATGTTCCTTCGGTCAGAGGTTCAGAGGTTTTATTGTTACAGAGTTTTGGCCCAAGTGTGTTTTTGTGTGTTGACATTTCACTGCATGTAATCGATCACTGTTAAAAGCTTTATTAAATTAAAATTTGATAACAAAGAAGCATTTTCCACTGTGTTTTTACATAAAATGCAGAGAGAAAATGTGTGGAAAAAAGTGTGTTTTTTCGGTTCTTAGTAACTCTAAAACATAAAATACAATTTTAAATGTGCAAAATTAAAGCCAAAATGTGTTTTCACAAGATAAATATGGAATAAAGCAGCATAAAAATGGGGGCACTGACTTAATATATTTCTGTCTTGCTTTTAATAATGTTGGTAATTTTGGTTTTCACAGCTGATTAAAAACATCAGATTTATGTTTTTTTTATTAATTGTAAGCCTCAACCATCAAATTAATTAAAATAAATGTCACACAGCGTAATTAATTAACACAAGTTTCACATTTTGTGAACCGAATTGCTAAAATACATTATTTTTTCAGTGCTATTCTAATTTATTCATCATGAGAAACGGCTGACCCTTAACCTTTCAGCCCACAGAGAAAGTCTTGCTGCTTGGTCCGCCTCTTCTACAGTCTTGTGTAACAAATGGAGATGAGGGGACGCAGTGCAGCAGCACCACCTGGTGGTAGCCAGAGGTAAAGACGATGAAGGCGCTGCAGCGTGGCTGATTTTGGAGAACAGGTTCATCTTCCTGAAAAATCATTCTCTCACACAAAGTGTGATGAAATATGATTATTAAAAAAATAAGAAATAAAAAATGGCGTCAGGTGATCTAATGTTTAAGAAGCTTATTTTAGCAGTTTTGGGCTGTAAACAGCCATAAAAATTAATTGAGAATCTTTAGTCTGACTGAATGTGAGCTGTTTTGCAAAAACAGAACTGCCAAATAATATTTCAGTTTTTTAGATGGGTGGAGGCAGTGACAAGTCAACTAACAAGAGAAAAAAGAACATCTTACTCTTTTATTATCCAAAAACTGTTTGTGGAAGTCGCCACAATAAAAAACTGAATCACAGCTGCACACAAAAAGTCAAAAAAACTGAAAAACTCATATTATGACTTGAAAATGCCACAAATCCTCCAAAAGTATCAGAAATTAAATCTCAAAAAGTTTAATTTTGTCCAGCACACACAGTGAGGCCTAAATTCAACTTTATTCACATTTCATACCCACATTTTATATGTGATCATAAATGATCAAATAAACGTAGGGGGGCCAAAGTATGGACGGACGGCCATTTCAGGTTCTCTAAAGGATTTTTGCCAGATACGTTTTAGATAAATAATGTCTTCTTAAAAAATATTAGACACAAAAAATAGATTCCCATTTATTGTCAATGCTTTTTGCATTCATCTTAATTTTAACTGCAATTAACATTGGCCTGCTTCTTCTGAGAAGCAAATTTTACTTCTCAAATAAGATGATCATTTATAGATTTGTTTTCTACAAATATCCAACGATTTTGTTAGGTTTGAAATTTAAATTTTCTAATTTTTTATTGAACAAACCATATAGAAAAAGACACCAAAATGTTATTGAAAGTGTTGATACAAGGCATATGCCATACTTTTCAGATTTGTGGCTTACAGATATAGAAAATCCTGTACCATCCAACATTTTTCTTCCACTTTACAATAATACACTGAGGTTAATTACATATAAATCCAATAAAAGCCAACTGAAGATAAAGAATGTGAACAGAGAAAAGTATAACATTTTTGTATTTTTATTTTCTGTTATTCATTGGTTTATTTGACTCTAATTTCTAGGAGGATGGAAGGCGGAGGGGGTAATTTACTATTGTAATATTTGCATTTTCATCCCAAAAGGAAATTAAATATTGCAATAATTTATATTATTCAAGTATCTTCAAAGCATGCAATTATTCAATTAAAACTATTGAAATCTGCATTTGTTATTGTATCCAAGTTTGTGAAAAAACTTAATTAAAAATAATTGTTTCTAAACGTTATTGAGAAACAATGCTTGGAAGAGCCAAAGGATGAATGAACACTGATGCTAACTTTAGCGGCTAGCCGCACAGCAACTAGTTGGATCCCAAACACTGGTATATTTCCTGGAAGTACTGCCGTAAAAACACGTTTTACTGCGTTCATTTATTTACCTAAAATAGTCATCATACTTAAGTTTTTCTGAGAACAACTAATATTTTATAGATACTACTTTATCTTTAGTACGATAACTCACTATATCCCCACTCTTATTTTGAAAGGGAGCGCTACCGACGCCCCGCTCGCTGTGTTCCGTTTCCGCCGTATCTTATAACCGGTTCCCCCCTCCTACACACGCTGGGAAAGCAACATGGCGGGGTCCTGGTGGATGTGCTGCCGGAGGTTGAATGGGGGCTGTACGATCTCCGGTTTAACCGAAACGCTACGGTGTTTTAGCGGGCAGTCCGCGTACTCCTCAGCATCCCCTCCGGCTAGGTCGTCCTGGAGCTCCACACCGAGGACGGAGGTGAGTTTGAACCTGACAGGAAGTGCTATGGAACCCGGGAAGGTCATTGAGGCAGCCCGGACCTCCTTCAGCGGTGGTTCCGATCCTCAAGTTACCGCTGTTTCCTTAAGGATTTTATCACATTTTGTTTGCTAAAATAATCTGTTTAATTTCTGATTCATTCAAGAAGTGAATCTGTGTTTTATTTATACTCATTACACATCCAGAGTTATATATTCCAAGTGTTAATTTGCATTGTTGTGACTCATGTTTAATAAAATCCCAGGAAATGTCGTTATGATAATTTAAATACAAAAATAAAAAATTCTACCACATTTTCTTTCTTCACGTAACTTTCAAACATCTACTGTTTAATTTTTTATAATATAAACCCCAACAAATTAGAATAAAACCTTAAATTTTATTTCAGTAATTTAGTTTAAAAAATATTTAGATCTTATAGAGCCGTTACACAGTTATATTTTAAGAAGATCTTTTCTGTCAGTATTTACCAAAATTTTAATTAAGATTTCTCATAAGATTAGATTACCAGGCACCAATTTAAAAAAAATTTAATCGAGTTATCCTTCCACTAAACTTTCCATTAATATTCTGAGATTCAACAGACATCACAGAGTTTAAGATGCAACTGTTATTTATAATTGCCATATAAATCATGTTTCTACTATGTTTGTTGTCTTTCAGATGAGGCCACTGTTTCCTGCACAAATCCACTCCAAAGCTCTTAACCTGAATCCCTCTTTACTCAGGTGAGTTGTGCCGCTGAAAGCATCGCTTCTTCTTCTTCTTTGTTTTGTTTACGTTTGTGAAGTAGGTGCGTTTTTCTCTTCACAGACGCCGCTCTAGTTCGCTGTATCGAACATTACAGTCTTGCGGCTGCAGGACGTCGCACAGCGACGCAAAACTGAGGGACCCTTTTACTTTAGCGCAGAAAGACTTGACGAGTTTATATGACGACATTAAAAAGGTGAGCAGATGAGTGTAGCATCTACTTTAGAGAAAATAATGGAATAATAAATAGTGATGAGATACTTCCTATTCTTTCTGTCCATGATGAGTTTTTGAAGATACTTGAATGATTTATGACATTTAGTTTGTTTTGGGGACAAATAAAGTATTTTGTGTTTATTTTTCAGAGTCTTATTGTATCTAATGGAACCGTAACGTTTCTTGTTGTGTCTCACAGGAACTGTTCATGGCTAAAACGGAGCTAAAGTCCCTCTGCAATTACTATTTTGACTGTCGGGGCAAAGCGATCCGACCGATCATCGTCATCCTGATGGCGCGGGCCATGAACATCCACAGCAACAGAGCCGGGTAACGATACACAGACACGCAATCCTGCATTAAAAGCATTTTTTAAATCTCGATGTCTTTAAATATTATTTCCTGAGCTTTGTTTTGCTGTGCAGCTTAAAAACGTCCATTGAAGCTTAGTGGGAAGTCTCGGGTTGTACTTTACCTTGTAATAAATCAATTTATGAAGCATAAAAGTGTGATTTTATTTTATTTTCTCTCCTCTGCTTCCTGCAGGGATCTGCTCCCGGGTCAAAGGACGATAGCGATGATTTCTGAAATGATTCACACCGCCAGCCTGGTCCACGACGACGTGATTGACGGATCCGACGAGCGAAGAGGGAAGAAGTCGATCAACGACGTGTGGGGGGAAAGAAAGGTTTGATTTCCTGCAAAATCAGGAAACTTGACTTTTATTTCTTGCTCCCTTTCCTCCTTTACTCCCTCACTTGTTTCCTTTCTTCTTTCTTGTTGCCTTCCTTTTATTACTTTCTCCCTTTCTTCCTTTATCTCCTTTCATTCCTTGTTTACATCCTCTAATTTTTTTATTCTTCCTCTCTTTTCTTTCCTATCTCCCTTTATTTGCTTCCATCCTTCAGTCCCTTCATTTTTTCCTTTTTTGTTCACTTCTGTCCTTTCCTGGCTTGTTTCTTTATTTTCTCCCTTCTTCTTACCTTCCTTCCATTAAATGGTCCTGTTCTTTCTTTACTTCTTTCTTCTGTTTCCTTCCTCCATTTATTCTTTTCTTTCTCCCATCATTTTCTTCTTCCTTCCTCGTTTGTTTCTTTCTTTTCTCCTTTTCTTTGCATCCTTACTTGCTTTCAGGAATGAAGACCTGAACTCAGCTTTTTGTCCCTTCCAGGCCATCTTAGCCGGAGATTTCATCCTCTCGGCGGCCACCATGGCGCTGGCTCGCATCGGGAACAGCGCCGTGGTGAAGGTCGTCTCCCAGGTCATCGAGGATCTGGTGCGAGGTACGTCCAAAATGCTCCACATCTTCGTCGTTTTGATGGTTTCGGCTCACTTCCTGTTTTGTTTGTTTGCTTGTTTTCCTTCCAGGCGAGTTTATGCAGCTCGGCTCCAAGGAGAATGAGGACGAGCGATTCAAACACTACCTGGAGAAAACCTACAAGAAGACGGCGAGTCTGATGGCACACAGCTGTAAAGCAGTATGTACGTTCAATAAATCAATCGATGAATCAAGTTTATTTGTACAGCACGTTGCAGCAACAAGACAGTTCAAAGAGCATGAAAACTAGTAGCCAATATTATGTATCATCATCAATTCACATCAAAAATGTTGGTCAGTATTCCAGTCATTAAGAATCAGCAGGAACTTTACACAGGTGGGTTTGATTTGTCCAGACTTTAGAGGTCTGGAAGGTTGATACAACAACAGCAGATCTTCAGTATATTGTGATGCTAAACCGTTCAGTGAGTTATAAATGAACAGCATTTTAAAGTCTAAAAACAGAAACAAACCATCATTCTCCTACCACTTCCTGTTGTTATATTCTGCGTTTCCACAAGTACTAACATCCGGATGTGGATCTCGCAACTCATGTGATGCGAAAAAAGTGCTGAAACCTTTTATTGAAATTGGTGTGTTTCTATAGAGTTGATTTAATTTCGCAATTCCAATTTGTGCGACTTTATGGTTTAAAGAAACACAGTGATCAATGCGACTGAAGATAAACACATGGATGAGTTTCTGCTATGTTAATTTTTTAGCGATAGAAATGTTCTTCAGGCGATAGAAGGCCAACTTTTTAGCCATCTTTATGTGGCTCTGAAGGTTCAGACTCAGATTTCGGACCGGATTGATTGCACTCTGCACTCATTCTAGAAATTTCCTCTTCAGGTCCAAAGAAAATAACTTCAGTTTTGTTTCTGTTCACCACTGATTTGTTCAGAGTGACATCTTAATGTAGATCTGAGCATCATCTGCGTAGCTATGACATCTAATCTCGTTTCCTGTTGTAACCTGATCATATTGATTCAGAGTCTGAGGGAAATCTGTTTTTCTGTTCATCTCAAGGTTTCCATTCTGGTGAACTCTGACCCGGAAGCTCATGAAATAGCGTACCAGTACGGGAAGAATGTCGGCATCGCCTTTCAGGTAATCGACAGTCCATGTTTTAAGGGTTAAACTTGAAAAAGTCGGGTTCTGATGTGTGGTTTTCGCAGCTGGTGGACGATGTGTTGGACTTCACGTCGGGCGCCGAGCAGCTGGGGAAACCAGCAGCCGCCGACCTGAAACTGGGTCTGGCAACCGGGCCGGTTCTGTTCGCATGTCAGCAGGTGAGGTAGCAGAAAGCAGTTTCCATTTAAAGAGCAGCCAGCGAATCAGAATGGACATTCTTTAATTAAAAAAAAACAAAATTGTTTCTAGTTTCCAGAGCTTCACGCCATGATCATGCGACGCTTCAGCTCCAAAGGAGACGTAGATCAGGCCTGGCAGTTCGTCCTCCAGGTAGGACGGCGAAAAGTTTGGAAAGTATTTAAAGAAATCACTGAAGTTCACCTTAAAGAAATAAACTTCCTTTACTAAGCCCTTCATTAAAAGTAGTTTTCCAACCAATTCCACCCTGATTTTTGGTGATTTACAGCTGATTTAATACAGATCGTTTTATTTTTTTACAATTTTGATTGTTTCATATGTTGATACTTTGATGACTCATCACAAGATAAATGGATAGATTAATTTTTTACTGCTATATTTTCACTTAATTCCCACCACAAATGACCTTAAAAGTATCATTTGCATTTTAGTTCTGTTTTTCTTAAGTTGGACTCTGTACTTTCACAAAAATATATATTTTACATCAATTTACATCCCACAAAATGAAAAACCTATGCATCTTCTTTTTACAAAATCATCTTAATATTTTAATCCTAAAAAAAATTTCAAAAAGTTTTTTTTTTTAATTACAACACATTTTCTGAAGTAAATATTTGCACTTTTCTGACCTGTAGAAGAAAAACAAAAGTAAAAGTTTTAGGCTGAATAAGGATGCAAATAAATTAGTTATAATTAATTAGATTAAAATAAATTCCAATCAATCAACTAAAGTCCGCTTCGTCTTTTTGTGTTGTAATTTGACTGCCACCCAGCAGGGGGCACTGGTAATCCTCAAACAGAGCCGTTAATTCGAAAACAAAGATGGCTGCTGGGCATATTGGAACGAAATGGTCCAGTCTGGTGGGGGATGGAAAACGCACTTTATGCGGGTCTGGTTTAAATTTTAACAACAAGGTCCTTTAGTTTCACCTTAAAGCAACATCAACTTCTCGTTCAGAAATTGCTGCAATCAATTAAACGTCAATAATGATGAATAAACGTCATTTATCGTTAACTTACAGCAATTATGAGGTTTCTTTCCTGTTCCAGAGTGACGGCGTGCAGCAGACTACTTACTTGGCGCAGCGATACTGCGAGGAAGCCATCCGACACATCAGCCGGCTTCGGCCGTCTCCGGAGAGGGACGCCCTGATCCGGCTCACGGAGATCGTCCTCAGCCGGGAAAAGTGACGCTGCCGCGGGGCGTCCATCTCTCTTTTCAGGCAGCTAAATGCAGAACAAACTTGCCCTGCTGCCATGTGGGACAGAAACATTGAGGAAGGTTGGATTGGAGCGATTTGTTGTAAAAAAATATATATATATTAAATTAAAAGTCGCTTTATCTGTGGTGGAGAGGGCAAGTTACGATTTATGGAGGTGATTTCAGAGGAAAACTGCACCTCAGACTTAAACCTTCGTCTTGTACTGTAACCAACAGCCTCAAAACGGGGAAGCGGGCCGTTTGAGCCGCGGAGGATGTTGGGGGGAAAAAGTCTGTAATTCCAAAACGTGATGAAATCGCCGTCATTGTCTGTCTGGATGTGACGTCTTCGGATCCGTCCAAACCTCAAAGGCCAAACTGTGTGTGCGTTTTACACTGAACTTTTCTTAAGTGTCCTGTAACAACAAAAGGCCTTACCACAACGACAGTGTCTCAATAAACCAACTGCTTACGTTTCGGGTTCGTTTTTTATTTCGTCTGATTGAAAAAAAAAAAAACTCCCTCTTAATGCTGAAGTTCTAACGTTTATATTTACAGCTTCTGCTTTCTCCTCCCACCCCCAAATAATCACACAGAAACAAACTTGTATGTAATAATCGTTTATTATAAAAGACTGTACATTAATTTCTCAATCAACATATATCTACAAATGAGCAGATTCAGTACTTGGACTCATAAATTTGGAAAATAAAAAGAAGGCTGCGACAATCCGAAAGCCGACAAGATGATTCCTGAGTGACGCCTGATGGGTTTTATTGAGCGGAGACCTGCGGTCGTTGCTGGAGCTATTAGTAGTTCGGCCTGGATTATTGAGTCTGAATTGTCTCACTGCAGTGTCGGATGGGGCCGCCGCTGATCAGCCTGAATCCAGCTGCAACGGGAGGCTGATTCGAGATGGAGGACAGTTTGACTGCTACATTTTATTCCAAAACGGGAAAGAAGCCGGTATCCTGTGAGAAAATATGCAGCTTTGAAGCAAATGCAGAAAGAAACATAAGAAGCATTTTATCTCCACTCGGATCTTATTTAAGAAGAATTAGGGCTTCAACTAACAATCGTTTTAGTACTTGAATATTCTGACAATTAATCGGGATAAAATAATTAGCACATTCTGCAGGCTTTTCATTTAGCCACTTAATCCTTTTTAAAAATATATAAACTAAGAAATTCATTGAGATGCCAGTGAATAACTTAATATTGCCAAAATATTAGCATTCCTTTAATGAATGCTTGATCAGTTGTAGCACATTTTTCATCTACAATTTAAAATATACTTTTATTAACTCAGCCCTTTCTGCTTTGACTCATTAATAATATGTTGGCTAATCTGTTTACAAATATTTTGATTAACCAATTAACTGGATTTTTGCCATAATTTGAACCCAGCGAAGCTAAAATGATGCCATGTGAGTTCTGGAGAATAGATTTTATTCCTAAATGCAAAATGCTTTTATTTTTATAGTTTTGGCTCTCAGCAAATGATCTTGAATTATGTATTCCAGTTCACAATTAATCAATTACTAAATTAATTGATTTAAATTAAGTCATGATTAATCATTTCTATTGCAAAAAACTAATTTCACAAAATCTTAATGAAAAATATTAGGAGTTGCATTTTTTATTTGGCATAATTATACTTTGAAGTGTTTGTGCTGTTAAATTAAAATGAAAGCAAAAAAGGTCATTAAAAGATGAATAGTTCCATAAGTTTTTAATTTTAAGATTCATTTGCAGAATTTATTTTTGATTTCACTTTGATTTAAGTGCATCACCATCAATAGTTTGTACGGTTCTTGTCTTCTTTAATAGTGGACAAGGGCCACACAGAATAATTCAAAGGGCTGCAAACGGCCCCCCGGCCACACTTTGGACACCCCAAATCAAAAGTAGGTGTAAAAAAAGCTAAATTAGTTTGCTGTTTTTGTCCTAAAGTTTCCAGCAAATACCATAAAGCAGAGATACTTTAATACTTTTAAAAGACGACAAATCTCTGGCTCACAGTGTTGCACATGATCTAAAAAGTATATGTAAAATAAACTGCTTGGGTTTGAATTTTCAATTGTTAAATGACGAATAGTGAGGTTTTTGCTACTGAAATGACAATAATTACACATAAAAATGGACTTTAGCCCAATCAGCTACTAGTTTGAGTGAAAACTTGATGCTTCAGTCTCATATCGAATGAGCTTAACGTCTTCATAAAAAGATTCAAATTCATAAAAACAAAAACTCAATTTCTTTATTTTAAGATTAAGTACAAAAAAAAGGAAAAATCCCATGGAAAAGTTTGTAAATTGGCTTCAGAGTAAAAACTTCAGTGATTTCGACAATCAAATTAAAAAAAGAAACATTTACAACATAATTGAAGCGAAGTGGCAAAAAACTTAAAAGATTACATCAGATTTTCATGCTTTGATTCTTTAAAATATCATTTACAGTGTTTTGAAATCAAGCCGTCTTGTTTGTTTTCCTGTCTGGGCTCAAAGGAACAGCAACCAACTCTGACGTTTTCACAGATTTCTGTGAAAAAACAAGCCCATGTTCTGAACCGAAACTTTGCCTGAAGGTGCTTTCCTTTCCTTTGCTCATCTTAAAAGTCTTTAATTAGATCATCTTTGTTCAGGAGAAATGTAGAAATGCCACCCACCAATCCCCATCACACCATCTAAATAGATATCACTTATATTATTTGCATTCAGTAAGAGAGAAAACATTCTGTCATTCTTTTAAAAAAAAATAATAAAATCAGGATCATATGGTTATTTCTATGCATCTGCTGCTGCAGCTATCAGTCTGTCACCGGGTTAGGATATGACTGAATAAATAGGACTCGTTACTGCCAGGTGGCTTCACTCGGCGTAGTGCATGATGCTTTCCACGTAATTGCCAGGGAACAGGCCGGTGACGCCGTTGCAGACGCCCTCGAACCAGCCGTCGTCGTTCTTCTTCACCACGTAGATGATGGCGCCCTCCATGAACGTCAGCTCGTCCTCTTTGTCCTGGGTGTAGTCGTAGATGGCCACCACTGCAGGTTAATTAAAAAATAAAAATAAAAATAAAACAGAGGGAAGTCGGTCAGTTATGCTAGCTTGACTATGACAACCTCCACATGTAGATGTGCTGCAGAATTCAGTGTTTCAGTTCGATTGAAAATAATAAATTAAAAAAAGTCACAACAAACCGACTCAAACAGATCATCAGTAGAGCAAATGTTTAAACTAGCTAATCAACCACCAGAGTGTAGCTTAGCTAATAGCAGCAGTAGCTAACATGCTACATCAATCACTTAGTAATTGTTGCAAAATGACAAAACTGCACAGGACTGAATTCTGTTCTTTGTGTGGGAAATGTTTGCGTGTTTTTTGAATCCCGTTACATTAGTGGTGGTATCAGTTGCTAGAAAAAGCAGAGAGCGAGAAAAAAAGGCTAATATTTATGTAGCTGTCAGGGGTTAAATATGCTCTCTATGAAAATGACATAACCTGATACATGGAGTAACAGAGAGATGAATGAATGAATGAATGGAAGCTGGACTGATGGACTTTCATTTAATGAAAGAATTAAAAGAAGAATGAATGGCTGCAAGGACAAAATGGTAGGATGACTGGATGAACGAATGCTTGGATGGACAAGCATGAATGATGCATGAATGGATGAAACTCGTCCATTTCTAGACCTAGAAAACCTTTAAATGAAATTACAAACTCAAATCCCAATCATACAAATCTCTGACGCTAAGCTGCAGATCAGATGTCAACAGAGGAATCCTGAAGCCAACCTTTCTCTATGTAGTTCTTGGGGGCCCACTGCGGGTCTCCGTCGGCGTACGGGTCGTCAAACTTCAGGACGGTGGCTTCTTCGTCCTCGTAATCCACTGGAGGAGGCGGTGGCGGCGGGGAGTCGTCAAACATGGGGAGGTCATCCGGCGGCGGGGGCGGTGGTGGAGTTGGGGTGTCTGCTACTGTTGGACAGTCAGAAGTTAGCAATGAAAACCTGATTTATAGTCATAAAACAGGATGAGGAGGGCAGCAGAGGAGGGCAGCAGAGGGATCATGCAGAATCATTCAGGAATGCACCAACATGCAGAGGGAGAGGTGTTCATATCCGGTGAGCAGGCTCCAAGACATTAATACAAGCCACTTAATATTCTGAGAACATTTCTCCTGGAAATGTTCTCAGACATGCACATATGTTGTTTTATTTACTTCTGAAACATTCCAAAGAATCCAGGCTATGCTTCAACTAAATTGTGTTTACCATTTTCTTTTAATCGACTTAAGATTAATGTTTTACTAAATTAAAATGACTTCCAATATTTTAGACCTTTTAGTGAAGTTTTAGCCGTTGGTGTAGAATCAAAGATGGTGGCGGCGACCATCAGAACGGTTACAGAGAAACAGTCTAAAAAGTGCATTTGGTTCCATTTTAAAATACAAACACTCGAGCTCATTAACTTCCACATTAATGGCTCTTCTGAACCAAAAATTACTACAAAGTTGAGGATGGGAAATTTCAAACATGATGGCTGATTTTTAAAGCTGTCGTGAGTTTGAACAAACAAAATTTTAACATTCATTTAAGAGAAAAAATAAATCTACGTTTTAAACTTGTAGAGGGTGACAGGTCATCCTTAGCTGCCATACATCTTTATTATTCAAAACTACAGAAACGCTAGAAAAGCGATGCATGCATCTAACAACTGTGTTTTTAAAAAGAGGACAGAACTTTCCAAGTCTGCTGCAAAGACACAATGATGATGAGGCATCAGAGTCATATAAAATGCACTTTGCATGCGGAAAAAAGCTGAAATAAGTAGGAAGTAACCGAGAGTAGCCTCTTCACTTACTGCTCTCCTGCATCCTGGCCACAAAGCCAGTGAGAGGTATCTGTGGAGTCAGCTGGGGCATGGGGGGAGGAGGAGGAGCGACAGACACTGAAAGCCAGCAGAGAGAGGACAGGAAGGTGAAGAGAGGCGAAAAACAGAGACAGGAGCCCGTCAGTCATCGAGTTCAACACGCTACTCAGAAAACACACCAGAAAAGCGGCGCTAAAAGAGTTCACATTTTCTCTTCTGATTTATTTATTTGTTTTGTTTTAATCTCTGGATCACATTCAGCAACAGTTGAAAAGTTCAGACTGTGATGAGATTTCAGGGATCACTGGGGTCGGTGGATAAACTGCGGATTATGTTAGAATTTGGTCAGATTGTTTAAAAACAAAAGGTGACTGTTACTATTCACCACAAGGGAGCGCCGTTTCTCCACATTTACCCTAAAGCAAAAGTCTGGCTGGACAATATATGTTGACATAAAGGGCGACAGCAAGAAAACACATTTAAATACCGGAGGAAAAAAATCGGGAGATCAGTGTTAGGTTTAATAATTCAGTAAAAACTAAATGCAAACTATAATTTTAATTCTGTTTCACTTCATATTAATGACTAGAATCCATGATCCCAAAAGTGAATCTATCATTTATACCATATCTGATATTACATTATAAGTGACTTTACACTATGCAAATAAACAAATAATTCCTTTTGTAGATAACATTTTCCCCAAAATAGCTTTGTTTAAAGTACTTATATCAACTCAGTCCAGGCCTTTCGGTTAAACCTAATGTCAACATAGTGTAGGGCTGATCTGTTTATGTTTTTATTAATAATTATGGAGCAAAAGGTGCTTTATAGATTTGAAATACAGAATTTGAACCAAGTGAAGCTATAATAGTTATTTTCCCATCTTAAATGCAAAATGTATATATTTTTGTAAAGTTGTAGCTTAATTACTGTTCTGATTTGCCTTTTAAATCAACATATTTCAGTTAATGATAATTAAATTAGTTGATTTAATTAATCAATTAATCATGATTAATCACAATTAATCATTTCAGCCCCATTTATTATGAAAAATACTGATTGGAGGTAAAGTTGAAAGGATTTCCAATATGTTTAAATGAAAACCAAGCAAGAAAATATGAGAAGAGTAGTGCTCTTTCTTTAAATTTGTGGATATTAGAGGTTACTTTTCTTTAGTAGGTGACTGTGTGTTTCGAAAGATCGTGACCTCTCATGCTTCTGTGTCAGCTCAGGGTTTAGGGTTAAAGATGGAGACAGAAGGGCCTTACTTGAGTTTTGACCGTAGCCAGGAGTGCCTCCGTTAATATGAGGCTGCTGCTGCAGTTGCTGCTGCTGTAGCTGAAGCTGCTGCTGCTGCAGGGAGAACTGCGACGTGACCGAAGGTGCCCGGCGGTAGGTGCCCGTGGCCGAAACCATAGAGACAGAGGAGTTGGAGGGGTTGTGCCGCGAAATCTGCCGCGAGATGGTTCCAAACTGGGACACTGGAGCGGGGCCCAGTCCGGGCCCGGAGGCCACCACTAGACACACCCAGAAAATGGGAGAAAGGACAGGAAGGAACCAAGGAGGAGGAAGAGGAAATTAGGAAGAGGAAGGAAAAAAAACAGAGAAAAATAATCAACACCCAAAGGTTATGGAGAGCTTTTAATAACCGATTAGAGCCCCGCGTTTGATTAAAACACCCAGACAGAACAGGAAGATGAGGGGAGCAATTAGGGCTGGACAATATGGCTGAAGTATCACAATATAAGCATTTCATATCAGTCAATAATTATTGATTAGGTTCTTGTTATAAATATCTGAAATGCAGTCAAATTCGTGACTCCATTTCCTGTTTTATCCAGTTTTCACTCCGCACCATTCGTTTAATGCTGAGCAGTTATGAGGCCGGAACCTTGAACTGCTGCTGCGCAACAAGTTACCTAGCAACAAGTTACCTAGCAACAAGCGGTTGCTAGGTAACCAAAGAACAAGTGAGTTGCTTGGTAACCAAAGAGTGAGAGAGCTACTGTTCTGTTTGCTCATCTGTGCTGAAGAAATACTTCCGGATTATTCTTAGAATGCTGTGTTGGAAGAAATTGTGTAGCTAGCGTCAATGTGCCCTCTGGTGGACTCACGGAAAAATAAAACTTTATTTTTATAATCTTTTATGAAATTATCGGAGTGTTCAAGACTATGTACCAAACACTAATTTAATGCTCTGGACTGCAGTACAGGGGCACATACTTTTACTTTTTATTTCTTGTGAATCTCTTTACATCTTATATTATTCTTACAATTAAAATGACATACAAAAAGAAAAAAAGAAATAAAAAATACCCTCTTTGAAAGCACTTATTAGCATATGGGTAAATTAGCATATTGTGCAGGGAGAGGTTGAGAAGCTGTAGCATTCCCTCTGCCTACATCTCCCAGAATGCTGTGCGGTTCTAGTTTCGAGTTTAGTGAATATTCTACATATTGAATACTATATCAAATGCATCATCTGTTTATACTGATCGTGTGTTTATTGTCCAGCCTTATGAACAATATAAATAAACAATATTACATATGCAAAAGTAAAGAAACTGATCATTAAATGGGTCTTGGAAGCAGAGATGAAGTGAGAAATAAGCAGAGGAGCAGCACAAAAGATCGAACCAGTCATAAAAATAACTTTGCATTCCAGTCTGGGTGTGTTTGGTAGAGCAAAAAGCATCTCAAACATTTCCTGTTTCATACTTCTACACAATATTCCATCTCTCAGGAGAACAAACTCTCAAACTGGAAATGGGCGGGACCAGAGGAAGTTAATCTTCGGAGGAACACAAACAAACGTCTCCGCGCTGTCAGCAGCGGAGGTAATTACAGCTGGAAGAGAGCGACGATATTCAGAAGAGAAAACCTGCAAGTGATCATCTCGCCGCAGAATTCAGATTTTGTTTGGTTTATGTATCAGACAAAGAGCTGCAACAAAATCCCACATTCAAACCCAACCGCACTCAGATCTGGAGTCAATATTCCTGTGACATCACTGTGAGCTAGTTAGCTCCAGTTAGGGTTAAGAGGTCTACTGGTTCCCTTCATGCTGGCATGACGCTGCCACCACCGTGCCTCGCTGTGGAGATGTTTGCTGAACTTTATTTTCACACCACATTGCTTTGATTTGTGACATAAAACCCCAACATTGAACCCCGTTGAATTTATGTTTTGCAAAGCACTGTGAATTTAAAATCACCGTCACCACAGGAGAGACGCTTCATGTGAAAAGTGAATGCGATTCTTAAAGGAGGCAAGAATGAATGGTTAGTTAAAATCACAATACTTCCAGTTCCAAACTAAACTCAACCTTTTGTTGTTTAGTCAGCGATTCCTTTTAAAAGAAACTGAATTTATTCTCACATCAGTGCGACTATTTTCGTGAGACTATTCTCGTATAAGTATGACTATTAATATTAGTAGCAGTTCTCATATCATTGCAGTTTTATTCTTGTAATATTTCGACTTTATTTTTGCATTAGTTGATTCTCGTAATTCTTTTTTATTTATGCCATGTGGGATGTTTGCTGCACTTTACCTTCTTCCTTGAACTTCACCATTAAACGTCACCACATTGCATTGTTACATGCATTTGTCTATTTGACCTATAAAATATATTCATTTGTCACTCCTTTATTTGTCAAATAAAATTAAATTTTTGCAACTTTTGGAAAGCATGACAGAAACCATAAAGGGATGAAAATCCCCGTCACCACAGGAGAGATGCTTCATATGAAAAGTGAATGTGATTCTTAAAGGAGACAAGTATGAATATGATTGGCTGATATCACCAACCTTCCCTGCACCAAATTAAAGTTTTTATTTAATTACAGACGATTTGCTTTGCTTGCAGGAAAAACAGCCAGAAGACAGGCGCAGCCTTGATCCACCACCAACGACGGAGGAAGTTCTGGAGCCGATTTAGTCTCACCTATGGCTCCATAAGGAGGAGGAGGAGGTGAAGGAGGAGGCGGGGCCATCCCACCCATGGGAGGAGGAGGTGGAGGAACGCCAGGGGGAGGAGGAGGAGGAGGAGGAGGCGGCGGGGCTCCCGGAGGAGCCGGCACGAACGGGACTGAAAGAGGGATTAGCGTTACTGGAAGTGGGAACGGAGAGAGAGAGAGAGGAACCTCTGCACCTCCCGTTACGTAACATCAGATCCGCTGGGAAGCCTTCAGAGGCTGACGGATCGTTTCCACGGCAACCGGCTCGCGGTGTAGAGCGCGGCGTGAATTCAGAAGCTGCAGCACAAGCCTGAAAAAAATACTGCCTCATCTGCAGAAGACCAGCCTTCGTCAAGGTCATGGTGTAAATATACTGCAGGTTGATCTCCATAATAAATCGATTTCCATAAAAATCACTGAAAACTCACTAAGATAGAAAACATTTGAAAAATTCTCTGATAATTTTGATAATAAGTTATAGATAACAAAAAAGATGCTCAGAATATCTGAAATTGCATCCAACCATTGAAAGAACAAAATCCAGGGAAATTTTAAATATTATTAAAATAATCCAATCTATTAATGGAAAACTTCGAGGACCACAGAGTCAGAACTGTTTTCACTGCAAAAACAAAATGTTACCAAGTATATTCTTAATGCCTTTTTACAGTTCAAATAAAACAAAATTAGTTTATAAGTAACTTTTCAGAAAGATACAAGAGCTTGTTGTAAGTCAATATTTCCTTAATATTTATTGGAAGGGCTAGTTTTACTGGCAGATTATTATGTGTACTAAGATTATTTTTTGTTTTTGCAGTGTTCTCTGGTTCAGTAGCAACGTAACCGACATATTCTTGTTTGTTACGTTTAGTTCTCAAATGGGATTAGCTTGCGGACATCTCTGTTCGTCCAGCTTTCTCTACCACAGTTTTTTTTCCCTCCACTAAACTTTCCTGAAGGAACAGCTTCTTTAGAAATATGCCGGTTTCATTTCCTGCCCACAGCACCAAAAAGTAACACCAAGCCGGACTAAGGCAGTACTGTCAAAAAGAAAGTTGAGCGGCACCAGAACCAACATCTGAACAACATCTTAGCTAAATAGGCCTCTCACAGCTTGGCCTATTTACCTAGTGGGACAAGGAAGCAGCTGCACCGAGAAAACAATGGTCTTAATAATCCCCAACAAGCTTTGTGCTGAATAAAGTCCTAAATAACGTTTTTATAGGCTAAAAATCAACATTATGCATTTAAAAACCACCAAAGTGGATAAAAACACTGAATGCTGATGAATCGAGGGTGTTTGTTTATTCCTTTCAGGTTACTCTGTAGTGGGGAGAGAGAGAGAGAGAGAGAGAGACGGTGACCTGAGGGGTCAGGTGTTGCTCACCTGGTCCAGAGTTGGGAATGGAGGGCGTTGGCACAGCGATGGGAATGCTGCTGCCACTGTTCTCCCTGCTGCCGCTTCCCCCGCTGCTTCCACTGAAAAACATTAAAATCCAAGTTAATTCCACTGTTTATTCAGGAAGTTTTGCACAAGTAGAGAATAACAAAAATGTTAAATAATGTTGCAATAAGCAATCAGTTGATTGTGTCAAATTAAAATGAGTGATCAATTTTCTTTAGACTTCATAATCCATTTTATTTGTCGTTTTTAGTCGTGTTTTACTTAAAATATTTAAAATCTCTTCCGGTTCCACATTTGAATTTTCTTTACAAAATTAAGGTTTATTGGCCTTTGAAAAGGGAGAACTTCTATGGTGTCATAAATATATTACTTAAAAATTGTCTCAGAAAAACAATATAATTTATCGCAATAATCACTGGGACAATTTATCATCAGGCTACATTTACTAATTTAACTTTAAGTAATAAATGCCCTAAAAACATTCACAAACAGGATATTTCTTGCATTTAGAACAGAAGTTTGGCATCTTTATTGTTGTAGTACGGGATTGCAGCAGGGTTAGATGTACAGTAAGCGCTGGCCTTGATAAAATATAGGACATCTGATTGGAGAATGTGTGTCAGCTCTGTTACAGGCTGCCTTTCACCTCGGGGCTTTTAGATCAGCAGTCTGGCAAGCTAAATCCCCTCCTGCTATCTCACTCTCTCTTTCAGCCTGGCCTTGATCCCAGATTTATTTATTTATTTTTTGAACTTCAACCCAACATCCAAACATTTCCATTTCATCCCTGCACTTCGGTTGACCCTTGCTGCCTCTCACCCCGGTGACCGCAGCTCGACTCTTTGCAGAGATTCCTTATGAGTCTCCCTGGACTCTTACGATTCTTTCCGTCCCACTGAAGCGAACGCTGCTCCATCTCTTTATCCCCTCCTGCCCCCCATCAACGCTCCCCTCCCTCCTGTCCGACTCGCATCAATCAACCTCCCACCCCCAGCTCTAAACAAAAGGGTCACCGCCTCTAAAAATCAGGCTAGCGGCAGTGAGAGCAAAGCGCCAAGTCAGCAGATTCTCAAAACCTGGAAAGTTATTAAATCACTAAAAACTCAAAATTACATGTTTTTCCATTCTCAAATTCCCAGAATTCACAGCTATTAATCAAACTCATGTACTCACTGATAAATACGCTAAAGGCAGACAAAGAACTTGCTGTTAAAGGAAAACCATTTATCTACCATCATCGGTAGCTAAGCTAACTAGTCTGAGCACTCATGACAGCAACAGGGACAGGAAGTTATTGTGATTGGTAGCACTAAGTCCCGCCTCCTGGCTTTGATTGGTTGTTTCTATTTAGCACTGGGAGAAGGCAGAGTATCTGTTTCAAAACAAACTATCACAACATGGTGACATTTTCAACAAATAAACGTATTGATGGATGGATGGACAGTTGGTTAGACGGACGGATCCTTCATCAGAATCAGTGTTGTTGTATCCATGGTGGTCATTCAGTTCCTCATCATGAACATTTTGTTTCTACGCTCCAGAAAGCAGAAACCTACAGATGAGTGGAGCCGTCTAAACCAAACCACTGGTAGCCATTTTCCTTCCACAACAACTCTGTTCTCCAACAGCAATAGTATCAGACACCATAATGGCTTCTGCGCTGCACATTAAGGTCCAATAGGAGCTTAAATTCGGTTGAGTCTGACTGAGACTGATGAGCTGAATAAGCCCAACGGATTTCAGGCCAGCATAATCGAATCATGCTAGCATGGTGGTCATATTAGCAGCGGCTAGACTGCATTAGGCTTTTAAACAGAAGCTACAGCAGCTTCAGGCCACACTTTAGCAACAATAACGCTGAGTAGACAAGTTCTGCACATTTGTTTTGTTCTTCGTCCAAAAATATGAAGTCAGGAGAAGAAAGAGAAGGAAGTCATGGGATATTTTTTACCATCTCAGTCAGCATAAACGGCTTTTTAGCTAATGAGACCGATTCGTTCACTCGTAAGTCAAATTTAATGAAAGCGCAGCCGCAGCGTTCACTGCTCTGCATGCAGCATTAGCTTTTCCCCTCATATCAAATCGCCCTTCATATCTGAGGCTTTTACAGATATTAATATCACAGATTCTGACCGTGGTTAGAGCCACTTCAAGCCTCGTCAGACAAATACATTGCAGCAGAAAAAAGAGAATGAGGTGTGAACACGTACTAAGCTGCTGAGGCAAAGGAAGAGATTAAAACTTTCAGACATGGAGATTTTTTTTTCACACAGCAGTGAAATCCTGGCAGCATTTTTTCTGAACAGTTTAAAGGTTCGGATCACACTTGAGATTTGTTGTTTTATACGTTTTGGAATATTTTAGAGTTTTATTTATTAAGTTTAACATTTAAATAGTTAAAATTGGCAAGTAAAATACAAAAAATCATGAGTTTTGAGCTAAAAATTAGTTTTTTGCATGGTTTTTACAAGTTGTGGTCAAAATGTGCAAATATGACCGCAGTATGCAAACTTTTAGCTTCCAAATAATTTTTCTGATTTTTTAAAAACTGTGCATGTTTTTCTTTTGTTTTAAAACTTTTTCAACTTCACAATTATTTTAAAAAATATTTCAGATTTTTTAGATTCTTTTTTTAAACATAAGTTTAAATTTTTTTTTTATTTCGAAGTATTTTCATCTTCAAAATTATTTTAAAAAAATTTTCCAGTTAAATTTTTTTCAACTTCAAATTTAACTATTTTTTATGAGGAACTTCAAATTTATTTCCCAGTTTCAGAATTATTATTTTTAGATATTTTTTTCTGATGTAAAACTATTTCAGATTCAAAATTATTTCTGAAATAGTTTTCAGTTTCCAAAATGATTTCAGTTTCAATTTTATATGAGTTTTTTTTTCAGTTTTTTCTATTACAAATATTTGTTTTCAAGCATCAAATTATTATTATTATTTTTTTAAGCAAACTTGACAGCACCAATTTAGCCCCGTAGGCTGGCTCATAGGCTGTAGATAGTAATAGGAACAACTCAGTGTGACATATCAAGACTGTCATCAGTCTCAGGTACCTGTGCGTGCGTTGCCTCTGGTTGAGCGACGCCGTGCGTCCGGGGCTGTTCTGCTGGCCGTGCTGGCTGCCCAGTCGGGCCGGACTGGTCATGTAGTCGTTAGGGACCGTAGGCGGCTTCACTGGCTCCAGCGTTTTGTACGGCGTGTTGCGTCTGCAGCACCCAGAAAAGTTTTATGTTTAAAAATACATAAAAAAACACCAAATAAATATTAAACTTTTACATATAAACTTTTAATTTAGAAATTTTATTTATATTGATTTTGCTAAAAATACAAATTACAACTTCAATAATTTAGAAAAATAGGAATTGTGGTCTCATATGTATACATTTCCACAAATATTTAGATAAATATTTGTTCAAAAGTGGTTAAGTATTTTTTGATTAACTACTGAATATAATGTTTAATATGTCTTGTGCTATATAAAATCAGTTTGCTGATGCCTACAAACAAATGCTGTTGGACTTTTTTCCAAATATTAGTGAAGAGTTTATGTATAATTATGACTCACAATACAATCAAACATATGAAGCCAATTATTTTTATATAAAAAAAAATCACTATTTTTTGTATTATGATTTCACCCCACAAAAAACAAGATTCACATAAATTAGTAGCCTGAAAAATGTAGATAATTTTTCAGATAGAGGGATAAGGTGCCAACAACAACAAAAAAACAAAAATGCTACAGTCTCTCCTATTTATCCTCGTTAACAGTTTTGCAATTAAAGGATCAGCCCAACTCTGGGGAAACTCGACGGGGCGTCTTACCCAAGTGTGCCTCGCCCCGACATCGGCGGACTGGGCGGCTTCTGTGTTGGCGGATTGGTCCTGGACAGCGTTCCTGCTCTGACTGCCTGATTGTTTCCATGTTGCTGTGGTGGAAGAAAAACAAAACAGTTGCTTCATTTTACAAAACTTCTTCTGACAAAACTGGATGATTATTACTTTTGCGACTGGAATTAAATGTTGCAGGCTGCTCAGACGGCGTATTTCTGTTGGTATTGTTTGGCGAGTTTCATAATCCCTGAAACAGAGTACCTGAATTAAGCATGTAATCTGGATTTACATTGAAAAACGTAAGAAATTATCGCATTTTTGACATGTATCTGAGCTGTCAGAGAAGCCTGGAAGATTTACCTCCACTACAAAACTTTTGAGGACGTTTTCAGGATCTAGACGTTTTTTGTTTGTTTGTTTTTTCTCCCACCATAGCAGTTGCAGTGGTAAACTAATACTCACGCTTTCTTAGCAGCCGAAATGCTAAGGCTCTACATTCAGCAGAAGCTAGTGCTAAAATATTGTACTACAGCAACAGTGTTTAGCAGAAGCTAAAACCAAACTCTATAGCGACACAGTCTTTAGCAAAAGCTAATCGCAAAATTAAACCATGTGGATGGCCACCATGTTTATGTGGCCATCCACAGCGAAAAAGGTATGTGGCTAATTAGCATCAATTGTCCATAAATGTCAGCCATGTACAGGAAACAAGTCATGATTTTTAAAGCATGGACTGGAGGTGGGTTTACAGAGACCAACAATCAATTAACACATAGCAAACTGGACCAATTTGGACCAAATCTACTGTTTGCTTTGACTTTATAGCACCAGTATAAGTGTAACACTGAAACAGCTATGGTGGGAAAGTCCTAAATTACAGCTAATTTACAACACGGTTGGTAAAGAGACAAGGTGGGCACTATGGGATGGTTTTGGTTTTCCGCAGGAAGGACTACAAGTTGGTTAACATGGGAAACAACAACATTACTTCACACTTATAGGGATCTGATAGGAAAGGGAACAAATAGAGGACTAAACAACAGACTACACTTACCTTGGCTTTTAGCCACTTAGCATGGAAGGAGAAAATATAAGCAAAAACAGAGAGACAGAAAGAGGGCATGTCAACATATTCATGTAATTTCTTGTTATTTACACTGAGTCAACATTTTGCAACACTAGGGAGGGTCAGCAGTTACATGCTATGCAACCAGGGGAAAACACAGTGGGTCCAATAACCCAGAACCATTCCAAGTCCTTAAAGTCAAACTCCAAATAAATCAAGATCAAATCTAATCAAGAGGTTGTACAAGAAGAACCAGAAGGTTTTCAGCTAACCTGACTTTACCTGTGAGCAGACGATCAGATATGAAAATAATTAAACGCTTTGTTGGTCTGTAAACAAAAATTTAATTGGTTCTAATAAGTGCAAGATTTTGGTGAGGAAGTTTTGCAGAGCGGAAAGATTCAAAGTTAGCCACTTTTAACACCGATACATAGTTTTCATGTGACGTCAGCCTTACGGAAACTTTGTACCTGACAGGTTGTTCATGATAAATATTAAATTCATCGGCAATCAGACTTCTGTGTGAACAGTTTCCACATAAGCACAAGAAATTCAGACATTACATAACAGCTCAGTTTTTGGAAGTAATAATTGATGCCACTGTCAATAGATCAATTTTACAGTCGAACAATTTGTCACAAGATCACAACATAAAATAAAATAAAACTAATGGCCTAAAAAATATCTACATCTAAAACTAAAAAATGAAACATGAGAATCAGTGTGTTTCTATATTCTCTATTTCCAAGTTTAGACCAGAAATAATGTTTGATTGTCACAGTTTTGGCAGCTTTAGTTTACATCCTGGTATCGAGGCGAGCCAACGCTGCAGTTAAGCTACAGAGTCGAGTGGCTCATCTATAATGCAGCTTCCCTGGTGGCCTCTGCAGGATGCTGTGCGATAAAGAGACCCAACTCAGAGCAAAACTGTGGCATCATCAGGCTCTTTTCAGAAATATAAAGCCATTTAACTCAGCTGATTTAACTCAGATTTCACATTCAGCTAAATCTATCCCATCAACTCGCAAACAGATTCAATTTACTATCTAGGTCATGGTGGAAATGCCAAACCGTGACGCCTCATCTGAATGGGAAACACTGCATCTGTTCTGCTGAATCAGTGTGGAAACGTTTCGGTGATCATTATCAGGTTTGTGAGTACTTGGGCATGTTGAGTTTGGATAAAAGCTGCAATCAAGCAGAGCTACGGGAGAGTTGGTGTGTCTCTAAATAATGTAGTTTGGACTTTATTATTGTAAAAGGAAACCAAACGCTTAAATGCTGCTGAAAGAAAGAGAAACAATCCAGCTCATTTCTACGGTATCTGCCAACAGGGCATCAAGATAAAGGATCTGAGACCCAAGACTTCCTGCTGTGAGTGTCACTTTCAGAGAAGAAACAAGAAAAATGTTTAAAAAATCCAACTGTTTGCACATTCAGCCGTATGTTTTAGGGCTGCAACGAACAATTAATTTCATAACTAATTATTCTGACAATTGGATAAAAGAAACAGGAGCATTCTGCAGATGTTCTACTTTAACCACTAAGCTTTTTATACAAAATGCATTAAAGAATGCAAATAAAATAATAATTTAATTCCTTTTTTGAATAAGGTACTTTAAATTTGAAGTGGGGTGCATAATACTGTCATAAATATGCAATAATGCTCTTATGAACATGAAGGAGTCTTCATAAATTTTAACCACCATTATCATAAAGTGTCATTTGGAAATAATGACACTTTTAATGCAAAATTGCACTAAAAGTTGCATTTTAAGAGTCATAATTAACCAATTAACACTTCATGACACTAAAATATATGTTATCTTTCAGCTTTCCTTTTGTGAACATTTGCAGCAAAGGAAGAATCTATATAAAAAATACTTCTAACAACATTAATCTGTTTATTTTTTCCATTTACTCATTAAGAAGTGGACAGCAAAAGGTCCGATATGAGATTTTTTTTTTTGCAACATTTGAACCAGGTGAAGGTAAAACTGCTACTTTTTTTACACCTATAACTCCACTTAATTATTCGATTTACTAAAGTTATCACGATTAATTCGATTAATCGTTTGAGCCCTAGTTTGAGGTATCAGATCAGGAGTAGTGCTCATCTGTAAGGAGCTCTGTTGGTGACATAATGACATTTATGCCTCCCGTCAGATTATGTTCAATCTCGTCAGCGAGACATTCAGGAATCCAGCTGGGATGACGTCAGAGTTTTAAAAGTAGATGTCAGATGTCCCTGGATTTACACAACGGCCCGACTGAAGTGGTTCAGCTGCTGTAAAATGAATGGATTAAAGTGTGTATTGGGGATGTTATAGTAGCAAGAACAACAAAGTCAAAGATATAACTAAGTTAAAACTACATAAAAAATATATGTATTTTACATTTAAAACAAACAAAAAAAGCACACTAATCAAATGCTGTTTGATTTTAGGCAATACAATGTTCATTTTATTATGCAAAGACATTCATTTTCAAATATTTAATGCATGTTTAATATTTTATAACAAAGGCTTAAATGAAAAATCTGTAGAATGTGAAAATTTTTATGCGATTAATCATCAGAATAATTGGTTCAATCTGTTTTATTTCTGAATGTGATTGAAGGATTTTGTGTTGGACAAATAAACTTTTAGGCCAAAATCCACCCTCTGGTGGATATTTTGATTTTTAAAGTCCCCCCACCACATCATTGATTCTGGTCAGTAAGAAAAGCATGTTGCCACTGAAAAGCCCACATAAACTAATACAGAGTATTGATATGAGGTATTGATTGGCTCTTTGGACGGTGACGTAAACAGATTAGAAGAAGTTTAGCCATGAAGACCACAGCAGCAACATGGATTGGTTTTTATGTCTCCCCACTCTGGCGGATAAAATCTAGCATTTCTACAACCTGAGAACATGAGAAAATCCAGTTCATGCTACAAGAATCTTCCCATTATGAGAGCAAAATAAAAAGATGAGAAGTTTTCTGAATTAATTAACTTCAGAACTGGCTGATAATCAAATCCATTTGATGGCTGCCATCGATTGTCTGACTGGTGGGACAGAAGACACTCCAGAGACGGGACAGACGCAGGGAGACGTCGGGAATTATGTCACTACGCTGGGACAAATTTCTGGCCCCGACAGTGAGAGAGGTTTACTGCATCTAAAAGCTTCTTGATGACCTCTTGGACAAAGCTGACTGATATCTAAATCATTCTACAACAAGATTACGAGGATCTAAGTGCTCAGAAAAATCTTGCAAATTCGACTCTATTGCCTCTTTCACAAAGCTCTGAGAACAGATCGGTTTACTGAAAGCTGCTGATGTAATCTCTTTACGGTTCATCTCCACCCCCGTTTGGTTCCCACCAACCCACATCCAAACCTTTTCCTCAGGTGCCAGGCGGTTTGGGGGGGCTTTGTGAAGATGAAAGAGGAAGTGCAAGAAAGAGAGAGGAGTGTGAATTAGGTAAAAAAAAATAACATAAAAAATTGGAAATAGTGGTAAGAGATGTTTTTCCTCCTTGTTTCTTCTCTTTTTTGTTTCGCATTAAGATTTATTTTTTTTATTTAAAAATTAAAAAAATTAAAGCTGCAAGCAGCCTCGAACGGCCCTCGCAGCCAAGCGCCGCTCCGGCCTATTGTCCACCGCGGGGTACGAGCAACCGCCGCCTCACGCCAGCCACCACAGAAGCTCTCACGCAGTTTTCAGCACCTCCGGCCGCATTGCAGAAGCTGTTGCTGAGTTTCCATCAACGCTTCCCACGTTCCAACACAGAAGTTGTTCCGCAGTTTCCACGCCCGTCCACCAGGCGGTACGCATCGATGCGTTCTGCGGCGCTCCTTGACGATGCAAAAAAATGTGGTGCAGATTCATTGGTTTAGTGAAGAAATATAGCTGGCGGATTAATGTAGGTCGCGCAGTGGAGTCAAAATATATTTCAATGCTGTTTTTCTCTTTCGAGGTCAACAAAGGTCATACGTATCCAATTTGGCGTCAGTCGGAAGATCCACGTGTCATTTACAGTCGAACATATGCACAGGCGAAGTACTGCAGATCGTCATTTTTCATCATTTTCAGCTGTGTTTCTAAAGCACTCTATTTCATTGTTGGAGTAATACTTACTCAGAGTGGCGAATTACTGAAATGGTTTGGAAGAAGTAAGAAAACGCTACATTTACTGCATGATTTAATTCAACAAAAATTATCTGAGACATTTCTATCCTTTTAGAAATTTCATGGCAACGCTCTCACAAAGTTTTCGCGCCCATCCGCCCGTGGATCTGTTTGTCATTGGTGGAGGAACACTGACACCTACTGGCGAAATACTGATATTGTTCTTCATCCTGTTTATCTGCTGTTTCATTTGTGGAGCAATACTGACCCCAAGTGGCGAATTACTGAAATGGTTTATAACGCCAAAAATGGGATCAAAATCTGAACTTCAATCTAAAATGGCCGACTTCCTCTGGGGTTTAGACCATGGCTCCAAGAGACTTTTTGTAAGTCCTGACATGGTACACATGTGTACAAAGTTTCGTAATTGTAGGTTAAAGCATGGCTTGGGGCTGATCATTTAAAATTTTCTAGGGGGCGCTATAGAGAAATTAGGCCACACCCTACAAATATTGTGATGGATTCCTGTCGGGGAGTGGATGAAGATCCATCCTTGTGAGTTTGGAGCAGCTGCGCCCAAAAATGTGGAATTGAGAGCCAAACGTATGGCGATGGCGTTACAGGTCACTTCGCCACGCCGCCACGCCCACCTGCTCCATCGAAGCTGGTCGGTTGGAATCCTCAACACACCAACATGTCTTCTGTGTCTGGGCACAGTTTCATGTTGATGTGGTCAAAGGGGTCAGATAGCGACCGTTCAAAGTAAAACATGACACTTCCTTTTCTCAGGGGGCGTGGCCTAAGTGATGTCATCATTCGACCATAGGGTATTGTAGGACACCCGATGATGATCAATCACAGAAACTTTGGTGCCTCTGTGAGTTTCTGTGTAGGAGATATAGCAGTTTATTTTTTACGGCGAGTAGGTGAACTTTGACCCCTGCTAACCCCCTTCAGCATTCTCAAAAACTCACCGTTTAGATAACTTTAGATGGGACATGCCTTATGAGCAGACTGACCGAGTTTGAAGCCGATCAATCGAAATCCCTAGGAGGAGTTCGATCAAATAGGAAGGCTGTAAACGGCAAAAATGGGGTCAAAATCTGAACTTCAATCCAAAATGGCCGACTTCCTGTGGGGTTTAGACCATGGCTCCAAGAGACTTTCTTTTAAGTCCTGACATGATACAAATGTGTACAAAGTTTCGTAATTGTAGGTAAAAGCATGGCTTGGGGCTGATCATTTAAAATTTTCTAGGGGGCGCTATAAAGAAATTAGGCCACGCCCACCAAATATTGTGATGGATTCCTGTCGGGGAGTGGATGAAGATCCATCCTTGTGAGTTTGGAGCAGCTGGGCCTGAAAATGTGGAATTGAGAGCCAAACGTATGGCGATGGCGTTACAGGTCACTTCGCCACGCCGCCACGCCCACCTGCTCCATCAAAGCTGGTCGGGGTTGGAATCCTCAATACACCAACATGTCTTCTGTGTCTTGGCACAGTTTCATGTTGATGAGGTCAAAGGGGTCAGATAGCGACCGTTCACAGTAAAACATTACACTTCCTGTTCTCAGGGGGCGTGGCCTAAGTGATGTCATCATTCGACCATTAGGTATTGTAGGACACCCGATAATGATAAATCACAGAAACTTTGGTGCCTCTGTGAATTTCTGTGTAGGAGATATAGCAGTTTATGTTTTTATGGCGAGTAGGTGAACTTTGACCCCTGCTAACCCCCCTTCAGCATACTCAAAAACTCACCGTTTTGATAACTTTAGATGGGACATGCCTTCTGAACAGACTGACCCAGTTTGAAGCCGATCAATCGAAATCCCTAGGAGGAGTTCGAACAAATACGAAGGCTGTAAACGGCAAAAATGGCCTCAAAATTGGACCTTCAATCCAAAATGGCCGACTTCCTGTGATACTTGCACTATGACATTAATTGTAAATTTTGAGCATCTTGGGGAGCTCTACAAGTGTACCAAATTTCATGTCTCTAGGATAAAGTAAGTGAATAGCAAAGGGTCCTTTGAAAATTTGTAGGTGGCGCTATTGAGCCATTTCTTATGGGATTTTTGCGATGACCTTAAAATACAAAATTTTGAAACTCCCTTTACGCGTCCGCCAAGTTTGGTGAGTTTTTGAATATGATAAAGCCCCCAAAAAGGCCCTCTTTAGGGGGGCAGAATAATAATAAGAAACAGTAGGAAAACAATAGGCCTTCGCAGCGCTTAGCTGCTCGGGCCTAATAAGTCTTGGATGCATTATCCAAAAATATAATTTTGTATGTTTTTTGTATTTCCATTTGGATCTCAACTGCTTCTAAAAACTGTTTTATTTGGATTCAGGAAAATGAGCCGTTTTGAACCTACAAATCGCTAAAAACACATTTTGTTACCTAGCAACCTAAGCTGAGTGTAGCCCGTTACCTAGCAACCCAAGCTGAGTGTAGCCCGTTACCTAGCAACCCAAGCTGAGTCTAGCCCGTTACCTAGCAACCCAAGCGAAATTCCAGCAGTTTTTGTTTTTTAAAAAACTTTTACACCACTACATTTTACAGTCAGTATCTGAACTTTCTTCTTCTCTACATTTCTGCAAAGCGTCACTTTACATCCAAGTGTGTCTATCTTGTGTTGAATAAGAAGCATAATTTCTCACTTTCTCACATTAGGCCAGGTTGACTTTAGTCTTTGTCTGATTTTGGAAATTTTTTGGATGATCCGAGACATTTATGTTTTACAAGACAGCAAAAGCTGAAAAAAAAAAAAAAACAGAAAGGAAGTGGTAGAGCTGAACCAACAGATATCTTACATTTTCAAGAGTCCCAGATGTTTGTAAAGTTAAGGAAAACCTTGAAAGCGCTCACCTTCACCCCGTGGCCAACATCGTCCAGGACATTGTAGTCAATCGGCTTCCTGATGTACCTGACGGGCCGCTCCAAGTTGGCCGGAGCGATGATCTTATGAGTCCTCGCTGTGTTTTTGTTGGTGGTGAGGATCCCGATCTCCCGCCTGGCGACCTTCTCCTTGTGTATGTCCACCGTCTGGAAACAGCAGAGGAAGTAGAGCGGTGATGTGAAGAAGAGGGTTTATTTAAATGTTTTTTCCATCAGAATCTCAATTCAGTGAGCGTCTGTTTTCCGAGCAGTCCAACCAGTTGACTTGCATCCATTTAATGTAGCGTAGCATTAATTTGGGACTGTAAAAACTGCTTTTTGAAAAAGTACAAGGGTAATGTCCCTCCCAAAATAATGACAGCAGAGCCTGACAACAATATTATTTTACCAGCCTTCAACTCTGTTCACCATGATATGTTATTGTAGCGACTGGAAAGCTCAGTCAAATTTTCTGGTCCAGTACTGGATCAGTTGGAGTTTTACCAATAGAAAAGGGACTTTTTTGGATCAATATGTAGTTCCCGCAAGTCTGAAAGTAAAACGCGCCATCTTAGTGGGGAAGCGCAGCGCAATGCATAGCTGACCAATGGACTCAAGACCAACAAAGAGAAAATATATTGGCCCTCTTGACCAATCTGCAAGAGGAAGATACATGACTCGTACGAGACAGAGAAGGAAAATGTGTCAGACGATGTGGAAAAGTTGCCTTGAGAGCTAGTTCTAGCAACAGACTGCCAAGATGGCTGTCGGCTACAAAGTTCACGAAAGAACTACGTATAGGTAACGTTTCATCAGTCCAGACATGAGTCACATTAAGTTTATAACAAGTTGTAGAGCCAAAGTGGGAATTTCAAACAAAACAACTGATCAGGACTAATGTAGGAAAAATTTGCCCTTTAGTTTCAAAGACCAACCAGAAAAACAACTCCAGCTACAACAGAGGATTCCTTTCATACAAAGATCTGGATATCGACTGAACTCCAACTCTTTTCCTCCAGACTGCCCTGAAGTTTGACATGCAGACATGAATCATTAGGGTTGCTCTGGTTCGCTGAAATTAGGCCCACAACAACGTGATTTATGTTGGATTTCAAGTCTTGCGTGACTATAACCAGATTAAGGAATAACTATATATAAAGGAAGATGTCAAGCAGAAATCCGCAGGAAAAACCAACCTGAACAATTAATATTTCACAACAGGCAGAGAAGGTCCTGTGTAATTGTTCCCATAGACAGTTTGAATAAAACATGAGAAATATTCCTCCTTTTCCATCCGTTCAGACCAAGGAAAACAACAGAGAATGAATGACAGACATTGTCACCAAATTCAATTGGGAAACATTTAAATACTGAGAGACATTTTATCAGAAGGTGGGAAACAACTGAGCCAAAAATAAACAGGAAAACAGAACAAAAATCCCCCTATTAAATCAATTTCTACATCCCGCAGGCTGCTTCTTTTCTATTAAATTTACATTTACCCAATCAGTGTGAGAATTTCAATGACAATGGCTTCTAGATAATAAAATCTGACATTCAGGGTCTCAGAAATGCTTAATGTTATATAAAATCAGTAGAAAATTATATTTTAAAAAGGATCTATTGTGTAAAATTCACATTTTGAATGTTATTGTACCTCCATTTGGGTCTCAACTGCTTCTAAAAAAGCAACCCAAACACTAAAAGAAATAAATAACCAAATAAAAAGACTTGGCTTTTTTTCTTTTTTTACATTATAAAATCTTTATGCAGTCACAAACTATGAAACAAGCAATAAACTTTACATTTTGTTAAATGCCAATTAAAATCATCAAGCATATAAACATAAAATATGTGGATAAATGTTCCAGTTATTATTAATCAAAAGCAACTGTAAACAGGAACTCAGTTTTTGCAGAAACAAGGGAACTCTTTCTAAAAACACAACAAACAGAAAGACTATATCTAAAGCGAGAAGACATCTGGTTTGATCAGCAGGACAAACATCAGTCCAGCTGGCAGAATGAGGGAAGTGAAAAGGCGGCTCACCTCCTTCCTGCATGCACAGAAAACAGCTGCAGCTCCGAAAAGAACCACCGTTCTCTCAGATGGGAAAGAAGCAGAACCTTTAAAGCCAGATTATTCACATGTGATGTCAATGAATGACACACACATGTTCGAGAATGGTTGCCAGTTTTCCAGAACATTCTGGCTGTGGTGGGTTTTTTTCTTTTCTTTTTTTAACTCATCAGATCCAGACTTTCCAGTTTTAAAGTTCAAACTTCTGAATCCGATTCCTTGCCCAGCAGAAGTTTACCACACCTTTAAATGGTACAATTCATCTTTAGTCATGAGAAAAGATGAAGAAGATCTCTGGTCTTCATCAGTTTGGGATATGAGCGAGTCAGCGCAGTGGATGATTGTTGTGTTGTTAGTGGTTACATGAACCAGACTGTTTCCATCATGTTTAAGGAAATCTGGCTGCTTCAAATCTAACAAACTGGTGGCTATTTTTAAAATTGAAGCGTCAACATCAAAGGATCCAAGAAGGTGACGTACTGCAATATGTCTGGAGAGGATTCAAAAGGTCATTTTGGAAAATTACAACTTTTCCAAACTCTTCATGATTAGGAACCCCGTTAACTGCAGAAACACAAAATCTTACTATGTATTTTGGTATCGTTTCAAGTGCAAATATCTTTATACTTTTGAAATACAACAAAATTAACCTGCAAAAATGATGTTTGCAAGACATAAGAGCTTGTTTTAAGTCCATAATTCCTAAATATTGGCTTGAACTGGCAGATTATTTCACTTATAATAAGTATTGTGAATGCAGCCCACATTTTCACTCCCTTTTGGGGAATCAAATAATTATTTGAAAGCAGCAGAATTAAAACAAGTCACTTTATAGAGATATGAACCCATAATTAAATAAAATGGATAAACTAATAAGAATTAAAAGAAACAATGGATAAATTAAACAAAATAAAATATCCAGAATAAATACATTAACATAAATAATATTCATAAGTAAAATAGATAAAAATCAATAAATAGTGCGAATTAAAATATGAACAAATAAATAATTCCAGAATTAAATTTAAAATAAATTTCCAAAATTTACATACATTTCTAGAAATTAAATAAATTCTAAGAATTAAAATAACATCTTGAGATAATTTCACACATGACTTCAGTTTTAGAGCACTGTAAAAATGTTCAAACACGTATAAGGTTTGTTCAGCAACATTAAATGTTTTGAAGTGGAAAATTCATTTTAAGTGACTGAAATGCCTTCTTAATTTAAATTAAATTGAAAAATACATTACTGATCCCAAAGGGAAATTAAAACATTGTAAAAGAGAAATGAAATTACCCACTGTAATGCTCATCCTAAAATTAAATCTATGCAAAGAAAATCTGACATAAAGCAAGATTTAAAGGTGAAACTCCTACAGATTGAGGCCATTCTGACTCTGAATGATGATCTATGAATGGACAGAAACACAAACTATATTTAGGTTTCCTGCTTCCTGTCAGAAACTGTTACATGGGTGTTCACTCTTCTGAGAAACAAAACCCAAACCGAAACGTATCACATCGTTTTGTTCTGGACGGCTCACGCGGACGGGCTTAAATATATCAGCAAAGACGCTTAAAAGGCCTGAAGGCCGGAGGGATGGCCAATAATAATACTGAAAACAAAACCAGTGGGAGGGGTCAGAGGTCAGAGGAGAAAATATCTTCCTCAAAAAGCTTCTGGTAAATATAGCTAATGATAAAACTATTGATATTACTCCTACTTTCCCACATTTAGTCATATTACAAACCACAAACTTCAATGCATTTTATGTGCTGCACCAACACAAAGCAGCGCAAAATTGTTTAGTGGAAAAAAAAAAAGGGTTTTCAAAGCTCAAACTCAGCTGGAATAGATTGAGAGTGTCTCAAATGTCTTAGCATTCACTTTGGACAAACCTAAGTGAAAGTTTTATATTTTCAGCAGTGAAAATGTATATTTATACATAAATGTAAGAGAGACAAACCACACTAATTGAAAAGCCAGTTCCCCTGCTTGCCTGTGGTGGCGCTGCACCAAGAACCACTTAAGAAAACATCAAAGAAGACACGGAGCGCAACTTCCTTCTTCAAGAAATGTACACAAAAATGGAGAGGTTGAAGGATTTCTCTTTTGTCTTTAGAAAAAGAGGATGACTCATTTTTTCTAATAGCGTTAGACATGCATGTTTGTTTTGCTTGAATTTACCCAGAATCTTGCTTTGGAGCTGTTTCTGGTCCACTTGGTGTTCCCATTGCATTCAAACCACACCAGAGTTCACTTCAACCAAACCCAGTAAACTGCTGCTGGCCACACACCCCCAGCTCAACGTTTACACTCACACATGAAAATCCCTACAAACAGATGTGTAACTATACAGTCATACATCTTTGAAAAGCAGAAGTGGAGCATCCTGCACAACCAACAAAAATCCCTGCAAAAAGACAAAATCTTACTAAGTATTTTGGGTCTAGTTTCTAGAGCAAAATCTTATGAAACTTGAAATAAGACAAATTTTATTTCAAAGTCATTTTTCAGTAAAATATAGAGGCTTGTTTTAAATAAATATTTCCTTATTATTGATGGAAATGTACTTGTTCCATTGGCAGGAGTTATTTACTTCAAACAAGTAAGTTTGTAAGATATTTGCACTAGAAACTAGACCAAAATCACTTGATAAGGTTTTGTGTTTTTGAAGTGCTTGCTACAATAAAACCAGCTGCCCAAATGTGCTGGAGCTACGCTGTGGTTGCTAGGTAACAGCAAAATGTAACTTGACAATTGGGAGGTTTTGAAACTGCTCGTTTTCCAGTCACCAAAAAAACTCAAATTTTTGCCAAACGAACAAGCTCTTGGACTTTTTAAAAAAGCATTTCAGACCCAAATTGAAGTATAAAAATGTGTGAAATATTTAATAGGGACTGTATTGTAAGTTTTGTCAAACCAAGCTCTTTGACTACCTTGCAGGTTCCAGCAGATTTAAAATACTTTACGGAAACCTTGAGGACAAACCAGCCAGTAAATCATCTCAGATTTGAACCATAAAAACTTTAAATCACACCTGTCCTCAGCTTCTCACGATCTCTAGACTTTAGACTTTCGTTTCTGTACTTGGCCCAGATGGTCGCTAAAATAGTCTGGTTGACTAAGGCAGCTAAGGCGTCATCTGAAGCTCTCATCTGTAACGTCACACAGTTTTTTGTGCTACACTGAGCATGCTGGAGGGGTGAAACTGTGGAGAGATGATCTCTGCTCCAAACACGGCAGACAGGCACGAACTTTGAGAGCGAGTAAACCTGCCAAGGTCAGGGTTTTGTTTGCTTACGCAGCACACATGGAGACACCTTGGCTGACTTTTCCCAATCTCACTTTGGGCTTCGGCCAACGAAGCCTCCTGTCCTAAAAATCTGCGTACGAACTCTGATGTAACATTCAATCAATCTCAGGCCTAGAGCCAAACAAAAACAAAAATAAAAACTCAAATCTGAGCAGCCAAACATCTGAGTTTGAATAACCCAAACAGAGTTTCACCAAGAAACTGATTGGTGTTGGGTAAGAAACACACTACTTAGTGTTAGGTTTGCTAAGTAGTGAGGAATGTGCTGGTAATGATGATGAGGAGGAGGAAATAATGACTGAGTAGACTCAGACCAACTGGGTGATGAGTCAGTCGTTTGTAACCTTTAGTCATATTGGACAGATGGAGAGTGTGAGTGTGTGTGTGCTGGTAAGCAGCAGAAACACACACACACATGACATGACTGAGAAACTCTCACCTACTAAAGACATCAATCTCTCAGGTTCTGAGAGTCATTTGCTGGTTTTGGGCTTATGAAATGTTTTTCAGGACAAAACTCCAGTGACATTCAGAGTTCTCTATTTCTACATGTAAACACTGATGTCAGTGGATATTTAATTTAATTATATTGTTTACAAATACATTGTTGTTGGATGAACAGGTAAGTATATCAAGTTACAGCCAACAATCCTGTCATTTTGGTTTAGAAGAAGAGATTTTTTTACAGTTTCCAGTTTTCCCAGCTTCTTCCAATACATGCCGAAAATATCGGATCACAGCGACGCGTTACTTTCATAAGCGGATGCAAGAAAGACGAACTACAGGAAGAGAGAGAGTCCAAAAGTCGGGGAATCGGCAGGAAACACAGGGAGCAATACACACACTCTAAAAACGCCGCAACGCTCCACATCCTGTTCGGGCAGCCGCCATTTTTTCCTCAAGAGAAGGTCAGGGGTCATCGCTGCAGCAAACAGGCGCAGCTTTAATGAGCCGCTCTGCTGCATGCGTGTTTCTGTCACAATGCTGCAGAAACAAACAGCAGACTGGAAACCTCATGGCGGTGGGAACAAACCAGCAGAGGTGTGTGTGCGTGTGTCAGCTGTTTTCTGCATTCATCCTGTTGTTCCATCGCTCCGGTCAGAGAGTTCAATACGAACGTCGGCCAGATCCAAATGCAACCGGCAGAGATTTACAGCGTCCCAAATGGATCGGCGCTGATGAAAACCTTGTGTTGTTCTGGATGAAGCAGCCAGAAAGTATTGGTTCGCTTTTCACTTTTAACATTTCAAACAATTAAACCTGATTAATAAACTTTTGTCTTTTGCTTGTAAATATTCAGGGTGAAAAATTTATTTTCAAGGATGTTTCTTTTTGGGATGCAAATTCTGTGTGAAAACAAAACAAAACTATAAAAACTCCCACATTTTAAAATCTAAACTGATTGAGGAAGGCAGTAAGGAAAGAAGGAAGAAAAGAAGTAACAAAAAATAAACAAGAATGTGAGACAGTAAAGGAAGCAAGGACGTTAGGAAAGAAGAAAAGAAAGAACGAATGAACAAATAAAGGAAAGACAAGAAAAAAGGACAGAAGGATGAAAAAAAGTAAAGGAGGAAAATATGAAGGAAGGACTCGAGGAAGAAAGTAAAGAAAGAAGGGAAAAATAAAATGCACGAGAAAGGAATAAACAAGGGGAAGAAAAGGAGCAAATGGAGGAAAAATGAGAAAAGAAGAAGGATAGAAGGAACAAAGACACAAGGAAGCTGAATCTGTTTTTCTGCCCCATTTCTATTTTTTATACATTATAAAACTTCTGTTGTCTTTTAATGCAAAATATCTACATTTCAGAAATTTTAAAAGTCTTCCTACTCAGTTACAAATCACTGGGATTGTAGCCTGGAGTTTACGATCAGCTTTGGTTTTGGTGGTTCTTGTCTGTTTCTGTACCATGAAATCTAATTTCCAGTAAGCGACAGTTTGGGTCAAAAAGCCTCATACTGACACTTTGGAGTAAAATAAACAAAAGATTAAACTCGACCAAAGCTTAAATAGTTTTGTTTTTGACTAGCTGAATCTCAGCAGCTCATTATTTGATCACCAACAGACGGTCATGGATGGCAGCACGTCTGTGGGTTTGACTTTTTCTGAACACAAATGAGGTGAGAGAGGCAGCAGGAAATGGGGAAACCGCTGTTCAAACACCAAACATCCCGTCTTCCCTCTCCATCCAGAGCGCGACAAAGAGCTCCCTGTTCGCAGCCTCTTAGCAGCCACTTCACACGCAGAGCAAGGTGGAAACCCCACTGGCCGAGCCACGCAGCTCGCATCACTTCCTGCCTCAGAGCTGCAGAGACTCTGAGGGGCAACAACAGGAGGGAAGGTGGCAACAAAACTAACACCTCAAACCGTGCAGGCAGGCTGATGATGATGTGTTTGCAGGCGTATGCAAGCATGCTTTACACTGCAACTGTGGGTGTAAACGTGTATTAGCTTTCCAAATATGATATCAGATAAATCAAAATCTGTTCATCACGATGGCCTATGGATGAACAACAAATAGGAGGATATATAAATGGAGAAATGGACTCATAATTAGACTGATAGAAAAATGAATGAATAATTGACACCTTTGCTTGTGGTGCAAATGAAATGATTGGCTGAATTGGCTGCTTTGAAAATACTAGCCAATAGCAATGAGCTAAAGTGTTTTAGAACATCTTAGATATGAATTACAAAAAAAATCTGCAATGGTTTTCTGCAAAACATTTGTCATGTTTGACAGAAAAATGCAATGGTAAATTCTAGTTCTGGTCATTTATTTTTAATTCAGCAGATTACACAAAAACTAAGAGCTTCAGGAACTGCAACCCTGGCTTTCCGCTAATTTAATTTCCATGAGCAGTAAAAAGGAAACTAAATCATGATCCACTTCAGAGTCGTAGCAGCCCCACATCCTGTAAATCTCACAGCCTGGCCGCCACATTTGAAACAAACGGAGAACTCAGACTGGGCTCATCCAGAAACAAACAAATTGAAACAAGGTGGAGAAAGAACAAGTTTTCACTCCAGCTACTGAGAGATACTAGCTGTTAAAAATGAGAAAACCTTCAGCTGATCCCGGTGAGATACTATGTGTTTATATTTAACGCTTTACGAGAACCATAAAGGACACAAGACTAGGTTTAAATATAGCAAAGGAATTCCCCATTCATGTCAGCCAGTGGAGACAAAAGTCCAAGAATGTAAACTAAGCTGGGAGTTCTCCTGTTAAAACCGTCTCTACCCCAATGTGGATCAAGCAGCTGTCATGTCATGTTAGCAGAAAATGACCTTATGGTGACCTTGATCCAAAATGGCAACATTTGTTACATTTTTACCTGCTGCAGTCAAACCAACAAAACCTTTTGAAAAATCTGTTCTCCTCCTCACCTGTGGTGGCGCTGTACCGAGAACTACTGAACAAAACAACAGAAGAAGACACTGAGCGCAACGTTCGTCTTCGCAAAATGTAAACAAAAATGGAGCAGATTTTAATGGTTATAAGATTTCTCTTTATAAGATTTCTCTTTAGCCTTGAAAGAACAAAAACAACAAAAAACCAAGACATTTCTCCTGCTAGCGTTTGTTTTGGTTTCATTTACCCAGAATGCTCTGTGCTGACGTCCCCTTCTTACTGTTGGGGGGTTTTCAGATAGCTTAGCATTCACACCTCCCCAAATGCACCAGATTTTCAAGACAAAAGAAATACAGTTCAATTAAAATGAATCAGAAATTTCTGATCAATGTGTGTGGTGATGCACCAATTCACTTTTTCAGATATCGGAGGTTTAGTCTCAGCCAATACAAAAAACAAAAAACAGGGCTGAACTGACTTAAAAAGTTACCTTTTTAAAAAAGCAAACATAAATGTAGTGAATTACTAACTTATTTGATAACTTAGCACCATTACAGCTCATTTAAATATGCCAAGTTTGGTCAAAAACAAAAAATAACTAAACTGTTCAGTCAGCCAAACAAAATGACAAAAACAATAGTTTTCAACAATAAACCTCCTTTTAAATGTTTTCAAAATTGCAATTAGAACTTCTGAAAATAATATAACATAAATGATGAAGCGTAGAATTAGACTGAATAGATCCACCCTTACGGATTGGTACCAAATCTAGATTTCTTTTTTCAATATTCAATTCAATGGATATTAATATCTCTAATTGGGTCATCATAAATTGCTTGATAATCTGATTGAATGAACCAGGAAAGATATTCTAAAAAAAACTAAATCTTCAAATTCAGGCAGTTTTAGTGAATGGACTACAGTTCAGTCATTTCATATAACTCTACAGCTACACACTAAACGCCTGATTATCGTAAATGAATATCTTTTAGAGCTGTAGAATGTTAAAATCAGTGCCAGAAAAAGAAGCAAACCACCATTTCCTGTTAAGGTAATTACAACACCAGACAGACCTCGATTAGAAACGACAGCAGTAAGAGGAACCGTGTCTTGTTCAGACGGCCATTTTAAAAACAGCATCGTCTGTGTGAGAAGTGGTAAAACCCAAATGCCCAGCTGTTTGGCCTGCAGCACGTTTTCTGACCTGAGAGATGTGGTTGATGGACGACTCCATGCGGCGCAGCTGCGAGGCCTGGATGTCCAGCAGCTGCAGGACGTTGTTGGCTAAGGCATTGATCTGGTAGGCCACGCTGGCCAGGGACTGGGTGGTGTAGGCTTTGGTCTCCTCCAGGGCTTTCCTCTTGTCCTGGGCCTGACACAAAAACATGACAAAGCACTGGTTAAAGAGAGAGAAAATAAACCAATTTACTCCTAATGTTATTACAACATCTCATCTTGGAGTTTGTGTGTGGTTTTGCAGCCACATGAGGTCAGCAGTTCAGATAAGGCATGCAGCTTTCTCTCAGGCTCGCATTCCACACATGCCACTCTTCTTTTGAAGGCATTTTACATGATTAAACAAAGCAATAAAAGTTCAGCATGGCTAGGAATCAGATTCTCCATCTATCATGTTTCCAACAAAACAAACAAACAAAAAACACATCTGCTTCAAATTGACATCTGGAAAATTTTCAAACTCAAAGATGTTAATTATAGGATGATCTTCTTTTGAAGTGCAAACTATTTAACATGAGGCCAAACAGAGTAAATGTAAACTAGCAGCATCTTAAAACAGCTCACAGAATAGAGCAAAAATAATATACAGAACAAAATAGAAACAAATATATGTAATTTCCCTTTGGAAACAATAAAGTATCTTTCAATTTGAATTGTATTATAAAAAGAGAGAAAGAAAAAAGACATTTCACACTAAAATGTTAATTCTTAAGTAAAAGGCCAGGTTAGCATACAAGAAAGGTACGCTAGCAGTATCAAAACTAAAAATTATTTACCAGATTTTTAACAGTAAATTGTAAACATTTTGTGCTTCACATTTAAAATATTTCAACAATGACCTAAATTAAGGACTTCAAAAAAAAAAGATGATAGCGCCTCCATCAGTTCCAGAGTGCAATTGCACCAAATATGGCATGGATCTGACATTTGACCCAACGCCACCCTGTCATTTGCAGCCCCGTATTTTTAATTTTATCTCCAGTGTTTCATTTATGACGGTACAAAAGTAACTCTAAACAGGTGGGGATTTAGAATAGGAAGTCAGTGTTTTGGCTATTTTACAGTTCTCCGAATGTTTGTCCTAGATGTGTGATGCATAGAAGCTGAATGCCGCTTCAAAAAATAAAAAATATTATTCTGAAAGTTTCATTATTTCTGTAAAACAGCAATTTAGCACAAGATAAAAGTATGCTAGCAGCATTCTAAATAAACATGCTAGCTGTCGACAAAAAAATATTCGACAACAGCTTAAAGTGGTTCACTTCTACCTAAATGTCATCCAAGTGGCTCATCATTTAGTGAAAGACCAAAATATCACCCTGGAAATGATGCCAGTTTCTTATGCTCGCAGCTACATTAATTAGCTTGCTGGACATGCTGACAATTTAGCTGCTACGTGTTTAAAAACCCAAAAAAGATTTTTAAGGAATTCAAGAAAAGTGTGTGAAACATTTATATTAGCAAGAAGCCAACATAGCATTCAGTAACAAATAAGCTAACGGATGATGAGCTAGCTTACAAAATAAACTTCAGAGGTCAAATCTGGCAAAAACACAAAAGAAACAACATGGTGTGAGGTGTCATTTCAAGCATGTCAAGTATTTCCACTATCTAAAATTAAAGCGACAACAGGGTAGTGCGTGGTGAGAATTTTGAGACATCTTTCTTTGAACTGGACGAAAGCTAAAAGCCAGGCTCCAACTTAGCGGTGACGTTTGATCGCTTTGTAGCTGGTCCTCTGCTGCTCACTCAGTCCAAAAAGCCATGCCTGGAGGGGGAACACTGGGCTTTCATAACAGGCTGCTGAAGCAGGGAGTGGGCGGTTCCGGCAGTGGCTGAGGAGCAGATAACTAGTGCTAGTAGTGGTAGTGGTTAGGAGGCAGAACGGGAAGAAAAGAAACATTTGGTCACGAGAAAAAGAAAAAAATCAACTGGAGTCGTTAATGATTCAGCCACCAACCCAGAATCAATCCGTAGATTGGAGAGCTGACTGCGTCCTTTTGGTGGACGTGCTGAGCAATAACAACTTTAGAAAGGAGAGGAGATTCCTCATCATGTCAAAATCACATAATCTACTGGATGCTATAACATCTGGATAGGAACAGATTAAGACAAGACAAAGCTACATGGTGGGAATATCTGGGCCGGTGACAGGAGCAGATTTCCTGAACGGTTCACTGAGATCATGTTTATTTGCTTCAATCCAGATTACAGATTTTTTTATATTACAAAAACAATCGGAAAGGGATTAAACATATAAAGTCTTCAAGCAGAAATAATAAAAATCTGTCATGTTTATTTGATTTTCTAAGTGTTACAGCTTTATATGACAATCGGTGACTGTGAATGCGTATGAGATTTGCTTAGAAAAATTGCAAAAAAACCCAAGACTTCCACATCTATTTGAAATGGCTTTTGGGGTTTAACTGTGCCTTCTTTTATTGTGATTGTGGTTTGAACTGGCACATATTTATTATGCCATGCATTTCTTTAAGAAAAATCAATTTCACACCTTCATTTGGGGAGGTGTTAATGTGTAATCAAACTGAAAACAAAAAGCAAACTGGTCCACCTGAAAACCTCAGTCTCCGTTTGGCTGAAGTGAACTCTGGAGCGCTTTGAACGCTAAGCGGACTAGCGACTGCTACAAAAGCAGAAAGTGGACTATAGTGCAGAGCATTCTGGGTAAATACAACCAAAACAAACATTCAAATCTAGTGCCAGCAGCAGAAATGGGTCGTGGTCTTTCTCCAATTCCTCCAACTGGTAAAATCTGACGCTTCTCCATTTTTTGTGAAGAAGAAAGTTGCGCTTCATATCGTCTCCAGAGGTTTTTGTGTCACTTCCTTTTGTAGTTCCTGGTGCAGCGCCACCACAGGCGAGAAGGGGAACAGGTTTTTCAAAGGGTTTAGTTTAGAGGTGTCAAACTCCAGTCCTAAAATGCTGGTGTCCTGCAGTTTTTAGATGTGCCACAGATACAAAACACTGGAATGAAATGGTTTAATTACCTGCTTCTTGTCTAGATAAGTTCTCCAGAGCCTTAATGACCTAATTATTCTGTTCAGGTGTGGTGCAGCAGAGTCGCATCTAAAAGTTGCAGGATACCGGTCCTTGAGGACTGGAGTTTGACACCCCTGGTTTAGTTCATTTGACACATTGCCGTGTGAAAGCAAACCACAGCAGCTGAAAATGCAACAAATGTTGCAATTTTTGTCCCAAATCAAACCCAGTCTACCAGATTATTAAAAACACTCCAAATCCAGTGAAGTGAAAGTTTGCCCCATTCTGAGTGAAACCCTGGAAGACGATATCTAAGGTTCTGTAGTAAATCTGAAGCTGCAACCCAAATAAAACAGAGGCAGACATGCATTTTTGTATTCCTGCTCTAATCTGGTTTCGGAGATGTGAAGCAGGTCTTGATTGCTTCCTCGTTGCCTATTCGCCACTCTGTGCACAAATCCCCTGACTAAACAGCTTTGCATCTCGACAGGACGATGTCAGGAGTGAAGCAAATGAGTCAGAGCGCAGAATGAGACATCTGCAAAGAAAAATAAAACAAAGTGTGTGTTGATCAGAGCCAAAAGCAACACAAGAGAGACGGAGAATGAGGTGAGCTCATTCTCGGTGCTCCTGCGGCATTTTGTCTCATATTTCAGAGCCGGGTAATGACAGAGCAAGAGAGGCTCTATGCTATCCAGGAAGCAGTGGAAGTGTGTAGAGGAATGCAATTCACAGGAAGCATGTAGCTGGGAGCTAAAGCGAGACAACCAAACCATTGCACAAAAAGAGCTAGCAGTAAAATCCAGCGTGGGAGAATGAAAGGTTTCTCAAAAATCCATTGGCCAATGAAGTTCAGCGAAATGAAAGGGAGCGGCAGCCATTGCCGGCTGTCATCAATCCAGTTTGGCGAGATAACTGCCACAGATGTGCAGCCATGTTTATAAAGACAATGCTTTCCAGTCAGGACCGACCTGTTGGACGGAGACTGAAGACGATTTCCCTGAGGACGAGTTCAAGGGCCAAGAAATATGAAAACACTCAAACAAAAACCTACATATACATTAGTATTCTCCACATTTTATTATGCTACAATAAAACTCAATATATATCTGAGCTTTATTCTTTATTTTTTGCAAATTAAAAACCTTAAAAACGTGCCAGACTCACGAGGCCTGGATCTGTCCCAGTCAAAGTCCAGAACTGAATCCAATTGAAAATATGTGCCTATGCTTGAAAATTGAGGTTTAGAGTAAGCTTTTCAGCGGAAAAAAATAAATAAGAAAATAGACAAAAATAAATAAAAATCAGACTCTGGAGGGTTGAATAAGCAAACACTTTTTAAAAAATGTATAAACAATTGAAAAATCCTATTTTTCCTTCCAGTTCACAATGACGAACTACTTTAATGTCCATCACATAAAATCTCAACAAAATACAGAGAGCTTTGTTGATTTAATGTGACAAAATATGAGAAAAATAATCCATGAATCTGCCCAGAACGGTCAAACATGTCAGAACATTTCACAATAAAAAAAACTTCACATTTCGGCTGTTGATCTGGGCCTGGCTTTGCACAGATGTTGAACACGTTCACGCGCTCCTATTTCTCCAAAGGGAACTGCGCTCAGGAAGACAAAAAAAATCCAGGAATGTCCGGAATTCTGCAACATGTTGATCAAATAAAAACTTCCCAGCGCTGTTGAGGAATCCTTCTGCAGAGATTACGGACAGAAGAAGAGATGTAAGGCTGAAAGGTCGCGGAGCGCCACATGAGCCATCAATCCCGACTGCAATGGCGGGTGGTGTGGGGATAAGTGAGCAGAGAGCCGCTTTATCAACATGGATGTCAAATATTCCCCCGTCCGCCAGGCTGTGAGGTGAAACCATGTAATGAGATTACAAGACGGACGTGTTTAGGAGCTGGCTAAGTGTTGGACAAGCCAGTTAGTGATCATCTACTGCTACAAAACTGAAGGGTGAACTACCAGGGAATGTCTGGACAATCAATAATGCACAATAGAATAAACATGTGATCAATATATCTAATAGAATATTCAATTCATCGAATATTCACTGAACTCTGATCCAGAATCGTACAGCATTTGGGGGATGTAGGCAGAGAAAAGTCTCATCTCT